AGTAATGTGTTGATTTGGTGCCTAGTCCATGTTTCTCTATACGTTTCTATACATACATACATGTAGGTGCATAATATGTTAGGGTCTCTAGTGTACTTAAAGGCCATGCGGCGTTATCGATAATTTTCACGTAACGAAAAATAGAGCGCTTTAAGTTTTAACGTACACATATGACACCCTGGTTATTGTTGACTTGAGAGCCAGAGTATCCACTTCATTACCACCACATTTGCGCTCTGCGGCCGACCACGTTCATTCCCCACAACAGCAACAAGAGGTTACTTTCTAGAGAGCCAGAGTGGATTGACATTTCCGCGGTCAATATTTTTCGAAACGAGACTTTCCTCGATCAACCCGAAAACGAACCTTTTTTCCTTTGTGGATAGATCGATGAAAAATAATGTGGCTGGCCCCTTATACTGAATCTACACAGCAATTATGGTGTTGAAAAGGGAACATTTGGGGAGAGAACTGTTATACGTACCTAAACTTGGAAGATATGAGATGGCGGTGATCCTTCTCCGACCGGGTATCAGCTGGCCAGGGAGACTTCGTATCCGCGCCATCACCAGATCTGGAAGAGCAATCTCGGGTGTGACCAAAATGCAGCCTGGAGAAGGCAAATCACCAAGGCTGGAGGTGGCGAGGGCCAAGTTCCCCAAGCTAGTCAGTCAAGTAGACGGACGATGAGAACAGGATGGAGGTGTCGATGGCAAAAACAGTGACAAGATCCAGGTATCCACTGTTGTCCAGATCCGTTCGAGCTCTAACACCGTCTGTGTGCACGAATCTGAACACACCTCGGAGCGTTATTCCCCAGCCCAGTGCACACTGCGTGACCGAAACAGCAGCTAAACCACTCTGATGGTCCCCGAGGGCACACTTTCAAAGTTCAAAGCTATTTCAAAGCTATTTTACAAGCTATTTACAAGTTCGAGCACAAATGCTAGAAGTGAGTGTGGAGGTTAGATTCGGATTCCGGTTCAGCTGGGTTGCCAGAGCTCGCATTTGCAACGCTAGCTCGGGGTTGCGAATCAAGGCATTTGCTACATCCAGAATGTTACAGCAGCGCTTCGCGAACAGAACTGCATCAAGATAAGATCTCCTCTTCTGCTTCGTCGAAACTCCGGCAGCCAAGAAGCGGGGCGAATGATATCACTACTCCCGTCTTGTCCTGAAATGTTCGAACATTGATCACACGGTTGCCTGGCTCTAGTATTTGGCCATTTCTCGGAGTTCAGGGGTCAGGAGCTAGCGGTGTCCGTCAGTTTCCAAAATCTCCTAATCATTACACCACAATCATCGACATGCTTTCCGATATTGCTCGCACCGGCGGCAGAGAGACGATAGTGGTCCATGAACAACACAGTACTCTTGCTATCCGCCTCAGCACTGCAGCTGAGCTCCGTCCTCTGCTTTCCACAAGCGAACCAAGCTGCTGAATAGTGCCACAAAGAGTACATTTTTCACGGGCAGTTATGTAGAACTACTACACTTGGTAGCTTCAGTAGAATCAATACCGCGCCGGCATCGCCTCAAGATCGCTTCTAAATATAGCTCGGCCACAATCAGTGAATCACACGGGTCGTCTGCAGAGCAGATCTCCAGCACTCTACCGAGTATGTACTGTACACTTTGTTTTGTTTTGCTTTGCAGTTGTTGCCGCGGTCAGGCCAGTGAAATCATGTTCTGTGATTGCCCGTATACCGAGTATGTACATGACCGTGCAGCTAAGCAGTCCTCCGCCAGAGCAAACTCGAACTACATGTCATGCATGTTGTGCTACGAAAGCCTCGGAAAGGGGCTCTTGGCGCGTTTGGCAGCAAGCTGCTAACGCGATATTCCCTGACCACAATGGCCGCATCCCGTTATACATCCGGTTGATGCTTTACTTAGTACTAAAATACAATGGACCTCACCTCTTCGTAGTGCACACTCTGATAATACGTATACTGCTTATTACGGACAATGTCCCGGCATAAAAGAGAAGTCCATTCTTCTCCAACTTAAAATCCGACCCGGGAGTCAAACGCAGCCCGGTGTTTCCATCTCAATTGCATCATGCATGGTCAAAAAGCCAATCCGAAGGCCACAGGGGCGCCGCTTTCGGTTCATGGGTCGGATTTCTTTGGCCAGAACCTTGCTTCGGATACTAAGGACAGCGAAACCTGTCGAAGAAGACTGCTGAAGGGACTTTCAAAGTGTGGTCTCTGTAACCAGGTGGTCTCCTTATCCAGTGCCATTTGACTGGAAATAGCATCCCCTGGTCCTGGCTGCAGTGGTCTTCTGGGACAGGTGGTCGCCTCATACGAGTGGTCGCCCTGACAGGTTTTACTGTACACCTTCCCGTTCACTATGGGATACGGGTACGTCTTTTCAGAGAATTGGACAAGTGAAATCATTTCTGGAGAAAGCACAGCATGCACTGGCGACATACGACACACTGCACTAGCTCAGACTCACAGTTACCACGCAAAGACGATTATCAGGCGCCAAGAGCTGGCCTCAATGTTTTAAAAATGCAGTGTTTAGAATAGCAGCAGAGTTATCTCATCTCGCAGTTGCAACCTAACTCACGAACACCCGCGCGCACACACGTACACACGCACCTACACACTCATCCACATGCACCCTCTCCACTCTCTCTCTCTCTCTCTCTCTCTCTCTCTCTCTCTCTCTCTCTCTCTCTCTCTCTCTCTCTCTCTCTCTCTCTCTCTCTCTCTCTCTCTCCTCGGACCGCTCTGTGTGTTTACCAGTCTCTCTGTTCGTGTGCGTGTCTTTTCTCAGGCTGGTCAACTGGCAGTTAATTTGCGTCTCTGATGTCTTCCTCTCACTCTTCCCTGTCGTTCTCTATCTGCATGTAGTATCAGACAAAATGTAATGCTCTCTGGCGAGCTCCCAGCTTCTACACTGGACACGCGTCTTCAGCAGGTAGCTGGTCTTCATCCAGTAGCCTCGTCTGTAGCTGAGTGGACGATGGCGTCAGTGTCATCTGCGGCGGGCGAGGTCGGCGGTGTGCAGCGAAAGGCCCACGTCTGCATTTTTGGCACAATGCTTGCCTAGTACTAGTGTTCGCACAGGCACAAAACATCGCTAGAATAATGCTAAGAAATGTCACAGACGATAGACCTATGGCGGCAGCAGTGCGCAGCCGGACTTCATGCGAGTGCCGCGTGTCAGCAACACGCCTTGGCTTTGTCCGCCGGCCATGCTTGCCTCGCTTCTTGGAGTTGGGCGATGGGGTGTTGATTGCTGAACTCGCAAACCAACCCTTCTCCTCTTGTGTTGTGTGAGCCCCGTTGCTGTGTGGTGCTGCGGAGCTGGTTGGTGCCTCGCTGTCCGGTCTTGCAGTGGTAGGCAGGTCCTCAGTACTACTAGCGTTTCCCACGTCCACTTTGGTTGTCGCGGTGACGTCAGAGATGGTTTCAGAAGCAGAGGGTGCTGAAGCAGAGGTTGCTGCAGCTGTGCTGTTTGCAGCCAGTCCAGACAAGAAGCATAGGAGCATCACGTGAGAGATGGACCGTGATGTAGTGGCTACAGATGGGAGACAAGCTGCAAAGAACAGCGAGAGGAAAAAACAAGTAAACGTTTTATCCATAGTGACTGATCCTACTAACCAAGGTGGGGAATAACAGCGAGACCGTCCTACCTATCAATTCAAGGAACAGTTTGTATTTGAATCTGCATGCAATGTTCCTCGAGCACTCCTCTACTCCATGTGCTCCTCAGCCGACACACGCGAAATATGCCAACAACGAGGGGCCACTGGTACACTGAAATTACTCCTGACAGCTGTTTCGCCTTTAACAAGTCTCGTCAGAGAAGGTGATACTCTGTAACTTTACCAATTTTAAAAAATGTATTCATCATATGCCTTAGCCTAAATCGAGGGAATCTCGCTTCCATAACGTTACATCACTGCTTCTGTTCTATCATTGTTATAATCGGACCTCGCTATTCATGCATTATTGGGTGTCTGATGATTGATGATTAAAAAATACTGTATACCAACCAATATCGTTTCGTGGACTGGTATGTCTCTGCATGAGAATTGCCAGTTGGCATCTGACAGAGATGCCTGGCAGTCACACTGTGCATCTACTGCTTACACAGCTGCATAATGCCGTTTATTATTTTATTTTACTATTATTATTTTTTCGGCAACGCAGATGATGATGATGATGATGATGATGATGATGCATTTTTTTGTATTTTGTATTTTATTATATTTAAGGATTTCCCAAAGGCTTTGGGCCTGTCGAGGGGATCTCCTGCAAGAAGAATGACAACTTTATGTAGAGGGAGCAGTTAATCGAGGATAGGCTAAGGAAATAGATCGAGGCATACAAAATATGGTAATTAAGGAGTTGGGATACCGTCAGTGTAATGAATATATCGGCGAAAATGCTGATAGAGAGAATGCTTGAATTCGGGGAGGCTGGTTATAGCGTATACCAACCAACCAACCAATCTGCCTCCCCTCGATTTGGGTGCCGGTTCTCATTACTACTACTTTGAAACGCTATGATGTTCCGAAAGATAATATACTAGCATGGCCGTATACTCATAGTCGTAGTGACATTCGACTCCAGCAAAATATCATCACAGGACAGGTTCCAACTTACCGGTACACGACATTATGTGATGTGGTGGCAAGGATCGCATCCAAGCAAGACTCCGTGGCAGTGGGCTGCTAATACCAGGAGATTGACCAGTGCTCCACCACCAATTCAAGTATTGTTTTGTTTGACCTGCGGCTTCATCACAGTGCTCATTGAACATTGCCTTGCATGGGTGATGCAGGTAACACGGTAGCCCGGATCCGCGGTGGTGTTCGTGCTACGGAGGATAATGTCCAACCAACGGTCGGCCTGAGTTGTTCGCACACTGGAATGTGAATAGCGGGTGCCGTCTGGAGACCTCTGGCACCAAAGGCCCTGGAAAACAGCTGCTAACCACTGTCGCGAGTGCAGACAGCACTCCCGGCGCAGCATACCAAGCAAGGGCATTGACAGAACAGATCATGAATGCCGATGCATGGTAGCCCTACCAAGAGTGTAGAGCCCTGAGAAGAGGGTGTTCGTTTGAACCTCTCCCACGACTACATGTACATGTACGTGCATGCTGTCTCCACCGTGTGCATTCACAGCGGATTGTGTGCCATAATGTTTTGCCAGGTGTGTACCAGTTGCTCCGATCCCGGTAAACATGGTAAAGGTGAAGATCTTTTCACTATACAGTACACTGAGTACAGTAATACACTGTGCAGAGCGTGCATTCCGTAGAAAGAAAATTAATAAAAGCACCCAGGAGGTATTCAGAACCAGGATTCGATGACTGCCTGCAGGGAAGCCTTCAGGTGCGGTTCAGTGGAAACATTACTACTCGTTGCCAATTTTTGTGGGAATAGCGGCGTCACTGTTATAACTTATAGTGCTCTCCAGCAGGGAGTCGTCAAATACCGGTATTTGACGACTCCCTGCTCTCCAGGTATTCAGGCATTGCCAGGGCCAGGGACACAATGTGACATACTTTCAGAGATGCTCCCTTTCCAGCGCAATAAACACAATAGTTGTTGGAGGTGGCAGCCGGTTGTGAATAGCTACTGGCTGAGCTCTCAGCGTCTGTTTGGAGCACATCATGAGTCTTGACTCTGACTCATGCAGCTGCCTGGGGTCTCATGAGGTGTTTATCGCGCTGGAAACTGAGCGTCTCTCTGGAGCTCTGAATCCCTGGTGATTTTCTACCTGGAGAGCAGTATAATTATATATATCGTGGTGCTCTTCAGCCTACAAAATAATTACAATGTAGGCACGACTCAGCCTACTCAAGCTCAACTGCATGATGAGGGGGAAATTCCCCGAAAACTGACTGTGTAGTGAGCAGCTAGGGAGTGCAGTGGTGCTTTCTCGCAGGTTTGCAGGAAGGTTCGATGGACTTCTCATGTACTCTCAGTCTGGGTCATGCGGCAGTCGTGAATGAGTCGAGTGTCAAGTCAAGTGGGCAGAAAAGCGCGAGTTCCGGTGTGTGGGGAGCAACCACTTTCGATATCAAGCCGCTAGCGGTTACCACTATTTCGCCATGTACATAGGTGGACATAACAAGAACGGTCTCTTCTGCCTAGAAGCAAGAGTCCATAACCCGGATTATGGACTCTTGCTAGAAGTAGAAGTCTGAAGAGTGGCACCTGACACGACCGCACACAGTAAAGGCAAGCCAAATTCCTTCTCTCCGTGACTGTTTGTCCTTCTCCCCTTCTGCTTGTATGCTTGTATTTTAGCCTTCCCTGGTACATGTACCAGCTGTTTTACATGGCACTTACAAGCCCGTCGCATCGACTTTGGAGGTGGGGCGGCCATGAAAGGGGGTTCGGGGGTCGTCCCCCGGGGAAAAATTTCAAAAATTGAAGCCAATTGCAAGCATTTCCGGGCATTTGGTGCCATTTCAGTGTACGGTAACTACAATGAAAGTCTTTTTGATTCTGCAACAAACCAAGAAGACGCTTCGATCGGGGACAAACATTACCCCCCCCCCCCGGGAAAAAAATTCCAAAATTGAAGCCAATTGCAAGCATTTCCAGGCATTTGGTGCCATTTCAGTGTAACTGCAATGAAAGACTTTTTTCTGCAACAAACCACGATATATCGATCGGGGACAAGGATTTGTCACGTTTGCGCTTACGATCATCGCGCTTTGTTGTAATGTGCTCCAAAAAACAAAACAAAAAACCGGCCGAAAAAGTGGGGCGGCCTCAGCCGCCCCGGCTGTGAAGGCCTTGCACTAGATGACTCCCCACCCCCGTCCCTATTATTGTTTCTCTCCCAAATGTTGCCCTTCTGTATCAGAGCTCTCGTCAATCTCGGACCCGACTCCACCCTCCCCTTTATCTAAGATTGTCTGCGGCTTCGCTCAAGTAACAGTTCAGTCCCCTCGTGCTTTGGCCTGTCCCCTTGGAAAATTGCCATCATCCGCGGAAATCACGGAATCCACACTTTTGCAATCTGTTTGAGCACATTGCTCTTGCCAGTGTAGGTGAGGGCAGGTCTCTCCAAAATTCTTCACTCTAATTCAGTTTGCGAACGCAAAGGATAGTGTGAAAAGCAGGGAGTCGTAACTCCCTGGTGAAAAGTACTCCTCCATACAACTAGTTGTCATAATATCCTCTACAAGGACTTGAAGGAGGGTGAACAACTTCAGCCCTCACCATCGTCTACACGGATTTCAAAAGCGTCGACCTCCATTTTGAAAACATGGTGGCCGGCCGCGCTACCCGTAGGCGCACGTGCCCACCGCGTGTCTCAGCGCGAGCTTCGAGCTCGCGAGCTAAAGATCATGTCGCCCACTCATTTTCCTGTGTTTCCCCATTTCTTCGAACTCGCTCAGCTTTTGCTTCAGCTTTTGCTTCGCTCGTGCTTCAGCTCCACGCTGTAGTCTGAGTTTAGTTCTCTTGTCTTCTTCCAGCAGAATACTGCAAACTCTACAGCACGTCGAGCTCCTCCTAGAAGAGTTTCTTTTGCGTCGAGGCAGACTGTCGATCGTTTCAGTCCTATTTTGCCGTCGTCTCATGAGCGCCCCGGAAAGCAACAGTATCTATTTTCTTGTCGTTCCATTTTCTGGCGAACTCATTCACCTACTACTTCTTCCTTTATGAAAGCTTCAGGTGGCTGAGTTCTCCCACTAGCGACAATCATGCCTTGGAAATGAACAGGATATTCCCAGGGTATGTACAGCCAGTGCAGTGATGTCAGTGTACTGCGCGTACTAGTAGTTGTTTGTTTTGTCGAGAAAGAATCCCTTTCGCACTCGCGCGGGCCGCGAGGGTGCAGCACGGAAACAGGTCTATTGAATTCATTTCTTGGTCGATTTCGACAACCAATACGTCGTTGTTTTTCTTTTTTCACTGGCTATCCTTTCTCCGCTTCCGAATTGCGATGCCGTCCACCTGGAAAGCCTTGAAGTGAAACGAGTGGAGGCCGGTTTCGGAGGTAATTTTCGGCCAAACGGCAATCAAATCGAAAAATTCGAAGCGGACGATCTGTTGGTATCTATCGAAAGAAGACGTTGGCCCATAAAAAATCTTTGGAAACTACACCGTATGAACCAAGGAATTACGGTAAGTTTGAGAATTTTGGTACATTAGCTGTACGCTGATTGGTCGATTTGCGCGACCGTTGAGAAACGGGCCAGTGACGCTTTGTACAGCGTTGGTGAGGGCTGAACTTGCAGAAAGTGCCGCAGATTTTCAATTTTACTTCAGAAAATGCCGCAGAAAACCCCCCTTTTTCGCCGCGGAATTTGCCGCAGAATTTGGAATTCTTGGCCGCGTTTTTCCAAAGGGACAGTTTGGCGCCTTCATTATCGATTATAGCAATAAAAACTGCTTTATGGCAGTTTTCTAAAAAAAGTTATTGTGTTCTAGTCTATGGACCCCGTCTAAAAAGTAAGAAATTAACGAAATGTGATAGCTGAAAATTAAAATTTCACACAAAACCTCACAATAATCACAACACTTGAAATGCTGCTTTCAACACTAAACTTGTGCGGCACCAACAATCAAAGTGGCAACATGCATGCATAGGAAAGAGGATCACGAGGGGAAAAGGTCTTCTGCATGTAGCTTTTCATTCTGTGTGTGATTATTGTGAGGTTTTGTGTGAAATTTTAATTTTCAGCTATCACATTTCGTTAATTTCTTACTTTTTAGACGGGGTCCATAGACTAGAACACAATAACTTTTTTTAGAAAACTGCCATAAAGCAGTTTTTATTGCTATAATTTCTTTTGTTTTTTCTGTCACCAATCAATGGAATGCCCTATATCAATATGTAAATGATGGCCTTCACATCATATCAATACCATAATTATTATACGCATTGATATGCAAGCCTTTTCTTGCAGAAAATGGCACTAGCATAATGCATGTTCTTCTGCGGGGAAACATGTGAGCAGTGGTGGTGATACTTTTTTTATACGGAGGTCATTCTGTGCATGTTGCTGTTGCAGAATTTCATGACTCTGTCATAAAATTGTCTTGCCTTTCAGATATTTCAGATTTCTCCACCCTCAATCAGATTTATTTGAGAAATGTAGCCATGCGCCAGGTGCGCGTCGCAGATGTTTTTGTTGATTCTGTGTTTATAGTCATGGGTTATCGTGATAAGGTCATCCAGCATCATATTGAAACTGAAATCGTAATCCTGTTGATGTCAATACAACTTTTGGAAGTAGTTCAATGACTTCAAACTGTTAGTCCACGATTGTCTAAAACAACACAGCAAAGGAGGAACAATAAACATGTATTAAAATGTAAACGAATACATTGCTGAGTCCAAAACCTCGTTCCAACAACTACACTGATCCTGAGGAGAAAAGGGGCAAGGCTATGGTTGGAGGTACTGAGAGATAAACAAGGCACTCCACAATAATAAAATCTTACACATCTTTTGGTGAGTATGAATGAAATCCAGTCGAACCTCTTTAGGACGAACTCCAAGGGACCGATGGTATTTATTCTGTGAGCTTAACCTATTTTATAACCAGAGAATACAATTATATCTCCAATAGACATACGAATAGATTTCTTCTACAGCGAAAAATTCTAAGCCACACCGACTCATTGACTCGTCTCGTATGAAACAATTGAGTCACTAGAGAGATTCTGCAAAACGAAAATGCGTACAAACTTTCGCTCTACATCATGAAGTGCGAAACTTTGGACCTTTGGACGCGAAACTTGCAGGGAACGCGAAATGAACTGTCGTAGGAAATTTCGTGAGATCGGGTCATGGCGTACGTGCACTTGGCCCGCGCAAACTACGAAAATGTGCAGAACGCAAAGTTCGTGCAAAAATTCGCACACACTTTCGCAAGGACTGTCGCGAAACTTCGTTCGAATTTTCGTTTTGCAGAACCTCTCTACTGAACCTTTCTTTAGCAACATGACGGCAACTGAAACAGCAACAGAGAAAGTACGATACATGTACTTCACATTCTTACAGGTACTACAAACAGATTGCAGATCGTAATTCTTGCTTTGGCGGCACGAAACTTTATTTGGGGCAGTGCAATCTCGGCGGTACTCACAAATCAAACAGCCCAGACTTGACTAAACAAATCCAATCATACAAGTACGAGATTTTCACGAGACGAGACTGCACCCATTGGCTTGTTTCGTATGAAACAAACAAGTTACTGAACCTCTCCACAATAGAGATTTCCCCTGATATGCGAATTTATTTTGCAAACTCGGTCAATTGGTACTTGAACCTTTCCCTCCAGATTGGGAACTGCCAACGATAGTATGCCACTGACCAGTGCCTTACTTGTAACGTACCAATGTACAATGAATATGAGTATTTCGACAACACATCTAACATAAGCCTTACCGTCAGGAAGTTGAACTCGCGTTCTTCGCACACTGTAGACAAGGGCAAAGAGATAAAAATGGATCTAAATCCGAATAAAGTCAGCACACGTTTCCGTAAATGAAAGGTGAACATAAGCAAATGAATCGAAGGAAACCGGTCAACTTAGAGATCACCTGTCATCGAGTATTCCGTAAAAGGAGGCCTCGCAGCTCGGCAGCAGAAAAGCAAAATTTAGAAAAGAGATCCTGTCAACTTTTCCATTATTTATTGCATTCCGCCCCAAAATCAGCACACTTTTCCTGAATGAATCAAAGGCAACTGGTCAACTCACCTGTCATTGAGTAATATTCCGCGAAAGGAGGTCTCAGCAGCGCCGAAACGAAATAAGCCAGGCCATGAGACGAAATATCCGAAACAGCTCATGCAAGAAGCAGTTCCAAAGAAGGAAGTTCCTCGCGCATGCACATCCGAACACGGATCCGCGGACTGCATGCACTGAACACAATGTCTGCCGTGCACGTGCACAGCACACGGCTACCAAGCGTTGGTAGATCTAATACCGAGCACCTTACGTAGAGACTTACGTAGCCTAAGTGAAATACCGAGCACCTTACGTAGAAACTTACGTAGCATAGCGATGTCGTTTTTTCTGCCATGTGAACACAATAATAGAAAAGCTGACAGGATCGCTTTTCTAAATATGGCCACAGCAAGAGGACAATGTACAAGCTGTTTATGCTCACAGCATTGAACAGCATTACTAGTACACTGCATGCCTTTCCAGACCCATGAACTCGCCAACGACAAGTCTCGAAAATAATAAAAAAGCATCCTACAGATTTCGGCTCCCTGACTAGTCCGCGCGGCATACAGTGATCTACTCCAAAGCAGTTGGAGCCAGCCCATGATATGCATGATGGGTCATCGTCCTACGGAATCACAACCAACCCACATAACAACAGCACACTGACCACCGTATGCCGGGGAATTTCTGCAAGTTTTCCAGGATAGCAATCATGGTAATAGAGCGTGACGAGTGTGAGTGTACAGTGTACATGTACGGGTACCCACAGCTGGCGATTGTTCAAGAAAGATGCAAATCGTGGAAAAGGCCAGCACCGGAAGACTTGAGCAGAAAAAGGAGACAGCATGGGAATGGATCGCCAACCAATGGCAATGATGGCATGCTTTCCAGTCAATAATAAGCACCAGGGTTGAATGTGGGTCGTATGTTATGTGGAACACACAAGCTTCTTGACAGGACAACAATGCGCAGAGGGAGAAAGTCAAAGAGAAGGGCAAATGAGTAGGCGGATGCCTGGCTGGATGGTGCGATACCACACGCCACCGGAAATTCATCTTGGCACGTTGAAGGTTACAAAAGAACGGTTTCTAGTGGAGAGGACGCAATATCATGTTGCCCAGCGCATCACTCGAGCGCTAACACCACACACGTACACAAACATAATATACACACATACACAAAAGCATGCGCGTGCACACACACGCGCATATACATATGCGCCCGCTACAAACGTGCCGTGGGCAGCACAGCAAAGATCTCGGCAAATCTACAAGCCCGCAGCCGCATGCAACAAAGCACAACTACTCACAGCCACAACTTCTAAGCGTGCACACACACAACTGGATTACAACAACAGCTGTACTTTGAGCGCAAGTCTCATTTAGCATCAGTCTAACGAAGGAAAACAACAGACTGAGAAGGAACCCTTGTACACACGCACTGAGTACATTGGTCAAAATGAAAACCGATTACAGAACGTACACGACGATCACCCGCCCAGTCGTTGTAGACATGAACGCAGCTACGTAGGAATAGAGCAAGCAAAGCCAAGGAAAAAGCACACAAAACTCTCTCCGACTGGTAGAGGCGAAATGCTGCACTTTCGGGCCATGTCCAGTGCTGCAGTCTCAAAGGCTGCCCGGGAGAGAGAGAGAGAGAGAGAGAGAGAAACGGGGCATTCTTGTATAGAAGAACGCTGGACACTGGATCCCGTGTGATAGCAAACAAGGTGACGGACATGACGCAACAGGTAACGTTGGTTGTCGATTGCCCAAAGAGCCGTACTTCAATAGTAGACCTCGCGACAACACACGCAGAGATTGAAATCAGCCAGAGAGATCATTCGACTCAAACTTCTCCTCGGCATACGTCTCGGCTTTGATGACGCGCCCACCAAACCATCGGTTGTCCAAGGCCTTGATGGCAGCAACGGCAGCTGGGAACACAAAGAGTACACACACGCACAACCACACACACACACGTGCATGCACACACACACAGCACAGGAAGAGAGATTAGAACAAACAGTTGAGGCGGAAGCACATGCGAAAATGAAAAAGAAAACATAACAGCACATGAGGTTGAAGCACACACGGTCCACATATCCTGCGCCAGTACAGAACCACCACTGCACAACTAAAATAGCTGTAGCTTGAAGGAACTAGCCATTGCTTACAGTCATGTTCGAAGAAGCGCACAAAGATCTTGACAATGACTTCAGCGTCATCCTCCTCGCCTTGCCGCTCCTGGTAAATGACAACGCGCTGCACCTGAATACACACACACACGCACGCACACACACACACACACACAATGGAACGGCACAAGCTATTAGATGACTTCCAAGAGATCCATGTCCAGTCGACTACGTGAATGTGAACTAGCACATCTGCGTAATCATATCGACATTAACTGTATCAGGTGACATTCGTTTTCTGGTAATTCTTGGACTTTACGACACAGAACAGAACAATGCTCAATAAAACGAAAACTAAAACCAGGTAGACCCAGTCGAGCGAGACCTTACACAAGCATGCAGTGAACTGTCGTAACTCGTGCCGTTGGACCTCGTGGAGTAACAAGAGAGAAAGAGAGCGAGAGAGAGAGAGAGAGAGAGAGAGAGAGAGAGAGAGAGAGAGAGAGAGAGAGAGAGAGAGAGAGAGAGGGAGGGAGAGAGAGAGACAGGGAGGGAGGGAGAGAGAGAGAGACAGAGAGAGAGAGAGAGAGAGAGAGAGAGAGAGAGAGAGAGAGAGAGAGAGAGAGAGAGAGAGAGAGAGAGAGAGAGAGAGAGAGAGCAAGTACCACAATGCTTAGCGTACCTTGCCATGCCGGCTGCATTCTTCAGTGACTTCCGATTCCAGCTCCTCATCCAGGTCTTCCACAGCCACCATATCACGCAGTACAACAACTGTCGACTATGAGCAGATGAAAAAACAAACACACACACACATGCACGCGTGCACACACACACACACACAATGAGAGTACAGCCGACACATCTCAACACTATACTACAGCCCAGAGCGAACGCGATTTTTTTTGTTCACGACTTCGTAGTTTTTTGGAGCGTGCCAGGGGATTTCCCTTTGGCACGGCGCATGCGTGATGGACATCAAATGAAGCGCTTGGATCTCAGCTTTGCAGGGCAGTTTGAATCGCGAAAATCGGTTGAATTTGGGCAAGAAGCCGAACAAGACTGTCAAATTGAGTTGTTGTGCCGTTCCGAGAGTAGTTTGGCGAGGAGGTGGAAGTGGCCCTGATGTGTCTATGGAGCTGAGAGCTGCCAGGATGGATTTGCTTGGTCCTGATCTTTCCAACGAGCCCAGGATGATGAAAATCCATCAAGGTGGAGTGAAATGAGAATAAATTTCGTTCGGAGCTGTGAGTGCAAACTTTCCGCCAATAGAGTCAGTGCGGTGGAAAGCCAGTGGATTGGAGAAAAGGGGCCCAGCATGCAACGGGTTAAAATTGCCAAGGCAATCATCAGGCAATGAGCACTTTCCCGGCAGCAAGAGTACATGAAGCCCAGAGTGTACCGCTTCTGGCCTCGTCTGCATGGCTGTATGCCACAGCGAAATTCCGGAACTACATCATAATATTTGGTGCAGATCTGAGGCGGGAAGTGGCGTAGTGCGTACAGCTGAGCTGCAGTTGTGCAGAAAGAGATCTGCTGGAATCCTGCGTGTACGCTAGGGCAGACCCGAATTTGCTAGTAATTCTTCTAGCAAAATATCGAAGAATTTTGAAAGGGAATTTGCTGGCAAAATGGAGCAAAATATCGGTGTGTTGGCTGGGAACTGGGAGATTTTACACATATACGGTGCACATGACTCATTTCGGCACAGTTTTACCAACACGTGACTCACTTTTTCTCATTTTTGCCAACACGTAACCCACTTTTGGTCAGTTTTCTCACACGTGACACAAATTTTGGAGCAAAAAGGGAGCAAAATATCGAGTGGCCTAGCAAAATGAAAGCAAAATTTCGACGATGCACGAGCAAAATTATGCCGCAAAATATCGAGATTCAGCTGGAAAATTCGGGTCAGCCCTAGTGTACGCACTACATTACTAAACGGATGTAATCGCGGAACCTTGCCATGACAGCAACCTATCAGAGCTGCATACTCTGGGTTTCATGTACTCTTGTCGGCAGTTAGCCCAACCTCTCTTCGCAGTCGATATTTCATACATTTTTTTGGTTTGAGCGAGGGAGGGGCTGCAACAAACCTACATGTACATCTCAAAGTTTCGCCACAAGACCAAGCCAGGATCTAGCAAACATTTAAATGGGCGTCTACTAGGTGAGCGTGAATGTGTGCGTGGCTTCGTTTGCTGCATCAAAAAGGCCTTGATGTTTCCGGACGGCGCCTATCAAAAGAATCTGTGACAAGTCTGCTTTCTCACTGGAATTTTAGAGACAGCGTATTGCCACTAACCTCATTGGAACGCTGAAGCTTCTGCATCAACATGAAGCGAGCGTTGGTGCCGGAAATGGCGATGTTCTCCTCGGTGGAGAGAGCCGCTTCGGGCTTGCCTTGCTTTGCAGCAATCTCCGCTGCGGTCGGTGGAGCTGTTGCAATCAGAGGCGCCGCAGAAGGGGCAGATGCGGCACTCTGTCCCGTGATGGCGGCAGCTGCTGCTTGTGCGTTTGCGAGCTGTGTCTGCGCCTGCGCATTGCCCAAGTTCAAACCGCTGGCGAGACCGGGCAGATTGGCGGCCCGCAGCAGGTTGGCGGCGTTCGCCAGCTGGCCCAGTTGACCGAGACCGGCCAGGCCAGCGAGGCCACCAACTCCGCCGAGACCAGCTACACCACCCAGGCCAGGAGCAAGTCCACCCAGACCACCAATACCGGCTGCCATACCGCCCAGGCCGGCAAGGCCACCAAGACCTCCGATGCCACTGGTAGGAGTGCTCGTGGTCGTATTATCCAAACCTAGAGAAGCAGTATAATTATAGACAAACACACACACACACAAACAAGCAGATATGCTCAGAGAGAGAGAGAAAGAGAGAGAAAGAGAGAGAGAGAGAGAGAGAGAGAGAGAGACAGAGAGAGAGAGAGGGAGAGAGAGAGAAAGATAGAGAGTTTTAAAAGAAAGAAAGGTAAGGTGGCGATTCGCAGTGAGCGGGATCAAGTAGATTGCCCTGTAACAGATCAGAATACAGAGATAGAGAGCGGTAACTTGCCTGCCAGTCTGGATTGGATAGCGGACACAGCAAGCTGAGCTTGTGCTGCACCAGGCACAGACGAAGCGGCAGCAGCGGCCGCAGCTACGGACACCGGCGGGACGAGACCGCCGCCGGAGGTCTGTGGATTCTGTCCCGGTGGAATCGGTGGAGTCAGACACTGCCAGCAGTACACACGGGGGGTAAATAGCGCGCAGAGAAGGAAAGTACACAGAACAACACCAACGTAAGATGTGAAGAGCTGAGATGCATAACCTGCTAAGTGCCAAAAGTGAGAAGATCACTCAGTCTAATCAAAAGGTCTATGGGCACCACCAGGCAAAATTTCACATTCAAATCTGACTTCAACCATTCAAAACTGGAACACAAATACGGATTTAGAAATCTTAGATACAAACCGCAACTATTATAAATAATTATTTATTTATAGCAAAGACAACTACCGTAAAAGCCAGTGTATAGGCCCCGGGCGTATAGAATAGCAGCCTCGATTTCCTGGGCGTATACAAGGGCAGGGGCGTTATTTCGGAACCGGGCGTATACTTGGAAAAGGGATAGCAGTAAGTATTGGCTATCAGTACCTACATGTACTAGTGTTGCCGGCATACCTGGGCTTATACATGGACATGGGCGCTATTTTGAAACGAAAGTGTGGACTTCCCCTGACTGGGCGTGTACACGGAGGGTGGGCGTAATTTCGAGTGGGCGTATACAGGGGCTTCTACGGTACCAAGGAACTACAAGTTGCACTATAGTATAATGTTCACTCACACCACCAATTTAAAATACTTATAATAAACGGATCCTTTTCGGCCAGTATCCGAAAAGTTATGAAACGGATTTATCGGGTTTCGCATTCCAGTTCTTCACGTACTGTGTACGCCCATGGAGTACAGGTGCGAGTCTCATTGCAACTCAAGCACAGTCACGACGAATGGAATGGTGCCAGGACCCAGGACTCAAAGTGAAGGACAGAGCAGAAAAAGCTGAGGGGCAAGGAGATGTACTACAGTGCATTTCAAAACTATAGACGCGTAGGGTTTTTGAAATATTTCAAATTTGGCTGGAACTTTTTGAGAATAGTTTTCGGAATATTGCTCAGGACCGCTCCACAATTACTCTCATATAGTTTCTAAACGATTGGATAACAGACGCCCAATTTGGAAAAAATTATGCACAATGTGATCACAGATTTTATGTGGTATAGATGCTGGCATAACGGTTTTTGCCTAGGTACGCGTCTATAGTTTTGAAATGGACTGTAGTACAGTAAAACCTGTCAAGGCGACCACCTGTCCCGGAAGACCACCTGTCCCGGAAGACCACTGCAGCCAGGACCAAGGGATGCTAGTTCCAGTCAAATGGCACTGCCACTGGATAAGGAGACCACCTGGTTACAGAGACCACCTGGTTACAGAGACCACCTGGTTACAGAGACCACACTTTGAAAGTACCTTGAGCAGTCGGCATAGACAGGCTTCACTGTACAGCACTTCAAAGCTCACCCTCAAGCACCACTTCCTAACACCCAGCAAGAAGGCGACGTAAAGAGTCACCTAGACGAAAACCAATGCCATACATAAAGAGTCGGGTGGAGAGCCAAGGATTAATTTATAAGAAGAAACGTAAAGCAACTGGTGGTGTTAGTGGATATTGTAGCGCAACTTGTAGCTCTTTGGTCCTCTTTTCTGCCATACATAAAGCCTCTACCTTTCCCACGCGTAGAAACTGTCCTCCGAGATCGAAGAGGTTCATAGAGGCAATTGCATCGGTGGATGCTTGCTTCGTGTCATACTCGATGAACGCGTACCCCCTGTACCAACACACAGCACAAGGCAATACACGGAAGCAGTACGTGAACACCAAGGAGGGAGAGCAACACAGCACGACGGCAATACATGGAAGGAGCACATGAACACCAAGGAGGGAGAGCAGTACCGTATTTCCCCGAATAGAAGTCACACCTTTTCACACTAAACTCCACGGCCGAAAAGGGGGTGCGATTTACAATTGAGCATGATCACTACTGAGGTGAATAATTGCCGTAATTTCGCGTATTAAAGCCGGGCTTATTCCTATAGAAGCCGATGTAAGGGCTAGGCTTCTATTCACATCAGTTTTGTATTCAAACCAGGTATTTCTATGTGTGTTAACACTAAAAAATGAAAATGTGTAAAGATCGCAGGTCATGCATGTGCTTCCATCTGAAGATGTCAAACTACTTGTCCATACTTGTGCTTGCCACCCACGCCTTCCGTGGCCAGCTGAATCTCCTTGATCTTGCCAAACGCCTCAAACACACTGGACAGCAACAAGACACACCGTACCAACGAGCTCAAATTGAACGATGACGTGAAAATAATGACTTGTTCATACAGGAGGAATTCCAAGGGACAGAGTCCTCGGGTGTTATCGGGACATCCTGCATTCCGTGACCCGTGCAATTATTCCTTGCCGGATATGAGGCCAGAAAAGTCCAAAGACAGGGAATTAGAAATTCAGGCAAGGTTTAGCAAAATTTGGACAGGCATGCCATGCAAATGTATGGAGAAGCAGATCCAAAACTCAGATTTTTGAAGTTGAAAGTGGGTTCAGGCATTCAATATGGCCAAAATCGGGTTTCGAAAAGCCAGCAGTACTACAGCAAAACTCCCCAGAACAGGACACGTCCGCCTACCAAACACCTTTCTGACTCGTCTAGAGCCATAAAAAGGCTTATCAACGAAAAACGGCCCCAAAACAGGCATCAAATCTTTACTTGCATGCAGTAGACACAGAAGTAGTTGAACTAAGTTCTGTATGTAAGTTCTAAATTACGGGCAATTCCTAGATACGGGCAGTGCTCGGTCCCGACCTGCCCGGACCTGGGGAGTTTTACTGTAGTATCTTGGATGCAGTAGACACAGTAAGTTCTGAGTTACGGGCAGTGCTCGGTCCCGACCTGCCCGGACCTGGGGAGTTTTACTGTAGTATCTTGGATGACTGGACTGTAAAGCTACATACTACCCACCTTTTGACATCAGTCTCATTGAGATCTGGATGAATAGAGGCTACGTAGATGCGGTTGTAGCTCTCTGCTTCCGTCTGCATCTGCGCTATGACCGGCGCGGCAGCGGGAAGGCTGCTCGGACGGCCACACTGCACAAAACAAGACGGCAAAGCAATGTGTTATCCACACGTCACATACCCAGGTGGCTTAGCTTCTTACACAACAGGAAGAGAGAGAAAGAGAGAAAGAGACAGGGCTGCAGCCGGGGGCGGAGAAAGAGTACAGTGAAACCTGTCAAGGTGACCACCTGTCCTAGAAGACCACCTGTCCTAGAAGACCACTTGGATAAGGTGACCACTTGGATAAGGTGACCACCTGTCCTAGAAGACCACTTGGATAAGGCGACCACCTGTCCTAGAAGACCACTGAAGCCAGGACCAAGGGATGCTATTTCCAGTCAAATGACATTGGATAAGGAGACCACCTGGTGACAGAGACCACGGTTTTCAGGTCCCTTGAGCGGTCGCTTTAGACAGGTTTCACTGTAGACTCTTTCACCAATGGAAGGTAGAACCATCGGCTTGCACTTGGCAGGGAAAACAGATGAGACGAAGTAACACAATTGCTGATAACAAGCAACAACGAATCCAATTGCCAGCAGTCGCTCGTGATTCCAAGCTAGGCCAGCTCCATAGCTTGTCGCGGGGAGTACAACTACTCTCTCCACATTGCGCCTTGCCATGCTGCCAAGTACAAGCCGATGGACCGGGTGCGTATGTGTGTGTGTGTCGGAGAGATGGAGACGGCTAAGAGATCAGGTCAGCACACACGCACACAAACACACGCGCACGCACAACAAAGACTGATAGGCAGCATTGGTGACAATCGAGACAAGTCATTGGTTCTCTGGCGGTGACAAGGCTTACCGTCGCACTTCTACTACGTGTGCACGTCTAACAACGCACACCTCTTTACCCCTCTCTGCTCGTTGGCACACTTGTTCAAGAACACATACGCGCGCACATGCTTTCTCCACGCACCACGGTGAAATACACAGAACACACCGGCACACACTCCCACGGAACAACAAGACAACACACAGACAGAAAGACAGGCAGAGGGAGAGAGAGAGAGAGAGAGAGAGAGAGAGAGAGAGAGAGAGTGAGAGAGAGTGAGAGAGTGAGAGAGAGAGAGAGACGGAGAAAAAGAAGCGAGGATGCAGCTCGGCCCGCTTTATGCTCGGGCAGCAAGCGTGACCGCGCGTGGTGACTCGTGGCGACTCAATCATGACATCACCATGAGATCATCATGACTCATCATCTGACAATAGCAGACTGTATACAGAGATACACAGAAGCACTGGCAAAAAGAGACGACGGGGAAACATACAAACGACGAGACAAACGACAATGACGACGACGAAAAACACACACGCCAACACCACGCGGAGAAACAAACAAGCACACAGACAAACACACACACGCACACACACACACACACACAAACGCACGCACAAAAGTCCGGCCATTCGCATGCTCCAAAACCACCACATAACATGCACGCGCACAAGCACACACGACACCCCGCACATACACACGCGGAAGACACAGCGGCCACACAGCGTTTGAACACTAGCCCAAGAGCTCCTCGTAGGTCACCTCAACACCCAAGCTTTAGTTCTCAGGAGCAGTCAGGAACACATGCAGATGTAGCTTTGTCCTGAAAACAGTACAGCTGTGTGTCGGCCTCTTCGTACAAGAAAGAGAACGAGACAGAACGAGAGAGAGAGAGAGAGAGAGAGAGAGAGAGAGAGAGAGAGAGATTGAGATATAGATAGATAGATAGACAGCGAGAGAGAGAGAGAGAGAGAGAGAGAGAGAGAGAGAGAGAGAGAGAGAGAGAGAGAGAGAGAGAGAGAGAGAGAGAGAGAGAGAGAGAGAGAGAGAGAGCACGCTTTAATCTTCCACAGGTCATCGCATACCTTGATATTGCGCCCACCCAGCATGACACCGTTCATCTGATCTAGGGCGATCTGAGCAGCTTCAGGGCAGTCATACTCGACGAATGCAAACCCCTGTAACGACAACAGCATGCAAGACAAGGATAGTAGCGAAATCAGCATATGCACACAACATGCAGCTCTTTTATACGTACCCATAGACATCGAGTAGCATATGTCGTCAATATTTCCACAAAAAAAGTGACAAGAGAGTAGCAATATTTCGACTGAAACTCGCCCCAAAGATTGTCCAGCAGACCGAAGTGCCCGTCGCTTCCGTGTCGGGAGGTATATGAGTATACATGGCAAGATACACAGTCGGGGGCGTACCTTGTGTTTCATGGCTACGTTGTCCCAAGCCAAGTCGATCGAGCGGATGGGACCGAACGGCACAAACGCCTGCTTCACTTGATCTTCCTTCATGTCAAAGTTGATGCTTCCAACATAGACTCTGCGTGCCGGGGTAAAGCAAGAGGCAGACAGAGAGACTAAATGACAACGAAATAGACTACATGTATCAGGACAAGTACTCGCTACAGCCACGAGCATGAAAAGGATGGTGTACAAACGGCACAGTGTCTATGCAGTCAGGAGAGGAGGGGTCTGGCATCCGGGAAACTTTCAAAGGCTACATTTTTGTATCCAACCAGCAAAAAAACTATGTTCACTTGGTGAAGTAAATTTAAAGATATCACCACCAGCACCGTCGCCGCCACCACCACAACCACCACCCCCACAACCACCACCACAACCACCACCCCCACAACCACAACCACCACCACCCCAACAACCACAACCACAGCCACCACAACCACAGCCACAGCCACCACAACCACAGCCACCACAGCCACCACAACCACCACCACCACCACTACCACCACCACTACCACAACCACTACCCCTACCACCACCACCACTACCACCACCACAACAACTATACAAGCATCACCACAACATACCACCACCACCGCCATAACAACCACCGCCATAACAACAATCACTGCCACCAGCACCACCACCACTACCAGCACCACCACCAACCCGCACGCATACCTGCACATCAGTTGGAAGGCACGCTGACGTTGGGACTGTTCCTGCATCTCAATCACCTACAGTCAGCAACGCACACAAACACATCACGAGCAAACAAACAAAAAACAAAGAAGCTCAGCCCCTATTAAACTTGAGACCAAATGCAACTGTCAGCGTGGGTCTTGATTATTAGGACAACTTTTCCTTTCGTTCGTCGGTCGCTTACGTTGATCTCGGTAATGAAAAGCAAATGTGCGAGTGTAGGGCTGAACTCAAAGAAAATCTTTTTTTGTTTGTTTCAGGTCTAAAGACGCAAATGGACTACTTCCTTCATTCTTCCAGTTTGGCCTGGTTCAAAGATAAATGAGCATCATCTTTAGGTGCTATCCGGTATTATCGATAATTTTCACGAAACGAGTTTAGTTAGGACCACCCCCCCCCCCCCCCGAACGAAAAATAGATGGACTTGACAGCTAGAATGAATTGATGTCTCACATATCAATATATTTCAAAAACGAAACTCCCCTTGACCCAATCACCCATAAACGAAACGTTTTCTCTTCGTGTAAAACACCGATAATTATGGACGGCCCCTTACCGAACAGTTATCAATCAAAATGAATTTTACACGAAAAGCTCACACAACAGGGTTTTTAACCGAACTTACTCTCTTGGCCATTCCTGCCTGACCGCCAGCTGCAGCAATAGACGCAGCGGCCACGGCCGCCTGCTGTTGTTGCTGCTGGGCCTGCAGCTGAGCGACTTGCTGCTGAATCTGCTGCTGGGCGTGCTGCTGTGCCTGCTGCTGGGCTGCCACCTGCTGCTGTACGGCATTCTGCAGGGATTGCTGTGCAACGTTCTGCAGCGTTTGCTGTGCGTTCTGCTGCATCGACTGCAGCGCCTTCTGCAACTGAAGCTGGGGCGAAAACGTGGTGGGCATCTGCGGCGTGGGAATCAGCGCCTGCTGACGCGCAGCTTGAGAAGCTTTCTGCAGTGCAAGTACACACGCATAGAGATTGAGCAACCCTGGAGAGTGAGCAACCCTGGAGAGTGAGCAATCCTGGAAATAAACATTTGTCTACACAGTCCAGCTTTACGTCAACTATACGTATGTGCCTGTTGCCAAACATAAGAGTAAGCATCGACATGGCAGCAGCAGCATATTAGATCAGAGAGGAAATGAGCGCTGCCCCCCCCCCCCCCCCCCCACGTTACACACGGTATGCCGACAAATGCAAAGCGGAGCACATGTACGTACGAATGCGGCAGTTTGCTCAGCGCAGAACTTCTTGGCTCGGTCCAAGTACTCTTTCTGAGCAGGAGACAGATCAGCAAAACTCTTTCCACCACCACCGTTGCCAGGGTCACTTGGATCATCTACAAGCATAATCATACCAACAGAGGGAGCAAAACCAAGGTGCTATAATAATTTAACTTGTCATCAGGCATAGCCCAAAGTCACAGTATGGAATATGCACTGTATGATGAAAACCGGCAACCACATACTCAAGCATGTGCGAACATTTTGTGCGCTTGTGTGTGTGTGTGTGTGTGTGTGTGTGTATGTGTGTGCGTGCGCGTGTGTGTGCATGCTTGTGCGTGTGTGCGCTCGTGCGTGCATGCGCGTGTACGTATCGGGGTGTGTGCGTAAGTGGATGTGTGCAAGCAGGCAAGCAGTTATGTTTACATACCTAAACGGTCCCAGCCACGCTTGCGGGAGGATCGAGCAGGGGGTGCAGCTGGGGTTGGGGCAGGGGCAGTAGTCGGTTCTTCAGCTGTTTTTGTTCCATCTGTAGCGACCACCTCGGCAGTGGCTTTTGCAGCTGGCTCTGAATTTTTATCTGCTCCATCGCCGACCTCCTCTGCTGCAGTAACTTCACCAGTGGTAGCTGGCAACGAGACACGAGAAGGACTCTGGTCAACAGAGTTGGACTTGACCTCACCATCTCCAGTGTTGCCATTGCCAGTGTTCTCAGTCGCCACTCCATTCACTGGTTCCCCTTCAGGCACTTGGGACGGACTGTTTGCCGTCTCCTCGGCCTCCATAGCCTCCGGTTGATCCTCGGCGACGTTCTGCTGTTTATCCAAGCTACCCTGGTCAGCCGAGAGGTCAACAGCTGAGTCGCCCACAGAGACAGACTCCTGCAGTAGAAGGAAGCAGCAGGAAACGCGTTGGCCGTCACAAAAGCTTCGGTCCTACACTAAAGTGCAGTGGACGCTACTACTGGATACTTACCATTCCTCTCCAAGAAATAAGCAGGAACTTCGAGACAAAATTAATAGCGATGTCTACTTCAAAGTACCAAGGTTCCTTTCTTTCACAGAATATTCTCAGACACAACAAACAAAAAAACATTTGCAAATCGCTCGTTCATCATTCAGCTCAGATCAGATGTGGATCATGCACCTACAAACACGTTGGATGTCGATCGAGCTGCGTGTGTGTGGTCATCAGGTCATCGGCGGAGATCACAGTCTAGTCTAGTCATGTATCACTCGCGTACTACAAGTACAAAAAAAAGTACAAGCTCGCGCGCCATTTTTTTACAGCCATCGCGGCGCCTCGGCGGCGCCGGCGCGAATTATTTGCGGCATCATTATGACATCATGGTTATCACAGCTTGACGTCATGACATAAACATTATTTTTTACCACTGCGCGAAACGTACACGTGCAGTACGTGTGCAAGCCTGCAAGGCAGGAAACAAAACAAAAAGCTGTGTCACACACTGTGCGTAGATGTGTCATGGCCATTTTTGAAAAATCCCCTTTGCTTTTTGCTTTGCATTTTTCCTCTTCCATGGTGAGAACGCATAGCAGTGTCCTTGACTGATCAAGAAGCACATAACACAGTGCAGTTTTGATAAGAACAGACGAAGGAGCTACTTGCTTTCTTCTGCAGCGAAGCATGTAGAGACTTGGAGTTGCCACGTCTCAACGAAGAAATTGAAATTTTGTTTCTTTATTCCAAGCAAACAACGGCGATTGTCACTTGTACGAGCACTCATCAGAAGAACAAGTTGCCTGGATTATCAGGATGGATTGGGTTCGGTACTGCGTTGCGGCGCTGAAGTTCGTCGTCATCTCCTTTCTCCTGGAGTATGGTGTAAGTCCCCTGATGGCGCGAATGCTGTACTCGAGTACCACTGGTCTGAATGGAGATGCACACGGGTCACAGGGCCAGCAGTGTTCGCCCAGCTCACAGAAGACCGCTTTCCGAGGTTACGCCAAGCACCTTCACGATCTCTCCCAGTCTAGCCGCGCAGCAACTCACAACGCAGCCACACTGGACACCGCAGCCGCCGACCAACATGCCACGCCGCGAAACGACGGCAAGCCCGCGCTGAGCAATGGCGAGCGGCAAGCCGAGGTGGTGGCCGCCTTCAGGCACGCGTGGCACGGCTACCGCACGCACGCCTGGGGCAAGGACATGCTGCGGCCAGTGTCGCGGGGCCATGAGGAATGGTTTGGCCTGGGCATGACGATCGTGGACTCGCTTGACACCATGCATCTGATGGGCCTGGAGCAGGAGTTTGCCGAGGCGCGCCTCTGGGTCGAGCAGAACCTGGACGTGCGCAAGAACATGGACGTGAACGTGTTCGAGACCACCATTCGCATTGTCGGCGGGCTGCTGGGCGCGTATCACCTGTCGCTGGACTCACTCTTCAAAGAGAAAGCCGTAAGTATACCCAGGGGTACAGTGAAACCTGTCTAAGATGACCACTCAAGGGACCTGCAATATGTGGTCTCGGTTGCCAGGTGGTCTCGGTTGCCAGGTGGTCTCCTTATCCAGGGTCATTTGACTGGAAGTAGCACCCCTTGGTCCTGGTTACAGTGGTCTTCTGAGGCAGGTGGTCGCCGTATCAGAGTTGTCGCCTTGATAGGTTTTTACTGTACAAATAAACACAGCTCACAGTGCAGGTAAAAATGAGAAAGGACACATGGGTACGGGTTATGTGTAGCTGTCCACTAGCAGGGACGTCGGGCGGTATTTTAGTGTGCTACGGTCAGCCATCTGAAGTACAATTTACTCGTGGAGGAGGGGTGGCTGAGCAGAACATTTTTGGGAAATTTAGAGTCCAGATCAGTGTATTTCATTGATTCCCAGTCAATACCTGGGGGCAAACAGTGGTACGGTCAATACCGGAGTGACCGTAGCGTGTCCGACACCCCCTGACTACTGTATCAAGTATTGTGACACTACCGTCACCGTGGTACGGTCACTGCCGTAGTTTCCGTACCGTGTCCTGACTACTGTAGCAAGTACTGCGATACTACCGTAGCTATCGTACCGTGTCCTGACTACTGTAGCAAGTACTGCGACACTACCATAGCTATCGTACCGTGTCCTGACTACTGTAGCAAGTACTGCGATACTACCGTAGCTATCGTACACATTATGGTGAACTATTCACCTAGTGTACGCACATTTCGAGTTTTGAGTAGATACGATGCAAATGAATCCGTCGAATCCGCCTCTGGGAGGTGGGTTGACTGGATCCGAATCCGTGGGACCGGGATCCGGATCCGTACAATCGAACATGTACGAATTTGGGGAATCCGGGGCCCATGGATTCGCGCGATCGAACATGCCCTGTGTCCATTCTTATTTTTACCTTCAGGGGTCGTCCACAAATATCAATATCTTTTTACAGAAGACATTCGTTCGTTTGGGCGTGGGGGGGGGGGGGGGGGGGTGGTCTCTGTTCGTCTTGTCTTTGTTAGAAAAAATTTCGATCTCTAGATGTGGACGGGCACTGTGTACACTTGTAGTTGATGACGTACTAGAAGTGAAAGTCGGCCTCGTGAATATTGCCACGGCAAGGTTTTGCGATCATGGCAAGGGTAGGGTGAATTTGGAGTTGCTGTTGTTCATGTTACATGAGGAGATCCCCTGCGCAAACCTGTGTATGTTCGTTTTGAGGGAGAGAAATGAACGAATATCGTCTCCAAAAGAATATCCGTATTTACGGATGGCCCCTTACACTTTGCTCAGTTTGTTAAACGAAAAATAAGAAAATGTCACGAAGCCGACTACATGCAGGTTTACAAACTCCGGGTGTTGGGGGACAACTGTCTCGATGTAGCTTGAAAAGCCAGTTATCTGACTAGTACTTCCTGTGCGCGTGTGTGCCGGTGTGGGTGTGTTTGGGGTGTGTGTCGGTGTATGTGTGTGTGTATGTTTAGATCCAGCTAGCTGACTCGCTGATCCCAGCCTTTGCCACAGGGTCCGGTATCCCGCTGTCGGACATCAACCTGTTCACTGGCAATGCCTCGCCACCGAAATGGGCGCCCGAGAGCTCCATCGCCGAGGTTACCACGCTGCAGATGGAGTTCCGCGAGATCTCACGGCTAACCGGCGATGCAAAGTACCAAGTGAGTTTTGGGCACACAATTGACTCCTGATTGGTATACTGTAAAAAAAATAAAAAAATAAAAAAATTTACGGTTCGCGTGAGACTCGGCCAAAGGCCCAGTTTTCCGCATCCGCAGGAACGCCACCACCCTCTTGGATCAAGGCGCAGATGCAGCTCCTAAGCGGTGGGAGGTGAGTAGATCAGACCCACCACAAAGTGGTCAAAGACCGAAATCCCATTCACTGCATCCATGTTTCCCTCGTGCCAGGCCACGAGTTCCCAATTAACTGTGGGTCGCAGCACGGCTGGAAAAAATCCTTCCTACTGTAAAAGCCATTATTCTAACGAGGCGCATATATAACGATTCCCCAAAATTGACTAGTTTACGTATACCAAAGGTAACGATTCTCACTCATTCTCAACGCTCAATAGGACAGTACAGTCGTCCCTCTCTAATCCGGCACTTGTTTATCCGGAACCCTTGCCAACCGGCGCACTTTCTGACGAAACCAATTTTTTTCGTTCAATTCCTACATCTTAATCCGGCAGTGACTTTTTGAAACGAATCGCTCAAACTGCACGTAGTTTGATTTCATAATCCGGCAGTCGTAAATCGCGTACCGCACAGGTGCACTCCAGGCTAGGCCAGTCTGGTGAATGTTGTCCAGGAGACAACGGCAGTCAACCTTACTTTCTTATTTTAGCAAGGAGTAGTGTCCTGCCAATTTTCAAGTGTGTGTGTGTGTGTGTGTGTATGCAAGAGTACATGTGAACATGTTCTCTGTTTTACTTTATCACTGTGTATATTCCCGGAGAACAATTCAGAATATAAAGCCGTGCACCAAATACTTGGGTCGACACGGAAAAACCCTGCGTTTTGACGTACATATGATACATGCATGCAATTGGGTAGGGCCGGGTCAGAGGGCAGGATTTCTTAATCCAGCACCCTCGTTAATCCAGCAGAAAACGCCGTAGCAAAAGGTGCCGGATTAGAGAGGGACGACTGTACATGTATCGATTACTGTATAGCGATTTCTATTTTAACGACAGATTTCTCCTCGTTAAAGGGGAAGTTAAGGCAAAAATTAAAATTTCACCAGTTGTAGTCTTCGGGGTGCTGAGTCGAATGGTCTTGGTCCGAGAAAGCTGAGACGCTCCCTTCCTACTTGAATCCCAATCGAACTCGCGCACTTCCACCGAAACTGGGTGACTGCGCCCTACTAGATGGGGATTTGTATGCAAAATGTCACTAAAAACGCCGTTTCGTTCTTATAAAAGCACGGATGACCGCGATTGGCCCATATCTTGTAGTCTTTTGGACGCTGAGTCGACTGGTTTTGGTCCGAAAAGGCTGCGATGCAGCGTTCCGCCTTTATTCCCAATCGAACATGGTTGAACAAGTGGTCACGTGCTCCTTGGTGCCCAAATCACCTGGTCACCACGCCAGCAGGCGACAACTTTCACACCAAGGTTCAACTCGAGTTCAACTCGAGTGACAGGACTGCACCCAAAAAAGGTCAAACAGGCTAGTAAGTTGTACCCTGCAGGCACGGTGACCAGCTGACTGGTGTACGCAGGAGCACGTGACCGCTTGTTCAACCATGTTCGATTGGGAATAAAGGAGGAACGCTGCATCGCAGCCTTTTCGGACCAAAACCAGTCGACTCAGCGTCCAAAAGACTACAACATATGGGCCAATCGCGGTCATCCGTGCTTTTATAAGAACGAAACGGCGCTTTTAGTGACATTTTGCATACAAATCCCCATCTAGTAGGGCGCAGTCACCCAGTTTCGGTGGAAGTGCGCGAGTTCGATTGGGATTCAAGTAGGAAGGGAGCGTCTCAGCTTTCTCGGACCAAGACCATTCGACTCAGCACCCCGAAGACTACAACTGGTGAAATTTTAATTTTTGCCTTAACTTCCCCTTTAACTCGTTAGAGTTAGCACTTCGTTATATATATATGGCTTTTACAGTATACACCAGTGCAGTGCGTGGGAGAATTTACAGTGGAATTCTCTTAGTACGCACTGTAATGATGCTTTATGCACTCGCCTTAGGGGGCCGCCCATAATTATCGATCTTTGACACGAAGAGAAAAAAAGTTTCGTTTGTGGGTGGGTCAAGGGGAGTTTCGTTTTAAAAAAATATTGATATGTGAGACCTCATGGCATTCTTGCTGTCAAGTGAATCTATTTTTCATTCAGGGGGGGGGGGGGGGGGGCTAGCTAAACTTTTTTGTTTCGTGAAAATTATCGATAATGCCGGATAGCCCCTTATTTAGTATACACATTACCCGTATGGGGTCACCACACATCCAGAGTGCATGACCTGGTGACCCTAACTGGGCCTACCTGGAGCCCCTGATGGCCTATGTCACCTTGCCTCTCTGGCATGCATTGATATCTTGCTGTTCATCTTTAGTTTCATGGTTCTTTGTCTAAACGAGACATCCGAGTGGTAATGGACTGAGTGTGCTGGTGACTGTGTAGTCACTACACGTACTTTGATAAAACACATGCAATGGAGGCGAAAGGCTGCAACTTCTGGTTTCACGCATCTCCGCGATCATCAGACAGGGGCATTCGCTTGAATGTCGGTGTTTGCGCTCTGATAAAATATATACAGTCGGACCTCGCTTATCCGGTCCTCTTTTATCCGGATCCCTCGCCATCCGGAAGAAAATAGCTGGTTACAGATGTACAGCATACGTGCTGCATCCGACATAACTGGTGTTCGGTTATCCGGTTCCATCGCCTATCCGGATATTTTTGTGGAAAACGGATGTGTGCGGTTAAGCGAGGTCTGACTGTATTTGCTTAGTATGGGCATTGTGGGGAACACAGTTGATCCAAACTGAAGTATGTTTCTCTATCTTTGTCTTCCTCGTACTATCTCTCTCTCTCTCTCTCTCTCTCTCTCTCTCTCTCTCTCTCTCTCTCTCTCTCTCTCTCTCTCTCTCTCTCTCTCTCTCTCTCTCTCTCTCTCTCTCTCTCTCTCTCTCTCTCTCTCTCTCTCTCTCAGGATGCTGTCGATAAAGCCATGGAGCATGTGCAGTCTCAAGAACGCCATGATGGTCTCGTGCATCTCTTCATTAACCCGTACAGCGGTGTCTTCAAAGAAGGCACGTTGACACTGGGAGCTCGTGCCGATAGCTATTACGAGTATCTGCTCAAGCAATGGCTGCAGTGCAATCGAACTGAAGACAGGTGAGGTTTTGGCCTGCAGTAGGTACAAGGTGTATAATGATGTGTGCTTGTGTGTGTGTGTGTGTGTGTGTGTGTGTGTGTGTGTGTGTGTGTGTGTGTGTGTGTGTGTGTGTGTGTGTGTGTGTGTGTGTGTGTGTGTGTGTGTGTGTGTGTGTGTGTGTGTGTGTGTGTGTGTGTGTGTGTGTGTGTGTGTGTGTGTGTGTGTGTGTGTGTGTGTGTGTGTGTGTGTGTGTGTGTGTGTGTGTGTGTGTGTGTGTGTGTGTGTGTGTGTGTGTGTGTGTGTGTGTGTGTGTGTGTGTGTGTGTGTGTGTGTGTGTGTGTGTGTGTGTGTGTGTGTGTGTGTGTGTGTGTGTGTGTGTGTGTGTGTGTGTGTGTGTGTGTGTGTGTGTGTGTGTGTGTGTGTGTGTGTGTGTGTGTGTGTGTGTGTGTGTGTGTGTGTGTGTGTGTGTGTGTGTGTGTGTGTGTGTGTGTGTGTGTGTGTGTGTGTGTGTGTGTGTGTGTGTGTGTGTGTGTGTGTGTGTGTGTCTTCTTCTGTCTTCTTGGGGGACAGTTTGAATTTTTCTAGCTCCGGAATTTTTCTATTTGCTGAGACTAGTTAGAGCCTCCGAAGCAGCGTAGGTACACTCAGGGCTCTCCTAGCTTGCTAGGAGAGCCCCTGGCGTGTCAAGTGTAGACCTTTTGAATTTAGGGCAGCGGATCCAACGACGTGACTTACAGGACAATTATTTGAATTTGATATTGTCACTGTCGCGTCGTCCGTAGTCCTCCATCCGCAGTGGGCTAGCTACCCCTCGGATGTGTAGAGTTTCAGCTTCAAAGCAGCCAGAGTTTGGAGGCACCCGTCGGAGGCGCCCAGCTGGTGCTCTTGTCAAATTTGCTTCGTGGAACGTCAGGACTTTAGTGAACATCGATGGCCCGGTTTCAACTGCTGCTCGTGGAAAGCGCGTCGTGGAAGACAAGAAAATCAACATCGTTGTCAGTGAACTTCGTCGGTACGAAATAGAAGTGGCTGGATTCCAGGAGTCGAAGTGGTTTGGTAAAGATATATTCCGTGTCGAGGATGCAATTGTTCTCACGTCAGGTCGCGCCATCCCAACGGACGATTTCAAACGAGGCGAAGGAGTTGGAGTCGTACTACGCGGACGCGCACAGCAAGCGTTCGTAGCAGGGGGAAATCAGTGGTCTGCTGTCTCATCGCGTGTCGCACGCTGCAAGCTAAAGTTCGGTGACATTTGGGTCCACGTCGTGGTGTGCTACGCACCGACTTTCCGGTCCAGTCGCGATGCAAAGAACGATTTCTTTGACTCTCTTCAGGAAGTTATTCTGTCCGTACCCACCCAGGACTCCTTGATAATCTTGGGAGACTTCAACGCTAGAGTTGGAGCTGAAATCTGTGACGATGGCTGGTATGGAACACGTGGCCCACATGGTGTTGGCACTGTCAATGAGGCTGGCGCTGAGCTTCTCCAGTTCTTAGCGTGCAACAGCCTTACTGTGTGCAACACCTGGTTCATGAAACGTAACATCCACAAGTGTACCTGGCAACATCCCCGCTCGAAGCGGTGGCACTGCATCGACTATGCAATGGTCCGGGAACAAGACCTCTCCAACTGCACGGATTGCCATGTCATCAGGGGAGCTGAGTGTAGTACAGATCACAACCTTGTGTGTCTCACATACCGCATCCGCTCATCTGCTTGCCACAAGCGTGCAAAAAGACCTGTCAAGTTTGATGTGCAACAACTTGTCAAACACTCCTGCATGACGGAAGCGCAGAGAGCTGCAACCTGTAAAACTCGTGAGCAATATGCGACGTCTGTTGCGTCAGAGTTACGATCCTGGAATCATGATGGCTGCGTTGAGGACAAATGGTCTGCCGTCAAATCTGCTATCGTCACCAGCGCTGAGAAGCATCTTGGCCGTCCACGTCGTCGCCAGCCTGATTGGTTTGAAACGTGTGCTGATGTTCTTGCACCTATGCTGGATAGCCGCAATGCCTTACATCGCAAATGGCTCGCCTCTGGTTCTGACGCTGACAGGCGTCGCTTTGTCGAGGCTTGTGGCAAGTGCAGAACTGTCGTGCGTAACGCAAAGAGTGAGTGGATTGGACGTAAAGCTAATGTGGTTGAGTCAAGTCGGTTTAGTGGCAAGCACGCATGGTCTGCAATCCGTGATATACAGAAGTGCTATTCGGGATTATCACCTATCTCCATCCCATCCATCCGTGACAGTGACGGAGTTATCTGTAGCTCCCAGGAGGGGCAAGAGAAATGCTGGCTGCAGCATTTTGCCCGTCTATTGAACGTTCGCAGCACCTTCGATGCTACCATCTTTGACCACATTGAGCAGCGTGAAGTTGATGAGTCACTCGGCCAACTTCCCTCGCTAGAGGACCTCACTATGGCTATACGCCAGCTGGCTAATTGCAAGGCTCCTGGCTCATCTGGAATTGCACCTGAACTGCTTAAAGCTGGTGGTACACCATTGCTTGAGGCTCTGCTTGATGTTATTCACACTGCATGGACCAACGGAACGGTTCCCCAGGATTGGCGGGATGCCCAACTCGTCCCGATTCCCAAAAAGGGTGACTTGACCAACTGCAACAACTGGCGCGGCATTGCCCTCCTAGATGTCGCTGGCAAGGTTTGTGGCCGTCTCATTCAGGACCGTCTCCAACTTGTCGCGGAACAAGAACTTCCAGAATCCCAGTGTGGCTTTCGCCCTGGTCGCGGCTGCGCTGATGCCATCTTTTCCATTCGCCAGCTCATCGAGAAATCGTACGAGCACCGTCAGAAGCTGTTCTGTGTCTTCGTAGACCTGAAGAAAGCATATGATTCCGTACCACGCCAAGCACTCTGGCTAGCATTGGGGAGGCTAGGCATTCCTGAAGGGCTCCTCAATCTAATCCAATCGTTCCACGAGAGCATGCAGGCAGCTGTGCGCGTCGGTGCCAGCACTACCGAGCCGTTTGCGGTCAACAATGGCCTCCGTCAAGGCTGTGTGATGGCCCCAGTACTTTTTAATCTGTACTTCGGTGTTGTGCTTGAGCGGTGGGCACAAGTGATGCAGGACAGCGACCATCCACCTGGCATCCCCATCCAATTTAGCATCAATGGCAACCTTTTCTCAAAGCCTGCTCGCCAGTCTACTGCCGCAATCATCAACGACATTGAGTACGCAGATGACGCGGTCTTGCTCGCTGAAGACCGCCCTGGTGCTGAGAAGTGCCTTGAAACATTCTGCACGGTTGCCTCTTCCTTTGGCCTCTGCGTCAACGCTGCTAAAACGAAATTTCTCGTGGCAGGTAGCCAAGTCAACATGCCTGATAGAGCCGATATGAACGTCAACGGTGATACTGTGGAGCACGTTCCATCCTTCATTTATCTGGGGTCCGTCGTGACACCGGATGCCCGCTCCTCTACTGACGTCAGTCGCCGCATAGCTGAGGCTTCCAAAGCCTTTGGAGCTCTTCTTCCAGTCTTGTCGGATCGCTCGCTGTCATTAGTCAGTAAGCGAAAGCTATACGTGGCCTGTGTCTTGTCCATTTTGCTGTACGGCAGTGAGTGCTGGACGCCCTTGAAAGCTGATAGTAGACGTTTGGATGCCTTTCATCATCGCTGCATCCGCACAATATTAGCCATCCCTCGCAGTCAGCAGCAATCCGATCGCATCACGTCTGCGCAGTTACGTCGTCACTGGGGTGACCCAGTGCCACTCTCTGTTAAGATGCGCCATCGTCGTTTAGAGTGGCTTGGTCATGTGGCTCGGATGTCGGAGGACCGTGTCCCATTGCAGCTGTTGTTTGGTCGTTTGTTGGCTGCGCGCCCCTTCTGCGGTCCCAGGCGTAGGTGGAGAGACGTTGTGGCTACTGACACGAAGTCCATTCCAAACTGGTTTGATTGCGCACAAGACCGGTCAGCTTGGCGAGAGCAGGTTCTGGTTTTTCAGCCTCCTCGGGCAGTAGAGAAATCCGTACTCTGCTCATCTTGCAACCGGGCTTTCTCTCGTCCTCAAGACAAGGCACGGCACAAGTGTTTGGCTGAGCGCCAACTTCCCGTCCACCAACAGCGTGGTTCAGCACAGTGCGTCAGTTGCTGCCGATGGTTCCGTAGTAAGGGTGGGCTTGCAGTTCATCGCTGCCAGCCTGCACTCCCTGAACATGCAGATACGGCATTGACGGCGTCTCTCGCTAGTTGCTGCTTCCAGCATTGTCAACGCTGCAATCGCTGCTTCAAGTCCCGGGCTGGTTTTAACCGCCATAACTGCAACCGTGGAAAACGTCTTGCTGCAGCCGATAGGGAATCACTGCCGCTGATCTGCATGCATTGCCCGAAACGTTTCCGACGACAGCAAGATTTGACGAGGCACCAGAAGTCCTGCCAATGACGGTGCACTCCAAACTCTGGCCCCCTCCGGGGGTGACATTGCCCAATGGGCAGTCATGCTATAGTAGTAGTAGTAGTAGTAGTGTGTGTGTGTGTGTGTGTGTGTGTGTGTGTGTGTGTGTGTGTGTGTGTGTGTGTGTGTGTGTGTGTGTGTGTGTGTGTGTGTGTGTGTGTGTGTGTGTGTGTGTGTGTGTGTGTGTGTGTGTGTGTGTGTGTGTGTGTGTGTGTGTGTGTGTGTGTGTGTGTGTGTGTGTGTGTGTGTGTGTGTGTGTGTGTGTGTGTGTGTGTGTGTGTGTGTGTGTGTGTGTGTGTGTGTGTGTGTGTGTGTGTGTGTGTGTGTGTGTGTGTGTGTGTGTGTGTGTGTGTGTGTGTGTGTGTGTGTGTGTGTGTGTGTGTGTGTGTGTGTGTGTGTGTGTGTGTGTGTGTGTGTGTGTGTGTGTGTGTGTGTGTGTGTGTGTGTGTGTGTGTGTGTGTGTGTGTGTGTGTGTGTGTGTGTGTGTGTGTGTGTGTGTGTGTGTGTGTGTGTGTGTGTGTGTGTGTGTGTGTGTGTGTGTGTGTGTGTGTGTGTGTGTGTGTGTGTGTGTGTGTGTGCCAGCTAGTTCGGTTGGTAGGTACACTTATGCCTGATTGTGTTGGGTCTGTTGCCAACAGGCTCGGCTGCTTGAAGGTGTAATGTTGTACCTGCCACCTTTGTTGGTTCCAGGGTTCATATACTTTCTATTTGAAGTATACATACCTGTTAACCATGGACTGCTTCTGGCTAGATTAACTCTTGTGGAATCAATGGTGCTAGTGAAGCTTTTATCAGATCCACTCTGATTTAGCCACTCGCACTACAGTCTGTTTCAAAAAGATTAGCAATCAAGTTTGGGTCTTAACCCTTATCCGTCCGACCAGTCAAAAATCTACGACTATCCGTCGATCAGTAAATCCATCATATCTCAGTCATTTCTTGACCAAATTCCACGATCGAAGGGTCTATCGCCATTAGAAAACACCAGGCTATCGTCTCGAACAATCGCCGAAGAGCTACGACACTCCCTTGCAACGATATCGTCCGCCGAAAGTAAAATCACGGCAATTGCGATTTTTATGCGCTCGGGAACATTTCAAAGTCAGATTTTTCTTTTTTGCATTACAGTTACGTCACCAAGCGCATGCTCATGACGTAAAAACCAAATAAATGTTCTGTACACAAAAATTCAAAGTCCAGCGATGGAGGAGAGTGAAATGGCGAGACAATTTGGATTCTGCCCGCAGATCTGGCGCTGGGGCAAGTTTGGCAAGTGGCGGCGCTCGGCTTGTGGCTTTATAGATGTCTAATGTGCGCTCTGTGCATTCGTCGCGGTCGGACCTTTCCAAGAAGCGCGAGATCATGGAATTCGGCCAATGGAGACTAAAGTTATGATAATTTGAAGGTAAAATATGTCGTGAAATTGCAATTTGGGCCTGCGCAGTGATTTTGTCGGACGGATAAGGGTTAAAAAGTGTGAAGATAAGGGAAATTTGGACAACAAAGTACATAAAATGGCTTGTTTGGGCACGGCAAATTGTTCTGTGAAGGTTTAGGAACAATTGGACCAACCGTTAAGGAGTTAGAATTTCGGCCAGGTTTCTGGCCTTTTCCCATGGTTTATAATTTGCCCTGGAAGCCAGTATCGATTTGTTATCAAAACCCACGATTTATCCCTTCCTTTTTGGCCTTGTGGTTATGAATGCTGTCTGCTGACCATTAGTTGTGAGTTCAAATCCCAACAAATCTTCAAGTCAAATATTTTTTTCTTCATTTTTTCATTGTTTTGGTGATCACGCTGGTACAAGACAAAGAAGGTGGCTGCGCCAAACGACTTGTTGTTGGAGCTCGCGTTTCCTGCCGAACTGACTGGCACTTGACTGGCTCACGCCATGTGAAGTTGTGAACACACCCAACACTGAAACCGTGTGTGTGAACACGGAAATCATTGCGCTGTAGCTACGTGTTATTGAATACCCGGCACATCGATCGATCAATTTCTGTTTGAGAATTATTTTAGTATTTCAAGATCGCCAATTTATTTGAATTTAGGAGTCAACGCCGTCTTCTATCAGCTTTCACAGGCGTCCGCTTTTCTCAAAATGTCGTCAAAGTCACACGGATAGCTTTGCCACATCAAGGCCTTGGGAATGAGTCTGTGTCGATGCCGTTTTCGTCACATCGTGAGAGTAAATTGCATCCGCGGCAGCTCAAAGAATCTATTTGGTCACAAAACGAATTGGGACGCATCCCGCTCGTCAAAATTTACCACACTTTCGACATGTCCCCTCTGACTCCATATCGATACAATAATACGAGGAAGAACTCGTTTGTTGTAAACCAGACGAACATGTACGAGTACCGACGAGTTGTCCTTTTTCATGCTTTCGCGCGGAATATTTCTACGAGTTCACAGTGAGTTTTTCCAGGCAGCGCTCGAGCGCTCATACGGTAAGACGGCAAACTCCCCGGGTGATCGCCAGGATTGCTAATCTTTTTGAAACTGACTATAGTAGCAAGTATTACCTTCACTGGGGGCAGGGGTAACTGCAGTTGGATCCCGGGACGGATACCCTGATGCCGTCAATCCTTTTTCTGCACCTTGTCCTCACCCACTTACTGAGGTGTGGTGAGCCCATAAGTGGGATCATTTTCAAGTCCACCCAGAGTTTTGGGGATTTCAGGGGGTGTCGGCCGTTGGGCGGTTCAATAACCAATTGAGTCATCTTTCCAAGATTCCTTTTGAGTCTCTCTCCCCTCTCCCGGGGGGACTCACGTGACCAGTTTTGGCAGTGAGCAACAAGTACAAGTGTGTGTGTGCACGCGTTTGTGTGTGTGTGTGTGTGTGTGTGCGCGTGTGTGTGCGTGTGTGTGTATGTGTGCATGCGAGTACCTGCGGGGCTGTGTGTGGGCGTCCCTCTCCCTCTCTATCTAACTGGGTCGCGAATGCACTGACTCCCTCACTTCTTCACCTGCTTCTTGGGAAAGGCAGAAGTTGGTTGTTCTCCGTTCTTCCTCCTTCACCACTAAACATTTTGCTGTGGTACTATACGTGTATGTTTGTTATTATTCACCTGTGTGCATGGACAGGTTTGTAAATTGGTATCGTACAAGCGTGGCAGGGATTGAGAAGCGTTTGATGCGTCATTCATCTCCCTCGCAACTTCTCTTTGTCGGCGAGGAACTCAACAATGGACAGTTCAGTCCCAAAATGGTATGTTGGGCGCTGTGGCTGAGGGATTTCCCCGTCACTTACGAATGCCACACACTTGTGTAGCGTCTCTGTTGCTTCTTGTTTGCTGTGATTGTCAAGTTAGGAAGTGGCGGTCAACGCACACCTGACCTCACTCTCTTCTCATTCACTCCCTCTCCCCCCACCCCCACATACAAACGCATGCAGGCACCTCCGTCTGTGTCTTACGTTCTATTGAACACTCACCGCGTTCAACACAGATATACTGCTGGTGTGTCGGCAGTTTGGTGTTGTATGAATGAACTCAACATACACTCATACCTGGGTTATCCAGACCCCGGAGTCACGGGCACTTCGATCTACCGGGCAGCCTTCGGACGAGTTTCCGACATTTCAAAGTTGTGGGCAGTGCCCGATCCCGGACCGCCCTGATAAGCGCGGCACAGTGAAACCTGTCAAGGCGACCACTCTGATAAGGCGACCACCTGTCCCAGAGGCCCACTACAACTAGGACCAAGGGATGTTGTTTCCAGTCAACAGCTGACACTAGATAAGGAGACCACCTGTATATAGCGACCACATTTTGAAGGTCCCTTGAGCGGTCGCCTTAAGCCTGATTCATACTTCATTTCGCGTACGGGAAACGCGTCGCGTTGCGAAAAAGTTGATCTGAGCTCAACTATTTCGCGTACGGGAAAGCCATCGCGCGACGGTCGCGCGATGACTTTCCCGTACGCGAAATGAAGTATGAATCGGCCGTTAGGCAGGTTTGACTGTATGTGTGTGTGTGTGCTGTGCTCTTCTATCCAAGTGATGATGATAATTGTTCTTGTATGCTCTGCTTTATCTATTCCAAACTTTTGTCTAACGCTAAAAGTTGTACATTGCAGCGATCTATATTTGCAAATGGGCGCTGGCCATGCAGCCGTGGGTAAGCAGTACACACATGCTGCAGCGTGCTGGTCGCATCGGATCAAGCGCTGTTCTGTACGCGCTGAGGGCGCCGGCCCCGGTCGATTGACTGGATTTCAATGTCCACGACAGTAGATACACTCAGACGCCTCTTATCCGGGCACCTTGGGACCGGGCACTGCCCGTATCTCAGATTTGCCCGTATCTCAGGATAACTCATCTACCATGTATCATATCATTTTTTTGGAATAAGTTTATTCGGCAAGTAATGCACATGTTCAGGTGACAGAAAGAATCCATTGATAAAAATGTGTAGATTTCACAGGTTGGCAGTGACAAATAAGCACTTGCGCATACGACAAAAGTTCAAACCCCCGAATTCAAAGTATTTTGCCCTAGGAACTCAAGCTGAAGGTGCCCGGTAGAGAGACGTGCCCGTATCTGAGGCGTCCGGAGAAGAGGCGTTTGAGTGTAATAGAGAGGTTCCGGAGTACGATTTTTCGTGCCAAAATCCGTAGAGGCGCTACGGATTTTTTATACGTCGCTTTCGAGCAGTGAAATGTTCCGGAGTACGGAACTTATGTGTTTGCCGTCATTGCCTAGGTTACGATCGCAAACACGTCACATTTCCGCGCTATGCCTTTTTATTTTGAAAATTTGTACCGAAATCAAAACTACCCGCCGAAAATCGATGTTTCTCGTACCAAATTTGTACGCGAAAAATCTTTCTGCATCCGAAGATGCAAAATCTCCATACGAAACCTGGTTCGTATGAAAGCCAGTCCACACGGATTCTCCGTGCCGAAAAATCGTATGGAGCACGCCTCGAAAAAATTCGTAGAGCCCATACGGATTTTGGCACGGAAAGTCGTACCCGGAACCTCTCCAGTAAGCAGTCAGAAAGTGCGATAACAGGGCACAAAATACAGTTGTTACAGCCGTGGATAGTTGCTTCATAACTCGTTTCCGTGTGATCTCTTCTATTTCGATTACATTTACTGGCTCAGTATCTGAGCTAAAAGTCGTGTCATGTTTTTTTCCCTGCACCCCTGTATCAGGATCACCTGGTATGTTTTCTCCCAGGACTTTTAGCCCTGGGCTCTGTGCACGGAGCGGACAATGAGCAGTCTGGCAATCACCTGGAGCTTGCCCGTCAGCTCATGGTCACGTGCCAGCAGATGTACGTCGTCATGCCGACCGGCTTGAGCGCCGAGCTCGTCTACTTTGGACAGGGGGCGGATGAGAGCGACATCATCGTCAAGGTAAGTCTTAAGTTAAGAGCAGCTAACGTGCGTCACCCTCGAGCATCGTTTCTGAGGGTGCGCATTTGCTCAGTGCGGTATGATTCTTTCTTGGCCTATTAAAGGCAGGTCTTGTTTTTGAATGAACTGTAAAACCGCATGTCTTGTAGGAATGTGAAGACGTTCTCTACCAGTCGCTGTGTCAGTACATCCTCCTCCTGTTGTTGCTGCTACTCGACACAAAGTCTTTGTTACAATCAGCAGAATGTGAGAACAGCAATGCAACAATGTTGTCGCTGCTACTTGTTGCTACTTCTGCTTCTGTTGCTTGCTACTGCTGCTGCTGCTGTTTCTGCTGCTGCTGCTGCTGCTTCTGTTGCTGCTGCTGTTTCTGCTGCTGCTGCTGCTGCTTCTGTTTCTGCTGCTGCTGCTGTTTCTGCTGCTGCTGCTGTTTCTGCTGCTGCTGCTGCTTCTGTTTCTGCTGCTGCTGCTGTTTCTGCTGCTGCTGCTGTTTCTGCTGCTGCTGCTGCTTCTGCTTCTGTTGCTTGCTACTGCTGCTGCTGCTGTTTCTGCTGCTGCTGCTGTTTCTGCTGCTGCTGCTGCTTCTGTTTCTGCTGCTGCTGCTGTTTCTGCTGCTGCTGCTGTTTCTGCTGCTGCTGCTGCTTCTGCTTCTGTTGCTGCTTCTGCTGCTGCTGCTGTTTCTGCTGCTGGTGCTGTTTCTGCTGCTGCTGCTGTTTCTGCTGCTGGTGCTGCTGGTTTTGCTGCTGGTGTTGCTGCTTCTGCTGCTGTTTCTGCTGCTGCTGCTGCTTCTGTTGCTGCTGCTGCTTCTGTTGCTGTTTCTGCTGCTGCTTCTGCTGCTGTTTCTGCTGCTGCTGCTGCTTCTGTTGCTGCTGCTGTTGCTGCTGTTGCTGCTGCTGCTGCTGCTGTTTCTGCTGCTGCTGCTGGTGCTGCTGGTGCTGCTGGTTTTGCTGCTGGTGTTGCTGCTGCTGCTGGTGTTGCTGCTGCTGCTTCTGTTGCTGCTGCTGCTGGTGTTGCTGGTGTTGCTGCTGCTGGTGTTGCTGCTGGTGCTACGGCTGGTGTTGCTGCTGGTGTTGCTGCTGCTGCTGCTGGCTGGTGTTGCTGCTGGTGCTGCTGGCTGATGTTGCTGCTGGTGCTGCTGCTGGTGTTGCTGCTGCTGCTTCTGTTGCTGCTGCTGTTGCTGTTGCTGCTGCTGTTGCTGCTGCTGTTGCTGCTGCTGGTGTTGCTGCTGCTGCTGCTGCTGCTGCTGCTGGTGTTGCTGATGGTGTTGCTGCTGGTGCTGCTGCTTGTGTTGCTGCTGCTGTTGCTGCTGCTGGTGTTGCTGCTGCTGCTTCTGTTGCTGCTTCTGTGGCTGCTGCTGGTGTTGCTGCTGGTGCTGGTGCTGCTGCTGTTGCTGTTGCTGCAGCTGCTGGTGCTACTGCTGCTGGCTGGTGTTGCTGCTGCTGCTGCTGCTGCTGCTGCTGGTGCTGCTGTTGCTGCAGCTGCTGGTCCTACTGCTGCTGCTGGTGTTGCTGCTGGTTTCGTTGCCGCTGCTGCTGGTGTTGCTGCTGCTGCTGGTGGTGTTGCTGCTGCTGCTGCTGCTGGTGTTGCTGTTAATTGCTATACTGCTGCTGCTATAATTTTGGTTTTGTTTGTTCTGCGTGTATATGACAGGAGCGCGATAGGCATAACTTACTGCGCCCGGAGGCGGTCGAGTCATTGTTCATCCTGTATCGCATCACGGGAAATGAAACTTATCGTGACTGGGGATGGGAGGTGTTCCAGGTGAGTTCCTGCAGCCTCCTGTCCCGTCTGTTAGTGCGAGTGTGTGTGTGTGTGTGTGTGTGTGTGTGTGTGTGTGTGTGTGTGTGTGTGTGTGTGTGTGTGTGTGTGTGTGTGTGTGTGCATGTGTGTGTGCGTGTTTGTGCACGACTTCAGCCCCATTCAGAAGCCAAAGTATGTTTTAAGATGCCAATGGTCCGAAATGTCAGATAAGGGTACTTCCGCGAGCAATCGAAGTAAGATAGTGAAGGAGATTTCCGGTCGGTTTGTCGGAACGACCTGTGAAAAACGGAGCATTCCGAAAAATCGGAACAAGCGGCAGCCTGTAAAAGGTATTCCTCATACACTGCTTGCTGTAGTCTCCCCCTCCTAAGCAGTTGTTCTTGTCCATGTGTGTTTGTTTGTTGCTGCTGCTGTTGCTGCAGGCGTTTGAAAAGCACTGCAAGGTGGAGGGTGGTGGTTATACGTCCATCGGTGACGTCAGCTCGGTGCACGACACCAAGCCGCAGGACCGCATGGAGTCGTTCTTCCTGGCCGAGACTCTCAAGTATCTCTACCTGCTGTTCAGCGATGACCAGTCCCTGCTGCCGTTGGATGAGTATGTCTTCAACACAGAAGCACACCCGCTACCGATCTGGCACACAACGGGCACCTAGAGAGCAATGGATGGCGTCGTGTAGTTCAGTCTCTGCTCTCAAGTATCTCTACCTGCTGTTCAGCGACGACCAGTCCCTGCTACCGCTGGATGAGTATGTCTTCACACAGAAGCACACCCGCTACCGATCTGGCAGACAACGGGCACCTAGGGAGCAATGGATGGCGTCGTGTAGTTCATTTTCCAGTCGTCACGTTCTGCTGATATCATCGTGGAGAGGGTCTTCGCTCGTTTGTGTTGCGTACAGTAGTGAAGCGGCGGAATCGTATCCCCCGTCGCCGGAACGTCATCCTTCAGGTCAGGAACTATCGGTGTGTTCAGTCGACCGTACCTAAGCATCGCGTCCGTTCCTGTAGCGTTGTTGTAGCCAACACGACCTTTAAGGCAACTATTACAGAGAGAGAGACAGACAGGCAGACAGAGACAGAGGCACAGAGACGGAGAGACGGAGACAGAAGGAATATCCCACTTTAGACCGTAGATCACTGCGAGTGCTCTAAGCTTGCACATTGATTGTAAATGCGGCGCAGGAGAAGAAGTAGAAACTATCGTTGACAGTGACCTATCCCAGATGCCACTCTGTCTACATGTACTTCAGCATATCAGAAGGCCGTGCGGCTGTGCGGCTGTGCGTAACATGTCGCTGAGTGTAGACTGTAAACCGTCACGTAGCAGTCTTGGTCGTAACTTAGCCATGGCTGGAATGCCTTGAGGCGCACTCGCAAACCGGGCGAGCTTCTGTTTGCGACTTGGCTGTGTTTGTGACCCAGCCAGCCAAGGACAGCCCTGGCAACAGCAACATCAGCAGGAGTAGCAGCGGCAGCAGCAGCAACACCAATGACGATACACAGTACCAACATGTCAGTGGCAGTTACAGCAGCAACAAGAACAGTGATAGCAATATCAACACCAGCATACCAGCACCTGTGGCAGCAGCACCGTCAGCAATAGCAGCAGCTGCATCCACAGCAGTAACAACAGCAACACCACTTCTTGCACCAATACTAGCAGCCACAGTGTACATCAGTGTACAGTGTGATGCCACGGCATTGTTTGAGGCGGTAGCAGTCCGATACCGTCTATCACCTTTTCTGATCTGCCATTATTGTCACCGCTGGCATTTGTTTCAAGATACTAATGTACAACATGGATGCAGTACTAAGCGACGATTCAAAAGTCGGGCACCAAACTCCTACAGCTTTCACGTCAGCTGCGTCTAAATTCTCATCAGGTGCCGTTCGATCACACTTACAACTTCTACAGGTCAAGTCACATGACTCGCCGGTGCCATGTTATGACATCATCACTGATCCATAGCAACCATCATTAAGCCCTGCACCTAACTGCTGCTGCTGCTGCTGCTGCTGCTGCTGCTGCTGCTGCTGCTGCTGCAGGTCTAGTCATATGTCAAGAGTTCAGCCTACCCGTGCACGACATCATGAAGGCCGAACGACGATGTCATCACTGACCGGTTTGCAACCCATCGTCCCACCGACGCGCTCCCCATGGCGACGTACGGACATGATGAAGTCGCCACTGATCAGTAATAAAGGTGGGTGCCTACCCCTGCATGATGTCATCGATGCCAAACGATGATGTCATCCCTGACCAGTTGACATGCTGCGCACGGGGGTGCATGAACTTGATGAACTCATCCGTGCTAAGTTAGAAGGTGGATGCCTGACCATGTCATGACCTTCGTCGAGTAGTGCTCATGTTACCAGTTCTGACAGGCGCAGTTTCTCCAATAACTGCGGCAGGGAGCAATGTTGTGCTAATTTCTTCTGCGAAAAGGAGAGCACACACATTCTGATTTCTTTTATCTGGCTTTTATACTAGTACTTTCATGAACATCCCTCCAGCTCTGAGTGAGAATTCACTCTGCATCTCTTTGAGCGTATTATTTCAACTGATCTTTTATCTCAGCCATCACCCCCCCCCCCCCTCAAGCCTCAGCTTGGTTTCTACTCTATAAGGTCTAAGTTTGAAGTTTGCACGAGAGTGGCTTTCGACTTGGACATAGGGCCAGGGGTTTCTAGAATGTTAGCATCAAAACTCGTGTTTTTTACGGGCTGGATTTTAAAACTTGAGCGTTGCGTAGAGCGCTCTTCCTCTACAGCCGTTCCGGCCTCCTTGAGAACTACTTGTTTTAGACAGATTTTTTTTAGAACGTCTTTTCTACACCTGCCTATTTTGCCTACGCATGTGTCATATTTATTTTATTTATATCCTTCTTTATCTGTTTCCAAGCCCTGCTTGACATAATTATCTTGCCCACGCTTGTGTCATATTTATATCCTTCTTTATCTGTTTCCAAGCCCTGCTTGACATATCTTTCTACGCTTGTGTCATAATTATTTATATCCTTCTTTATCTGTTTCCAAGCCCTGCTTGACATATCTTGCCTACGCTTGTGTCATATTTATATCCTTCTTTAACTGTTTCCAAGCCCTGCTTGACTGTATCGACAGTCCCATACTGACTTCTGGGCACAGCCCCAAGCAGGATATCGATCCAAGGCACCGTTCCGGTGATGCCTTTGTGTTATTATTTATCATCCTTCTGTTTCCAAGCCTCGCTTTGCTGTCAAAGAGTCCCATTCCGACTACTGGACGTATTCCAATGCAGGATAATTATACGAAATAGTGGTTGCGACTTCGGCGATGATTTTTAGGATTGAGTTTGCTCCCACACTCGAGCTTGCGCTATTCCGCCGACTTGACTTGACATTTGACTGACTCACGACTGCCATCCAGAGCGCACGAGAAGTCCATCGAACTTTCGACTCGGCAAACCTCCGAGTCGAAGGTTCGATGGACTTCTCGTGCGCTCTGGATGGCAGTCGTGAGTCAGTCAAGTGTCAAGTCAAGTCGGCGGAATAGCGCGAGCTCCAGTGTGGGAGCAAACTCATTCCTGGGATAATTATAAATATTAAAAATGCACAGTTGTGTCAATTCTTTGTGTGTCACACCAGTATTTAGATTATTCTGTTTCCAGGCTCGGCTTGACGGTCGAGGGTCGAGGTCCTCGTGTCGGCTAGACAGTAGTACTAGGCATACTCCCTCTCTTGCATTGTTCTTCACACAAACTAGACGCAGTCACACCTATACCCCAGTGTGTGTGTGTGTGTTTGTGTGTGTGTGCGCGCGTGCCGGCGTGTGTGTGTGTGAAGGCCGCGGTCGTCACCGGTGCTCGAGGACTGGCCCGCGCCCGACTGCCCAGCAGCGTAATTCGTTCAGCCATGTATGCGTGTGTTCTCGCCGGTTCGTTTGCCCCACCATCTCCGGCGTCATCAGGCTGCGTGCTCCATCTTCCTCTCTGATGCCCCTCCGGGGCCCACGTGACCCCTGTGGCAGTGGCTCTACAGGACTGGTGTGTGTGTGTGTGTGTGTGTGTGTGTGTGTGTGTGTCCCATATGGTGCAGTGGTATGTGCAGTCGATTTCCAATCGAGAGGTTGCGGGTTCAATTCCCGACGATTATGGTCGCACACGTCTTTCTTCTCTTTCTCGCACTCTTCCTGACTTTTCTTTCATTCTCCTGGGTGGTTACCAACAGCCAGTGTATGCCGGAGTATGTGGTGTGGTGTGTGTGTAGAAAAAAATGGAAAAATGAAAAATAGGGATTCACTGGCCAGAAAAAGTCACTTCAAACAGCTGTGTGGTGGATACCAGGCTAAAAATAGTGGCGGTCAATTCATCAGCCTTGCAAGCTGTTGAATGGTGTAATCCCAGCACAAGTTGCTATGTCTAACATAGCTGTTCGCTATCATCGCTTCCGCGATGGGCATGTCTGAGGTCTGAGGTGTGTGTGTGTGTGAGAGGAAAAGAAAAAAAAAAGAAAAAAAATGAAAAATAGGGATTCACTGGCCAGAAAAAGTCACTTCAAACAGCTGTGTGGTGGATACCAGGCTAAAAAATAGTGGCGGTCAATTCATCAGCCTTGCAAGCTGTTGAATGGTGTAATCCCAGCACAAGTTGCTATGTCTAACATAGCTGTTCGCTATCATCGCTCCCGCGATGGGCATGTCTGAGGTCTGAGGTGTGTGTGTGTGTGTGTGTGTCAGGCTGCGTGCTCCATCTTCCTCTCTGATGCCCCTCCGGGGCCCACGTGACCCCTGTGGCAGTGGCTCTACAGGACTGGTGTGTGTGTGTGTGTGTGTGTGTGTGTGTGTGTGTGTGTGTGTGTGTGTGTGTGTGTGTGTGTGTGTGAGATCCTACAGCCTGTCCCCCGTGATTTCCGCGGTAGAATATCAGAAATTCCGTGCAGAATTCTGCGGCGGAAAACAGTAAATTTTGCGCTAATTCTGCAAATCGTTCCAAATTCTGCGGCATTTCTGCATGGGAAATGAGCGTAAAAACAGATTGAATTTCTGCAACACCACCGAATTTTGTTGTCCCTATAAATTCTGAACCGAAATTACTCGAAATCCTGGTCCAAAAATTGAAAGCTCCAAAATGTACCGTGCAAGTTGATTATGAAAGTCACAAGCGGGTTGGTTTGGCTGTGAAATACAGCAAAAGTCTCCAGAAAAAGCAGTTTTTCTCTCTTCTGCAATATTCCACGGGATTTTCTGAACTTCTGCGGACACAACCTGGATTCTGCGGAAATTCTGCAATCCGCGGAATCGCGGAATTCACGGGGGACAGTACAGCTGGCCACCGCTACCCTACTTGACCGGATATAAGTCGACTCCCAATGTTTGGGCCTCCATTTTTCAGTTCAGTATCGCTATGATCAGCAGCGGTTGAACTCGCTTGTAAGTCGGCTCCCCCTTTTTTTATTCCATGTTTGATTAGGGCGTAGCAGATCCTGTGAAAATACGATATGCCTCTCAATGATTCCCCCGGTACATTGAGCATAATGTAATGCGCATTTTGAAGGTCCCTTGAGCGGTCGCCTTGACAGGTTTCAATGTACAGTAAAACCGGATAAGGCGACCACCTGTCCGAGAAGACCACTGAAACCAGAATCTAGGCATGCTATTTCCAGTCAAATAACCCTGGATAAGGAGACCACCTGGTAACAGAGACCACGTTTTGAAGGTCCCTTGAGCGGTCGTCTTAGACAGGTTTCACTGTATCATTACAACTTCAGTATTGGCCAAGTGTAGCCTCTTGCAACCACACAGCAACAGAACACAACAGATGGACAAAATACTGTATTAGAATCAAAAGAAGATTTATCATTGCGTAGCCATAAGCAGGGCTGATGTACGTCTACTCTTGCCTAACGCTGTCAAATTTAAATCAAAATAAGATAAATAAAATCCAATCTAATCATTGGCAGCAGTAGCTTAGTGTCTACAAGTACCTGCTCTACTGGGGAGAGAGTACAGTGGCAGCAGGTCACCTTAACCTGTTAAACTGCTCAATGCTTGTTGCGGGAAGAGTGCAGTACAGAAGACGTACACAAAGGGATGCAAGGCAGACAACGGTATAACCAGAGGAAGTACTGGTCCTTGTGTTGCGTTCTAGAATTTCAAAGAAATACAAGGTTCTAAACGATCTAAAAGCAGGTTATGTGCCAATTGCACACAATTCTAAGCATTTGCAGGGCAGGCGCAGGTCTAGTCTGATGTCCGGTCAGGGTATCACCACCACCACTGCACTCACTACCGAGTTGCTCAGTGGTTGGAGGGGGGGGGGGGGGGGGATGGACATGCGTACCTGTGCATGCTTATGAGGATGAGAGAGAGAGAGGGAGAGAGAGGGAGAGAGTGAGAGAGAGAGACAGAGAGAGAGAGACGGAGAGAGAGAGAGAGAGAGAGAGAGAGAGAGAGAGAGAGAGAGAGAGAGAGAGGGAGAGAGAGAGAGAGAGAGAGAGAGAGAGAGAGAGAGAGAGAGAGAGAGAGAGAAAGAGAGAGAGAGAGAGAGAGAGAGAGAGAGAGAGAAGAGAGAGAGAGGGATAAAGAGAGAGAAAGGAAAATTGAAAAATTGCAATAAGATACGAGATGTTCTCTTTTGCACAACCACCTGTACTTAGGCTGCTTGGAGGGCTTCATAACGACGCCGAAGGTCAGCCGTAGTTTCAATGCCCAACTCTCCGTTTAGCTCGTGGATAAAACGGGGAATAAATATAACGGGATGGCGAAATATTATGTTCTCAAGAATATAATGCCCTAAATCTTGGAAAGAAGCTCTCATATGTCGCACGTTTTTCATTTCTGGATCTGAAATGAGTTCCACCATATGCAGCCTATCCTGGATAGAATCTCTACCTAAAAGGCGATCTAGCTCCAGGCGATGAGGGTGAAGTACTCGTTCCCATCCGATGTAGGACTCCTCGAGGTTGGGTTCGTCTAGCCCTGTATTGAAATAGACACACAGTCGCAATATCAAGTGAGCGAGGGAGAGCGAGAGAGAGAGAGAGAGAGAGAGAGAGAGAGAGAGAGAGAGAGAGAGAGAGAGAGAGAGAGAGAAGAGAGAGAGAGAGAGATAGATAGAGATAGATAGATAGAGAGAGAGAGATAAAGAGAGATTATTACTGCATCAAATCAAAATTTCACCAGTTGTAGTCTTCGGGGTGCTGAGTCGAATGGTCTTGGTCCGAGGAAACTGAGACGCTCCCTTCCTACTTTAATCCCAATCGAACTCGCACACTTCCACCAAAACTGGGTGACTGCGCCCTACTAGATGGGGATTTGTATGCAAAATGTCACTAAAAGCGCCATTTCGTTCTTATAAAAGCACGGATAACCCCGGTTGGCCCATACGTTGTACTGTACAAGCAGAAATATTCGTCTGGAATTTAATTTCGTCTTTTTCGTCCAAGGAGCTTTGGGACTAAATTAAGTGGCGGACGAATGTCGATTTGTCCAGCTTTTCAATACACTGTTATAGTCCATGGACTAAATTTTCAACCGGACGAAATCCCTTTCTTTGGAGCTGGACGAAATTATTGACCGACGAAATTTTCTGCCTGTACAGTAGTCTTTTGGACGCTGAGTCGACTGGTTTTGGCCCGAAAAGGCTGCGATGCAGCGTTAGGCCCTTATTCCCAATCGAACATGCTCGAACAAGCGGTCACGTGCTCCTGCGTACACTAGTCACCTGCTCACCGTGCCTGCACGCCCCGCGCAGGGTACAACTTACAGCCTGTTTGACCGTTTTTGGGTGCAGTCCTGTCACTCGAGTTGAACTTGAGTTGAACCTTGGTGTGAAAGTTGTCGCCTGCTGGCGCTGTGACCAGGTGACTTGGGCACGTAGGAGCACGTGACCGCTTGTTCAACCATGTTCGATTGGGAATAAAGGAGGAACGCTGCATCGCAGCTTTCTCGGACCAAAACCAGTCGACTCAGCGTCCAAAAGACTACAACATATGGGCCAATCGCGGTCATCCGTGCTTTTATAAGAACGAAATGGCGCTTTTAGTGACATTTTGCATACACATCCCCATCTAGTAGGGCGCAGTCTCCCAGTTTCGGTGGGAGTGCGCGAGTTGGATTGGGATTAAAGTAGGAAGGGAGCGTCTCAGCTTCCTCGGACCACAACCATTCGACTCAGCACCCCGAAGACTACAACTGGTGAAATTTTGATTTTAGCCTTAACTTCCCATTTAACCACATGGTGGTGCCAGCTGGGTCTGATCAATCCCCCCCCCCCCCCCCCCCCCCACCGCTTTAGGACCGGTTATGCACCTTGATCCTATGAGTGTGGTGGCTTTTCCTATGGATGCGGAAAACTCGGTCTTTAATTTCCGTGCTAGTCTGCTTTCCTGTGTTGGCCGCATTGTCCACGTGCTGAGCTCACCTGCTCAAAGCTGCACCCACAGCTCATAACAAAATTTACTCCAATTTCACAACACCTTGATGGATTTTCACGACCCATGGCTTGTTGGAAAGATCTAGACCAGGGGAAAACATCCCAGGGACTCAAAACTCAACAGGCGTGCCAGGGCCACCTGCATCTCCACTCCAGTACCCCTACCATGCCTGGAAATAACAAAACGACTGCCTCTCATGTTTTCTTTCGTCTTCTTGCTCATTGTGAACAGATTTTCACGATTAAAACTGCGTCGTAGAGCGTAGATTTTCAAGCGCGTTAGTAGATTCTCATTGCGCACGCGCTGTCTCTAGGGGAAATCCCTTAACCCGCATGAAGTCGCGAACAAAAACTTGAATTGATCGCCAAAAGGTGAAACTTGCACATTCTGGTCATTCGAATTGTGGCCGCCCGGTCATGCCTTGTCCTATCGCAAAGAACCGTATATCCCAGGAAAGCGGAGCCTAGAACCTTTCCAGCGGTGTCTCAATTCTAGAAATCCAAGAACGTTTGACCGAGTCATGTCAGTTTGTATGCTCATACGTAACCCGCAATATACAGTGTACATTGTTCAGTGTAGGCAGAATGCGTAAACGTGTCCACGGCCAATCTGCTCACACTAAAAAACGCGTCCATGGGAGGGAAAAAGGTTAACCGAGCCTCACTTAAACAGTTACCATAATTTCCCCAAGAGTCGCCAAACCTGCACATTAGGCAGGGGGGGGGGGGGGGGGAGGGACTTCCATGGAAGGAATCTCCTGGACTACTTTCAATCGCCCCTCCGAAGAACCCGTCAGGTGAAATAGCACGTCATAGTACATTTGAGATCAGCGGGAAGAAGATGACGACGTGCACTAATTTAGTATCTGTGCACACGAATCTGCTGTGTGTGTGACTCTGTGTGTCAGCTATGGTATGGTATTGGTATTGATTTATTTGAATTCGGTATCTCAACAGTACATTGTACAACTTGGGAAGATCCGAATGACATAGATACATAAACATAAAAGTGGAGTAGGTGCTACAGCTGATCATTTTATCGCAGCTATGACATCAACCCCTGTGGTTCCATGCCTAGCATGTACGTCTGAACCATCCTGCAAAGTTTGAATGGCGTAGGTTGAGCGATCGCTCCGCGAAACATACTTTTTGAAATTCTCTTCATAGTATATCTTCCACCATTGAAATTTCGAATTTCTTGCTGAGAGGGGTGGCTTGCAACCTCGATATGGCTTGTTCCAGGCATGCTTTGGAGCCATCCCCTGTTGAAGTAGTGGCGGGGATCTGCCCTGCAACTGCTACAACAAAAAATGATTCGATCTGAGAAAGGGTGAGACCTCGAATCTCGATGGAATATTGAGTATTTCAAGCCTTTTCACGACGAAGATGGAGATGGACGTCGCGGTAAAGGACATGGTGTCCGACTTCTGGCGTCTGGTGAAGCCAGGGATCATTTGTCCAGTCAGGTCGGCAGCCTAACCGTCGGTAAGCTTGTGTTTGGATCCCGTTCTGCTCGATGTGGTAGATCACAAACAATTTGATATCGCACACATTGATCTCAGCATCGTGCGTACGGTATTTTATATTCAGAAAATCCCAAAGTGTCTCTGTGTGGCCGTCCTATGCCATGAAAAACTCCAATCAGGCTCCTATGTCCTCTGCCTTCATGATTGAATGTCCACTTCGTTTGAACAACGAACACAACAATCGAGGACGGCTTTGCAATGAAAAATACAGCTATACTGGGCTGAAAAAAAGAAGAAAAAACGTGCTCAGGATGAGACTCGAGTACACGCATACTCTTCCAGCAGGTGAAACGCAATATTTTATGAAAAATGCGTGTCGCCGACTGACCAGTAATTTCGCCTGACGATTCCAATTTCATTTCAAGGTGCAGAAAATCAAGAATGTCGCAAGCTATTCTTCACCAAGTTACAGTCTTAGTATCCCGCATCCATACGAAAACCACCACCCTCAAAGGACCAAGGCACCGAAGCTTGCATTCCTAGACTAACAACAACGACCTAGGTGTTTTTAAGGGATTGGGATAACTTCAAAATTCAAAGGATCAGTCAGGGAAGCAAACTGCCTGAAAAGAGAAGAAAAGTATATGCCGTTGAACGTCACCAGGACTTGAACCCGTTCTTTCTCTTTTCAGGCAGTTCACTTTCCCTGACTAACCTACACGTTGGTGAACGTATTGCTTTATATTTTCAAATGATGCACGATGCAGAAGAGGTGGAAACTCACATGCGTCCGAGGGCTGGTGTTGCTGAGCATCATTGTACCCCTGGGTTTCTGGCTCAGGCCTCGCTGTGCCTTTGGCATCTCCTCTCTGGGGCGGCTGTTGAAAGCCAGGCGCCGGCGTCACGTTAATTGTCATATTAGTTGTGTTGAATGCAAAACTCGTGTCTGCACGTAGAAAACACAAACACAGCACGCAGGCGGAAAGATCAGCGGGGTAAAACATTATACTCTACTTATGAGAATAGACCATTCTCTTGAATAGTGCCCCTGTCTCTGAGCCAATGAAAAAATAAAGCCCTGTCTTAAATATTGCAGCGAACTAATCATGTTAGCTACGACAAGATGATGACAATTTTTAATTCTAATCCTTGGCTCTCCATCAGAGTACTTCGTACTGTGTGCTTACTGTCACCGGTGCAGGTGATGTTGGGACCGTTTGCTGCCATGACCTTTGTGTGTCCACGCGTGATCTGAACAAGAAGACATAGAACCATCATCATCATCATCATCATCATCACATCATCATCATCATCATCTGCGTTGCCGAAAAAATAGTATAATAAAATAATAAAAAATTATAAACGGCATTATGCAGCTGTGTAAGCAGTAGATGCACAGTGTGACTGCCAGGCATCTCTGTCAGATGCCAACTGGTAATTCTCATGCAGAGACATAGAACCATTGGGTAGTAAAATACCGGTATTTTACTACTCTCTGCATAGAACACATTGCACCCACACAGTCCGTATTGATGATGCAGTGGATGCTGTCGTCCGTGAACTGGGTACATGCAGCAATACAAAGGCTGGCAGTGGACACGCATCAATGGATTTGGAGCTGATCGTGCACTTTTTCCCCAAGACCTCCCCACCCACAGCGGCAGAGCTTGAACTTCGTCATGTCGAGAGTACATAATCGCCAGGTTACCGGGTGGGGGTTACTTATGAACATGTACTCTTGATTATGTGTGCCGTATTGTCCAGAGTGTAGTGGTTCTACAAACGCACCAAAGACATCTTGTAACTAGCTTCGTTACTACAAATCACAAGTGTCTGGGAATACAGAGAACGACAGAGAGATCAAAGGAAAAGCCAGGCAGGCAGGTACAGCTAAAGTGCGTACGGAACAACTGGCATGTCGCACAGCGCGGCCGGATGAATGCATACATGTTACATAAAAGGATACAACGACAAACAGTGGGATGTGCATCCACTACATCTCCCCTCTGAGATTAAACAGGCTATAATAGAGAAGATGAGGAGTCCAAAGACTATTCGATTATGTAGGTATTGTTTGTAGAGCAAGTTGCAGTGAAAGAGAGATGTGCAGAGACGACGGCAGATACGTCTCGGCACGTTGCTGAATTAGCATGATTCAATGAGGCGGTTGACAGGCTGAGGAGCTCTAGCAGAGCGACGGACTGGATCAGCTGCTGTGCCACCGTACTCAACCTCGACTGTCGGCTTCTCTGCTTCTGGCAGTGGCAGTCGGATCAAGTGACGACGATTGCGGCGAACAGTAGAGTGACCAGACTCAACGAGGTAAGAACGATTGGACACTTGCTCTACTATCTTGCCCTCCCGTTCGAGATCGGTGATGAATACACGGTCATGAAGCTGTAGAGTCGCGAGAGGCTTAGCTGCATGCCGTTGGTCGTAGTGCAACTTCTGCTGTTCCTGGGACTGAGTTTCCGATTCCAGAATACTAGGGAGATCTGGCCATTTCGGTTCCAGCTGCTCAGTCGTTGCAGGTAGACCGGTACGGAGCTGGCGGCCATACAATAGCTGACATGGGGCATAGCCGTTGCTCAGCGGTGTCGTGCGGTAAGCCAAGAGTGCATCTTGCAGGCTTTCGGCCTTCCGCAGGAGATTCTTGGCGGTGCGAACTGCACGTTCCGCTTCGCCATTCGACTGAGGATACCGTGGACTGGAAGTGCGATGGGTGATGTCGTTTGCTGTGCAGAACTCAGTAAACGCTTCGCTGGCAAACTGAGGACCGTTGTCTGTGACCAAGGTGGACGGGAAACCATGCTCGGCACAGATGCGGTGCAGATGCTTGATGACAGCAATCGAGGTTGTGGCAGTCAGCGGTACGACATCGAGGTAACGCGAGAGATAGTCAACAATGACGAGGTAAGTCGTGCCGTTGAATTCCATCAGATCTGCACCAACCGTGTGCCACGGCAGTGTTGGGCGTTGGACGGGTTGCAGTGGTTCGGTCGACTGGACGCGGTGTTTGGTGCACACTTCACACGTAGCGACCATCGTGTCGATTTGCCTTGACAAGCCTGGCCACCAAATGGAATGGCGGGCGCGAGACTTGCACTTCGTTGCACCTTGATGTCCCTCGTGGAGCTTCTCGAGCATCTCAGGCTGCAGAGAGGGTGGCATGACAATGCGGAAACCATGGTACAGCACACCTTGCTCACAGGACAGTAACTGGCGTTCATGGAAGTATGGGCGCACAGTGTCGTCGACATCACGTGGGTTGCACGGCCATCCGTGTTGGACGAAGTGGAGGACTTGCTTGAGCGTCTCATCTTGTGCGGTGGCTTCAGCAATGTCACGGGCTTTACCATCCGACACGATCTCAGCGATGTAAGATGTGAGGTTGATGCTGATCTCGTCTTGGAGACTAGGTGTGTCGTCACAGGCGAGCGGAGCGCGAGACAGAGCATCGGCAACAACTAGCTCTTTGCCAGGGACATACACGGCGGCTGGATTGTACGTGAGCAGGCGCATCAGGAGGCGTTGACATCGCATCGGGACACGGTTCAAATCACGCGTATTGATCAGCGGGATGAGTGGCTTGTGATCCGTTTGGACAGTGAGGGACGAGTTGCCGTAAATGTAGCCGTGGAAGCGCTCACAAGCCCAGACAACAGCCAAGCACTCCTTCTCGATCTGCGCGTACTGTTGCTCAGTAGTGGTGAGGCTGCGGGAGGCAAATGCAATGGGGCGCATTCCGTCGTCATGCTCCTGCAATAGGACAGCTCCCAAGCCGTAACTGCTGGCATCAGCGCTGATGACCGTCGGCTTGGTTGGGTCGAAGAACGTGAGGCAGGGTGCATTGGTGGCAAGCTGTTTGAGCTTGTCCAGGGCCTGTTGTTGTGTAGCAGACCACTCCCATGCGGTGTCATGCCCCAGTAGAAGACGCAGTGGAGCGCTGACTTCCGAGAGATTGGGAATGAAGCGTGACATGAACGCGAACATGCCGAGAATGCGCTTCAGTTCCGTGACGTTCTTGGGCGGCTTCAGATTAGCGACGCTGGACACTCTCGCTGGGTCAGGGTGGAGACCTTTGGCGGAGAAGATGTGACCAAGGAACTTCACTTCGGCCTGACGCTTGTGACATTTCGTCATGTTCAGCGTGACGTTGGCTTTCTGCAGGATGTCTAGTACGGCAGCTAGGTTACGGTCGTGTTCTTCTCGCGTACGGCCAGAGACAATGATATCGTCCATGTAGACGAACACGCCGGGGAGCTGGTCCAGAAGGTTGGTGAGACGCTTCTGGAAAATCTCAGGTGCTGATGTGATGCCGAATGGCAGTCGCTTGAAGTAGAACCTGCCGAACGGAGTGATGAAGGTGGTCAAACGGGCAGAGTCGGGACTGAGTGGGACTTGCCAGAATCCGTTAGCAAATGTCGTGAACACAGTCGCTCCGGCCAGTGAAGACAGGGCATCTTCTAACGTTGGCAGCTGAAATGTCTCCCGCTTGACAGACGCATTAAGATGCTTCAGGTCGACACAGATGCGTACCTTGCCGTTAGGTTTGAGGACGGGCACCATAGGCGAACACCAGTCTGTGGGTTCGTCGACACGCGCAATGATGTCGCCATCTTCCATGCGGTGCAGTTCTTCACGTACTTTCGAATACAGGTGATGAGGAACTCTGCGAGCTGTGAGGCAGTGATACGGTGTGGCGTCGGAAGTCAAGTGAATCTGCGCAGCAGGACCAACCATACACTGTACGAGTGGGACTGGACCTTGCACTTCAGCCAGACGCTGGACTAGCCCCAGTGCTGTGCACGCAGATCGGCTGAGCAGGCTAGTGCTGGCACCATCTAGAGCAAAGATGGGTATGGTAGTGGACTGGGATTGAAAGGAGCAGTGAGCCTCAAATACACCCAGGACCTGCATAGTCTGGTCATTCACTCCTCTCAGCTGGGCACTAGTAGCAGATAAGGACGGCTTGGGCTGCAGTGTATTGTATGATTGCACGGACATGGTAGAGACATCAGCTCCAGTATCTAGCTTGAACTGGACTACACTCTTTCCGATAGCCAGATCTGCCAACCAGGGTGAATCACTTACACTTTGTGCGCACGTCGTGTGGCCAACAAATAGAGAGTCCGGAGAGTCGTTCGTGACGGCAGAGGTGGACGGTTTCGATCGGCAAACTCGCGCGAAGTGGTTGCGCTTGCCACAGGCTTTGCAGCACTGGCCTCTGGCTGGGCACTGATCGCGTTGCGAGTGGTGGCTTCCACCACAGTTCGGGCACTTCGATTCGGTCGCAGGCGGCGTTGCTGCAGATTTGTAGCTACCATGCGGTCTGCTCTTATAAACCGAAGTTTGAACACTCAAAATTCGCCCCTCACCCCCCCCCCCTTATATAAGCCCCGTGGCTTATATTATACTCCGATAATCAAATTAACAGTGATAAAACAGGATAGATGTTTGCACGTCGTGACAAAAAAAATGGCGGCTGCAGCTTATACTCCAGTGAGGCTTAGGGTGCGCTTTTCGGAGAAGAAGAAAAGAGAAGTCGAAGAAACTGGTATAATTAAAGAACGGGTCTCGAAGAATTCGGAGATATTTTGCACATGTGAAGCAATATAAAGCGCCAAAGGGTCTTGAGTGCCACGAATGAAGTACGTACTGTGCGTATGCAAAAAGGGAAATGCGTACACTCATGATCAACACATGGCTTTTAGCTGTAGTTCGCATGCGCTGATCCCCAAACCGCGGGAATCTCCAAGTTTCTACCACCTCTGAAGCTCGGAAAGCATGGAGAGTGTTTGGAGAGCCTCCTATAATTCGGAGAGGATATAAGAAAAGCTCTCGAACTTCTCAGAGAGTCTCCGACTTTTCCGAGGGGATTTAAGAATGCCCCCTTATGCTCCAGTGAGGCTTATACTCCGGAGAATACAGTAGCTACAGAAATAATTAACGTTATCCAAAAGCAGAAACGGTTAAAATTAAAGGGGAAGAATACCCTAAAAAGAAATTTTCACCAGTCGTAGTCTTCAGGGTGCTGAGTCGAATGGTCTTGGTCCGAGGAAGATGAGACGCTCCCGTTATTCCCGATCGAACTGGGAATTCCCTAGTAAAAGAAGTGGTGACGGACAAAGAAAAAACTGTGATGGAAATGTGTTGTTTCATACTTGAATTTCGTCCCCTTGGAGTGCTTGATTGTTATCTTTCACGCACATGGTATCTTTCAAGTATGCCTTGTGATACTTTTTTTATACAAAAGAGAAAGACCAAGGAACTACAAGATACGCTATGCTGTCCACTAACACCACCAGTTACTAAACAATCAGCTCATGCGATAACATTGCACGACACTGACCGACGGTACTGACGTTCTACAACTAACTGGCTAACAGCTCTAGCACATCTTGGGTGCGCCCTCCAACAGCCTTCCAACTTGGAAGGTTCCAAGTTATAGAAATAACATAAGGAGGGGAAGGTGAGCGCAACCAAGATAAGCACGAGCTGAAAGTCTCAGCTATGAAGGACGTTGTCGGATGTTCATGCATGTCGATGACGATACTGGCAAGACCATTGGACAATACGGTCAAACCACGATTCCAGAACGCAAACCGTATATTGACCGTACTGTCCAATGGTCTTGCCAGTATCGTCATCGACATGCATGAACATCCGCCAACGTCCTTCACAGCTGAGACTTTCAGCTCGTGCTTATCTTGGTTGCGCTCACCTTCCCCTCCTTATGTTATTTCTATTACTTAGAACCTTCCAAGTTGGAAGGCTGTTGGAGGGCGCATCCAAGATGTGCTAGAGCTGTTAGCCAGTTAGTTGTAGAACGTCAGTACCGTCGGTCAGTGTCGTGCAATGTTATCGCATGAGCTGATTGTTTAGTAACTGGTGGTGTTAGTGGACAGTATAGCGTAACTTGTAGTTCCTTGGTCTTTCTCTTTTGTATAAATTAAACCTTGGCTCTCCATCTGAGTCCGATACTTTTTTCGCCATTGTTTAGGTGTTTTTATATGTATGTATGTATACTTTATTTGAATTCGCATATCCAAACGAGCACAAATGCTCAATGACAAGGCAGCGAATATGTTATTATGTTACAGGGAAGGAGGGTTGGGGAGAAAATAAGGAGAACAAAGAGAGAATGGTAGATATCTCAATGAAGAGCGAAGCGTTATCAAACTACAAGTAAGCCAGCGAACGATAAGTCGATAGTTCTGTAACCCGCCTAATAAACTAAGTACTTTTTTTCAGGCGTGCAGTGGACTGTCATTAAAACAGAAACAGAAAAATAATAATATCACTATTGAAGTCATGATTGATCCTCTATAGTAATCTGTGTTGCAATTTGTTAATAAGTACAACGATGCTTCCTGATGAGCTTTGTGCGAAAGTTTGTTTGATGCATTTAAAAAAAAATCCTTTTCATCGTTCCTATCATTGTTCCTATGATCGTTCCTATCATTGTTCCTATGATCGTTCCTATGATCGTTCCTATCATCGTTCCTATCATCGTTCCTATGATCGTTCCTATGATCGTTCCTATCATCGTTCCTATGATCGTTCCTATCATCGTTCCTATGATCGTTCCTATGATCGTTCCTATGATCGTTCCTATCATCGTTCCTATGATCGTTCCTATGATCGTTCCTATGATCGTTCCTATCATCGTTCCTATGATCGTTCCTATGATCGTTCCTATCATCGTTCCTATCATCGTTCCTATGATCGTTCCTATCATTGTTCCTATGATCGTTCCTATGATCGTTCCTATCATCGTTCCTATCATTGTTCTTCACAGTACACTTCCATCACTGTTATTTCTTAGTCCATCACCACTTTACATTAATTTCAATAAAACAATTTGTAACATGTCGCTTCAGCTGAATCTGTTCATTCTTCTTTTACTTGGGAATTCCCAGTTTGATTGGGAAAAAAAGGAGGAAGGGAGCGTCTCGGCTTACTCGGACCACGACCATTCGACTCAGCACCCTGTAGACTACAACTGGTGGAAATTTGATTTTAGGGTACTACAGTCAACTTCGCTTATAACGACACTCGGCGGGGCATCAAACAGGTGTCCTTATTCGCGAAGTGTCGTTATACCCGAAGTCTCATTATATGTATTTCAGTGGGATGGGACTTTGCTCTGGGCATGGGAATTCTGTCGTTATTCGCGAATTGTCGTTATATCCGCAGTCGTTATTAGCCAAGTTGACTGTATGTGTATACTTCTCCTTTAACCGATCTACTACTAGTGTGTACCGTACATGTGTGTACACATTGTATAACCCAATACTGGTTCACAACCAGTATTGGATAAGGGGTCGTCGCAAAAGTTTTTTTGTCGTCCCTGAAATGAATCATTCATTTGGGGGGGGGGGGGGGGGAGGGGGTGCGAGCCAAAATCGCAAGTCGACCGACACTGTACATATGACATGTACATGCATGCGATTTTCGTCGTCCAGCATAGCAAGCTGTGTTCGTTTCAGAGGGAGAGGAGGGGGTCCGAGTACGAAATGAACGATGTTCGTTTCAGGGACGACAGAAAACGATTGCGACGACCCCTAAGCCTTGTTATAGTTCACGCATATTGTTAGATTGACAGTAAGATCACTGTTTACGAACACATGTCCTCCACCTTGTTTCATGCTGTCAATCTAACAATAATATTATAATGTATGTACACGTACAAGCACATAGCGTCAGGTTTTTCTCGAACAGATCATGTTCAAGTGTACAATCATGTACTGCCATGGGCATGGGGTCAGTGTCATGGAACAGGTACGGGCCCGCCACTACGGGGGGAATGGATACAAACAAGCTGTAGAGAGATGTGAAGTACACGTCCCGGTACAAAAAACTGCAGTCTTCTCAACTTTCTTTCTTTCATTTTTAAAACAATACAATTCATGCCTTCTCAACTACGCAGCACTACGTTCAGCAAGATTGCTACAACCGTTGTACAATGGCATGTACACATACGACATTGATGAATCAAGTGCTAAAACTAGAAACAATGTCGTGCCTCGTGGTGAAAGATTTCGCAAAGCTCACTCCTAGATCCTCGTCACCAAACTAACCAGATGCAGAATGAGCCTAGCGCCTGGAAGTCCAGCCGAGATGTCGAGCGTGGACTAGTCGTCAAGCCGCGCACAGACCTCTAGCGAGCCGTCTGATCTGGAACGGGTTCTCCACGCGCCACAAGCTCTCAAGTTCAACTCGCAGGTGCAATACTAGCGCCAGTAGTAGCGGAGGAGTGAGTAATGTCTATGTTGGGAAAACAGGACGAAAATCTGCGAAACAAAAAAATAACCTGCTCACTGACATGATCAGTACATGCTTTCATCATCATCATGCTTCATGTATAGCTGCATGCTGAAAATAATGAACGCTGACACTTGGAACGAGGTCTCCTATCCTGTTTGGTTCACTGAACTGATGATCGATCGGTGTTGACCTCGTTCCTACGACGCTACGTCGCGTGTAGACTACCACGTAGATCTACGGACGCCTGTCTTTGTGATGTGCATGCCACGCGAATCGCGATGGAGGTAAATCATTCATGCCATCATGGTAAAATAGCACTACAGTGTACATCTTTACTTATAAAGAAGAGGCACCTGTGACGTGTGTCTGTGTGTGTGTCACGCTCCTTATAAAGAAGAGGCACCTGTGACGTGTGTTTTTGTGTCACGCTACCCTGAGCACGCGAAGCGTGCGAACAGTGTAGCACAGTGTAGCTAGCGGCCGCAGAAGCACTGAGCACGCGAAGCGTGCGAATCGTGTAGCTAGCGGAAGCAGCCACGGAAGCACTGATCTGAGCACGCGAAGCGTGCGAATCGTGTAGCCACCATTACGTGCTGAGCACGCGAAGCGTGCGAACAGTGTAGGTGGTATAGCAGACACGATCAGTACGAGTAGCAGTAGCAGCCGCGCGCAGAAGCACTGAGCACGCGAAGCTTGCGAATCATGTAGCCACCTAGCCTAGGCCATGCATAGGTAGCACTAGCAGCCGCACAAGCGCTGCGGACCACGTGAACTGTTCTCTGCAAATAGAAACATCTGCAACAAAAGGATACAAAAGATCTGCACTGACTGCACTCTGCATCTGATCTGCAGTGAAGAGCGCATCGCACTTTTGTTCGTAAGTTTATGAATTTTTTGAGCCGCTTCATCCGCCACCACTTAAAGTGATGGACAACCCTGACCAGCCTCCCGAAGGCGTAACAGACGTCCCTCCTTCTCCTTCCAACGATGAAGAACCTCCCTCACCAGGACTTCAGCGGTCTGGCCACCACCACGTGCTGAGCACGTGTGCTGTTCATGTACTTGCTTCACCCGCATGCCACATTCGGCCAGGCAACGCTGGCCGGTGGTGCTGCTAGTGTACTTACAAAACACAAAATACTAGTCATGTACACGTACACACACACGTACTACTGTGTACTGTAGTCTGAAAGAATGTTTTCTTTTAATTAAAAAACAAACTGACAGTCTGAGCATGAGTGGAACGGTAAAAGCAGGACTTTTTGTTTGTATTTTTTATTAGAGTGGGAAGTCCAAGACAGGCCCTAGCCTAATAATAAAACAACAATGGTCCCACTGTATTACTAGTGAGACTTACGTGTACAGACTGTCAGTGCCATCATGAATGTTGCTGCTGTGTGACTATGACGATACAGCTTCCTGATGAAAAAGAAGCACAAGTAACAGTTAGCTATTAGTGTTAGTACCGGTAAACTACAATCATGTCATGTACAGGACTAAATTTTGTAGTAGCAAGACAAGCATGAAGAGCAGCGCTCAGCAACAAAAACAAAAAAAGATAATTATAAAGTATTTTTTTAATTTTGTACATCGCGGTCTTTTGTTTTGAGCAGTACACATGCTACATGTACATGTACAGCCTACAGTAGCTAGCCAAGGCAAGGCAAGGGCTAGCGGCTAGGGACTTGTGCGTCGTGCTCCTTCGCAGCTTCGGCTTTCGATTCCTCGAAGGGGGAAGTCCCCATTGATGCTGGGAACAGCGATCACCATGCATGATTACTGCACCTGGGTTTCGATCACTCGGATCAGGCTGCACTGGCTCGATGCCGCTCGTGGAGATTGACAGACTACACGCTCCGCGATCCGTGGCCTGATCGGAGTCTCGGGTACCCGGCCGGGTACGTGCATGGTTTCGATCAGGGTGAAATCCCTTCACGGCTCTCGGGTTTCGATCAAGCCATTTGTTTCGATCAAGCCCAGTTACTTCAACTTTTCAAGGCATGGCTCAAGCGACTCGAACTGACTGTTCTTATCTGGTACATGTAGATCTAGATCCAGCTAGCAGATGTAAGCTCGTCCTGTAGATCTTAGAACGGTGAGCCGCTGCCATCTTTGACCATAACGCCATTTTTCTGAGTGACCAGACCACGAGGCATGACACAACTAGCCAAGGATCGTGTCTCCGTCATCTTGCCCACCCGGTACCCATCCATTGTCGCAACAGAAGCCCTGAGTCCCCGCCAGCTCGAATCCGATTTTCTTTTCACTGCAGAGTTTCTGGTACCACCATACCACGCTTGTACTTGTTGTAGCCTTGCAGGGCTAGGCTAGCTGGCGCTAGATCGCTACTGATATTCAGCGGCTGCGCGTGTCGCTGGCTAGCATCATTGAGTTTGTTGCCCGTCGTTCTTGTCCCCTTCGCGCGAGGGAAATAGCTGGTATTGCCGCCGTGGCGACTCGACGTTGGCTGCACGAGGACGAGCCCTATACCGGGCGTATCACACCCCGTCGCGGCCAAACAGCAAATTATCTACCAAGCAAGGCTCGTATCCAAGTGCCACGCGCTAGGTGAGTTGCGCAGCTTCTCCACCCACTTGATTTCGAAAAAGTGCGGGTTTTCTGGCTGCTTTCAACGTACCTTCTCATCTCTGTTTTTTTCATACCGGTATTATTTTATTCTTCTGCCCAACTATCTTGGCTCTGGTTCTTCTCTGTCGAGTACTAGTACTAGTAATCCGTATTGCACCTATCGATAGCCGGTAATAATTATCTATCCTTCGGGATTGCGTCGATGTTGGATGACGATGGCATGATCCTTCTATCAGCAAGCACTGAATATTCAGATCGGTTGTGTGTGTGTATGTGGGGGGGGGGGGGGGGGGGGGGGGCGTGTGTGTGTGTGTGTGTGGGGGGGGGGGGGGGGTGAATATGTGTATGACTGTCACATTATAATAATGGGTGCACATGTCTATAATTATAATAGACCGATCCCCTTATTATACTGGGTTCGAGCACGGGGGCAACCTCACTCGCGATCGAGCTAGTTTTTGAACGTGACAGCATCTTTGACAGTGTGTTTCAGGTTTGTTTTGCAATGTCTTCTTCTTAGTTCAAGTAGTTTGCGATGGCTTCGAGCGGTGCTAAACCTCCTGCTGGTAGGAGCAGAGTCTCCGAGAGAGACATGGACTGTGATGCCGCTGCAGGATTTTTTCAAGGCGCGGGAGGGAACGATCTCGGGCCACAAACAGGAGTTACTCCAGAGGTGAGTTTTTTTGTTGTTGAAATATTCGAATCGCGAATCGTGTTGTGAGATTTATTTTGTGCCTAGGCTACAGCAGACCATATTTCTTTCTCCTTGCGATCGGTGCTGAAGATAATAGTAACCTTTTTCTGGTCTGTCTTTTCCTCTCCAGAGCCATCTTCTATGAAGGTAACCGTGGTGCTGCCAAATCAGCAAGTCGCGATCAGCAGCCGTGAAGTGGAAAAATCGATTTTCCAACGATCTGGTTGGACATCAGCCACTAAAGTACTTCTGATTTGCCTGTAGTGACAACAGCAGCCATCCTTGGACACCTTGCAAAGACAGGAAAAGCCACTGGTGGAAGCGACTGCTATGAGGTGACGCTAGCAGTGCAGTGGTGATCGCTGTTTTGTCAAGTCGAAGTGCTAGCCAACCCAGAGGAAGCATAAAAAAACCGATGAGCAGTGCGTGGTATTCGTTGAGCGTGAAGAGCCTAGAGGAGGACAGTGCAAACACATGGACGGAGTGGATGGTGTTTGAAGAACAGTGTGCTGTGTGCCGGCTGGTGGTGATGGTGGTCTTTGTCAGCATGTATTCGTGCTGCTTCTTGTGCTGGAACACTTCTCGCCCAGGAAGGTAGATTGCGTGCTCCCTGGCCCTCAGTTGGCAATGGGGCATTTGTTCCAGGAACATTACCCCAGAGCCAATGATGAGTCGTACCTTTGAAAAGTCGAAGCTTGCTGTTAATCGCAAGCGTAGCGCAGTGGATTGCTCCCTCTTCGAAGCACGAGGACCAAAGCTTGCCGCTGTCTGCAGCAAAGTGTGTGTGCGGTTCTTTCGAACCTATGAATATACCCCCCTGCATGTTCAGAGTGAACTATTTTCTAGTATATTTAACATCCTCAACCCGCCACCACCATGCGCTCTTGGCCAAACTAATGCACGAAGCATAAACACACAGCACAGCAAGGACACTTCCGTTGACAGATATTGTTTACGCCTCTAGACCGCTGTTTCTTTTCTTCGAGCTCATCGTTAGAGGAGGATAGTAGCAGGATACTAATGATGATATAATATAAGATGTTAGACGGTTTATGGTCCGATATTGATGATTGAAGATCTAAGAAAGCAATGACAGTGATTGCGAAACGGATAATATTATCATGATTATATGCCAGTCTGGTAATGCGTTGTACTAGTGGACAGTATTGAAATCATCACTGCATTCGATGCAAATATTGGTATACCTTTGGTTTCAGTATTGGAAAAAAAGAGTAAGAGAACCTGGTTGATTTGGTTGCATCTGCGACTGGCTACCGGGTGTTGTGATCAGCAATGTTACCATGGGAGAAAATAAGAGCGCAAGGATCTGTTGGGTCTTGTTGTGCCGGTGCGAGAACCCTAAGTGCATGGCAAAATAGAACTGTTTCATCCACAATGCAGAATGTCTTGCGGTACATGGCATTGATGACTGAACATCTCGCCAGCTCGCCCAAATGGGGATCATGCCCAAACGGAGGAACAAGACATTTCCAGCTCAGCTAGCTATATAGTATATACCGTGAAACGGATGATTAACTTGTGCCACGCATGACAGCTTCTGTTCCATTTGGCCCAGGCTTAGACACATCAATGCCAATAGCAGCTGATCCTCCATTACATGCTCATTGGCGATTTACGGCCACCTCCAACTGTATCCGCCGTCCCTCAGCTTCCGTCTTCGCAGATCTGGTTCGGCGCAGTACATTTTCTCGGCTAGGCTCAAAGAAGTCCCACAGAGCGGTCCAAACACCTGAAGGCAAACCAGTCAGAAACTGGAGCGGCTCAGAGTCTTTCTTTATGTTATTGTACGTAAGCTGTTTTTCGGCTTTCTTCACCCCATCGTCCAACTGCTCCACGAGACTCTGTCCACGAGCTCTACTTGCTGCCAACTCCTGATGCAGATGCTGCACTTCCATTACAGGACCAAACTGCACTAAGCCAGGTTCCTTTCCAACTCAAAATGCCGTTGCCTCTCAGCAAAATACATGTACTGGTTTGCGGGCATGGGGAGCTCGTGATGCAGACGCTGCACTTCCATGACCGAGCTGCACTAGGCTCAGCAAATACTGTTTTGCGAGCATGGGGAGCAGAGCGTCCAGACTCCACTCTCTTGCGAAAAGCAAACCTGGTACCGTAGGACAGCTGTTTGGTTTCCTGGACTCATCCTGCCCTTGTAGAGCTGGGCAAAACGATTTCGACTTCGGGATCGAAATGATCGCTGCAACTCAAATATTCAGAGTGACCCTAAACTACGTCCTTCCTCACGGGGAATAGCCTGGATCCGCTTGCTCCAGGCCGCTGTGGCTCCACACGAGGAAAGGAGTGAAATGACTTGTTTGCTTCGTCCTCCTGTTCTGACAGTGAGGAACGCAGCAATGATCCTGAGAAGGCATCCTGAAGTCGTAAAAAGGAAGACGTCTAAACAAAAACAAAACAGCTCAAATCAAAAGTCCTTGTAACATTTTTTGTAGACAGGCTTGCACTGCGTGTAGATTTCGCGTGCTCTGCACTTCGCATGCGAGAAGTCACGCACAGCCGAGGTGAGGTTGGTCGCGTGTGTGCAGCAGGATCCCACGCGACTGCGGAGTTGCCCCCTTGCTCGAACCCAGACAATAATAAGGGGATCGGTCTATTATGTGTGTGTGTGTGTGTGCGTGTGTGCACGCGCATGCGTACGTGTGTCGATATGTGTTTAGGAGCTGGCAGGGTCAAGCATTCTGAGTGCGGTGAGAGCAAGCAGACACTGGAGATCGACGGGCGTATTCTAAGAACGGAGAGGGGAGTCCATCCTGCCGGACTCCTCCTCGTCTCTCGGCAACGGCAGGTTGATGTCAGATCCGGTGGAGCATGAGTCTATGCAGTCGGTGTTGGAGACAATTCTTGAGCTGTACGGGCATCCCGACTTCGATCAAACTGCCGTGACGACTGCCTTGAAGCTGGGAGGCAACAGGCGAAATGCAATGGTCAAAGCAGGCAAGACCGAAAACAAACGTAAGAACCCCGGTACAGTTAGTGTCCTCAGGTCTCAAATTGCAGTTTTTTTGCCAGCTAACAACACACCATGCATTCGAATAGCCGAGATACATAACCCGCTAAGCGCCAGATTTGAGAAAATCAGATTTTCAGCTCAGTGTAATCGGAAAGTTTAGTTTCGTCACCAGGCAAAGTTTCACATTCAAAATCTGACTGCGTGTAGAACCATTTCACAACTTGGGGGTTCCAGTTTCACAACTGAAACCCCCAAGTATGGATTTCAATGCAAAGTGCTCGTACATGTAAAATGTAATTGAAATGGAAGAAATCGCATGGAAACAAGTTATGAAGCTACTATCCACGACTGTAACAAGGTAACCTTGAACCTTCCAAGCTGGAAAGCTGTTGGTGTGCGCACTGCAGATGTGTTAGGGCTAGGTCTCAGGTCGTGATGTCTCAGTAGCCTGTCAGTTTTGTGCCCTGTTATCGCACTTTCTGACTGCTTCTTATCTTGTTACAGTGGCGGATAGTTGCTGGATTTAGCGTGTTTTAGTTGTCCTGTCGTAGATATAGCTCAAACCCTGCTCTATGCGTCCAGTAGTTTCTTCAATGATCCCACGCATGGCGAATCCAATTTTCATTCCAGCTCGAACACGTTTGGATTGTCTGTTTGTGTGTGTGTGTGTGTTTGTTTGTTTGTGCATGTGTTTGTGTGTGCTTATGTATGTGTATTTGTGTATGTTTGTGTGTCTATGCCTTTGTGTGTGTATGCGTGCACATCGTTGTGTCCATTTCTTACACAGAGCGATGGAAGCCGTCGCATATCAGCGAGTCTCTCAAGTCAGAGCTTGTCCCCATGCTGCAGCAGCCGATTGCAGATGAGATTGACGAGAGGAAATGGGGTCTGTTTATGAGAAAGGCGGCGGAGTATGCCAAGGAAGGTAAGCACCATTAGTAGGTAGATAATTTTGGATTATACCATGAGTACGAGGGGTACACAGCTGAATATTTTTACGAGTGCGTGAGCACGAGGGAAAATAAAAGGGACACGGTATGCATTGAATACGAATGGTATAATCCATTTATCCCGTATGCTGTCCCAAATAGAGCGTGACCAACACTAAACATCTCCTTTATTTACTCTTTGGCGTGACCCGGGGAATATTTTGACCCTAGCGGGGAATATTTTTTGACCCCACTGCGGGGTATATCACTCTATATTCCCCGCTCAGAATGGCCGCAGGTCAGAAGACGGTAATTGCATTTGTTGTTACATCAAGCACAACCCTACATATGAGTCATGTGGGGTTATGTAGGGAATATTTTCATGATAATAATTGCTGGACAAGTTGTGTGTTGATGTTGCCCTTACCGGCTTTGTCGATGTGCAGGGGTGCGCGAGAGGGCATTCCTGATGACGCCCAAGTATCAGCTGGTGCAGCGCTGCGTGGCCGTCTTCAAGAAGAGCACGCAGAACGACCTGCTGTGTGAGACGTGCAACGTCATCATCAAAATATGCCACGGTGAGTGTCGACGGAGATGTCACCGTGACAACCAATTATTGTTGTCATGGCACCGTATTTAATACACAGGAGAGATTGGAAGCTGTGTCAATCTCTCTCTTCTGTACAAGGCTCTGCCCTACATGGGTACTGAGCACTCTTCGGACAGTGAAGCACACCACCTGATTACTGTATATAATAAAACTGTGAACAGTACCATTGTACGTCACCCCCCCCCCCCCCCCCCCCCACTTCCAGGTTTGATCCATTGCCTTCAGTAGTAAGTCATGCTCGATTGTAAGTCGCACCCCCTTGCTCACCCCGGGATTGTAGTGCAAAAAGGTGTGACTTGCACCCCCTTGCTCACCCCGGGATTGTAGTGCAAAAAGGTGTGACTTGCACCCCCTTGCTCACCCCGGGATTGTAGTGCAAAAAGGTGTGACTTGCACCCCCTTGCTCACCCCGGGATTGTAGTGCAAAAAGGTGTGACTTGCACCCCCTTGCTCACCCCGGGATTGTAGTGCAAAAAGGTGTTTTGTTTGTTTGTTTGTTTGAAGTTTTATTTTACATCGCAAACCAAACGGGCATTGATGCCCAATATTATGATGGCGATAGAATAAAAAGTGTAGCTCGATAAAGCTTCACTTGCGAAAATGAGAATGAGAAAACAGTCAAAAGGAAGTATTTGTACCGGTAATTACAAGTCAAGTTCGAACGAAGTAACAATCAGGGAGAAATAGGAAGATGAGGACCTATGCCAGAGGGAGGTGCTATTCGGCCATATTAACCGTAGAAAAACACTTTCAGCAATCTTTTAAACGGGGTTGGACGACGAGCGGACGTGAGTTCCTGTGGCAGGGTGTTCCAAAGCTTCACGGCGGAAACCAATGGTCGGCTGTCGCCAGATGTTCGCCGAGTTAGCGGAACAACGTATTTGCAATTGTCATTGCCACGGGTGTTACTGGGAGGTTGGAGGGCTACTCTATCTTTCAGAAGAGTGCTGATGCTGCTGGTGTGGACACGGTGCATAAGGAAACGGAGTTTGCATTTGGCACGTTCAATTACAGGGGTCAGGGAAAGGCGAGTGTATATAGGAGTGGTATGGGACGGGAAGGGCAGATTGGCTACGCAGCGAACACATCGCTTGTCGAGGACAGTGAGCTGGTGCCGCTGCTGAGCCGTGAGGGCAGAGAAGAACGCATTTGATCCATAAAGCATGTCAGGAAGTATAAGGGCAGAATAGAAGAGGAGCGACTGGCGTTCAGATAGCGACGGGCGGATGGTTCTCAGGGTGGTTAGCTTCTGGGAAGTTTTACGTACTATGCTGGAGACCTGCGCGTCCCACCGAAGACAGGAATCAATCTGTAGGCCCAGAAAGCGAGCAGTGGTGGTCTGGGTGAGAGGCGTCCCGTTGCAGTTAACGTTGAGTTCCAGGGTACTACGGCGTGATGCCTCAATGGCTAAGACCTGCGTCTTGTCAGGGTTTAAAACCAGGCCTTTCCCGTGTAGGTAGTCAGCCAAGTTTGACACAGCAACTGATAAGATTTGATTTAGGGTTGCTATGGATCTGCTTGCGGTGTCGAGAAGGATGTCATCCGCAAACAGCTGGGAGTGTGCTGGGCTGGTGACGCTATGGACGTCCATGGTATATAGTGAAAACAGCAAAGGACCCAGTACACTACCCTGAGGGACTCCACACTCGCATGCAGTTAGGCCCGAGCACTGCCCACTCGCCAGAACTACTCTCTGTCGACGGTCCGTGAAGTAGCTCGCAAACCAACCCAAAACAGTCGAAGATACACCCAAAGCAAACCAATCTTGGATCATGAGCTGGTGCCGTACTTTATCGAATGCCTTGCTCATGTCCACTAGTACTGCGCCAGTATGTAGCTGGTGGTCTGCTGACGACAGATAGCGGTCCATGGCCAAGGTCAAGGCATCTTCCGTGGAGTGTTGTGGCCGGGACGCAAACTGATTGGCGGGCAAAAGTGAATGGGTTTGTAAGAAGTCACACAGGCGTTTGTGGACTATCTTCCCCAAGATCTTCGATGCTATTGGCAGCAAAGATATGGGACGGTAATTGCGAGATGCGTTCTTGTCACCAGACTTAAATAGGGGTCGAACATTTGCAATCTTCAGGGAGACGGGCACAATGCCAGACAAAAGGGATGCATTAATTAATATGGATAGCGACGGGGCGAGGGCTGCTGCACAATGCTTCAGGATGAATGCCAGAATACTGTCGCTGCCCTCAGCTTTACGAGCATCGAGTCTCACGAGAAAGGTGAATACCTCCTCAACACTAGTGGCCTGGAATTCCCGCAAAGGTTCCCGTGGTGACGGACCACAAGGTAAGGATAGCTGCACAGGTCTACTTGGATCGGAGACTACTCCACTGAATTGCTCGCTGAGTGCTGCTATACTGACAGAGGGTGGAGTGGGAGTTTTGGTCTGGCCGCTGAGCTCGTTTATTGTCTTCCAAGTGAGGCGCGCATTTGCGTGACTCCGTGTGAGAAGATTCTTGTAATACTGGGCCCTGAGGCATCGGGACATTTGCTTAGCCTCGGCTCGTGCTGATGTGAATACAGTTCGTAGATCCATGTCAGTCGGCGAGGCTCGCCAGCGACGATGTGCTGCGTTGCGAAGTAGAATAGCGTCGTGGAGGGCAGGTAATTTCCAAGGACAGGGCGTGCGGGAGGAAGATTTAGGCCGATACGTTTGGACAGGAGCGTGCTCGTCCAAAACGGAAACAATCTTGTCAGTCCAAGAATACCACATGGCATCCACAGTCTGAGCGGTTGAAAAATTCTCCAGGTCACAATGATGCAAGTCATGAGCGAATCGGTTCATATCGATCCTTGCTAGGTTACGACCGCACTTGACAGCAGGAGGTTCCACAGTGCACTTGAAAGGTAGGTCAATTACGACCGCAAAGTGGTCGCTGATGGTACAAGGGAGAACCGTGCAGGAGGTTATCGCTCCATCCACAGCTAGGGCGAGATCCAGTGTTGTTCTGCTGCCGTGGGGGGCAATGCGGGTAGTGTCCTGCACCTTGTTGCTGATATTGAACTGGTCGCAGAAGCGATGTAAATTGTCGAGCTGAGGGGCTTGGCGCCGGCTTACGTCGACATTGAAGTCGCCCGTTAAAATCAGCGGGGACGATGGCATTGACGCCGCTGCTGTGTCAACTGCGTTGGACAAGTCCTGCCAAAATTGTACTGGCGTGCCTGGAGGTCGATACACTCCTCCTAGGAGAATCCGGTTTCGATGACTTCTGATCTCCAGTAGCAAAAGTTCTATGTTGGTGTGGTCTCCCACCACTTGTGCTTGAAAGCGATTGTGGACATAGGCTGCTAGGCCACCTCCATGACCGGGACGATCCCTCCGGAAAAGTGCATGGTTAGGTATGCTGAGCAAGCTGTCTGCGGTAGAGCTAGATAGAAAGGTTTCCGCCAGTATCATGATGTCAATGTTTTGAGATCGTATGAAATCCTCAACTTCATGCTTTTTATTAAGAAGGTGGCACACATTGAGGAACACTACTCTAAGATTAAGACTAAGGCCGTTGTTGCTGTTTGATAAAGGGGCTAAATTAGGGGTGTGTGGTCTAGGATGGAATGGGATTGCATTAGGGTTTAGTGGGGTGTCGGCATTCATGATGCGGCTGAAGCTGAAGCTATCTTGTCCAAGGCGAATCTCCACTCTCGTGCACGCACCTCCGCTGGCCAGAAGTCTTCCTGCAGGGCTTTGTCGATTTGATCTGCTGGGAGTGACTTGCACCCCCTCACCCCGGGATTGTAGTGCAAAAAGGTGTGACTTGCACCCCCTTGCTCACCCCGGGATTGTAGTGCAAAAAGGTGTGACTTGCACCCCCTTGCTCACCCCGGGATTGTAGTGCAAAAAGGTGTGACTTGCACCCCCTTGCTCACCCCGGGATTGTAGTGCAAAAAGGTGTGACTTGCACCCCCTTGCTCACCCCGGGATTGTAGTGCAAAAAGGTGTGACTTGCACCCCCTTGCTCACCCTGGGATTGTAGTGCAAAAAGCTTGACCATGCAGAACAACTTTTCAAGGCAAACACTCTGATAAGGCGACCACCTGTCCCCAAAGACAACTACAACCAGGACCAAGGGGTGTTAATTTCAGTCAAATGCCCCTGGATAAGGAGACCACCTGTACACATGGGACCACATTTTTGTAGGTCCCTTGAGCGGTTGGCTTGGACAGGTTTTCACTGTACTTTGAAAATGCTGTTGTGATGAATGAGTAGCAAGTGGCAAGTGCAAGTGTATTCTAGTCGGAACCAATTTCAACTGAACTGAGCTCAATCTATTCTAGCTGTTGCACTTGAATAAATCCCTAACCCCAGCATTTCCACTTAGGACAACAAGGTGGGTCGGTTAAGCCGTTGGAATTATACTGTCAACCAACGCATAACTGTGTGACTGCATGCACTATCATGCAGCCATGGAGAAGTGGAGAAGCCTAATGGCAGCGGAATGCTTCTAGGAACGCTGCCACAGACCTCCTCAAATTCAAAGACATGGCCCAGAACTGCTCTTTAACGATCGTTGATGCATTTGTCGTGTATCCACTTCTGATGGTGTAGGCACGGGAAATTTCAAGGACTATCGACTGATGTTTGCCAGTGAAGACGTCGGCTTGCTGTCCGGTATTCTCGATAAACTCCATCAGCCGAACAACAAATCCATTGAACATGTGCTGCATGTCATTGCAGAGCTCAGCTATAAGTGTAAGTGACAATGTGCGTGCACACAGTATGTGTGTGTGTGTGTGTGTGTGCGCGCGCGCGCACGCGTGTGTGTATGTGTGTGCATGTTTGTGTGTGTGTGTGTGTGTGTGTGTGTGTGTGTGTGTGTGTGTGCGTGTGCGTGTGTGTGCGTGTGCGCGTGTGTGTGTGTGCGTGTGTGTGCGCGTGCGCGCGCGTGTGTGTGTGTGTATGTGTCGGGGGTGGATCCAGAGATCTCTGTGTAACATTAAGGGGATTCCGCAGAACCCCAGAACCCCCCCCCCCCCCCCCCCCAAGATCCGCCCCTGTGTGTGTGTATATTGGTGCATGTGTGCACCCACCCACACATGTGATGACCTGCCGCAAGGCTTCACAGAGTTCGTGGAGGCTGGGTCCATGTCCGAAGTATATTAAGCTACTACCTCGGGCCAAATGGACTGTGTGTCCATATTCAGTCGTCCCTCTTTAATCCATCACTTTATAAATCAGCACCCTCAATAAACCAGCATATTGTTCAGGTACCAAAATATCCTTTTCATTCGCATTGCAGGAGTAAATCAGATTCTCTAATCTAGTGCCCTCCCTAATCCAGCGGAATTTCCGTACCACAAATAGTGCCGGATTATAGAGGGACGGACCACTGTAGCTTCATCCATACATACACTTGAGAGAGCAAATGCCTGGCTTCTGGAGATCAACGACAAACGAAATGTGACGATCGGTTTCTGTGCTTACTTACATGCGTATATTGTTCCCGTTTGGTGCAGCATGGTATAGCGAGGTGTGATACCTCCCTGCATAACTTCAACCTAGTCAACAGGGACTGCTGTAAACTACAGTTGCGCTCACTGAAATCCGACCCAAAGTGCAAAGCTGACGCCCTGGACCAGTTCCGATTACATCATTGTACGTGTACATGTGTACGCCCAGCCGCATTCGTTCCACTTCCAGGGCGTCAAGGGCCGTGCAAGTTGAGGGCGCTGGCTTTGCACTTTGGGCCGGATTTCAGTGAGCGCAAATGTACTTCCTAGATTTTATGGAGTGGTGTTCACATCCTGGTCATGTGACTGTATACTGGTCATGTGACTGTATACTGGTCATGTGACTGTATACTGGTCATGTGACTGTATACTGGTCATGTGACTGTATACTGGTCATGTGACTGTATACTGGTCATGTGACTGTATCCTGGTCATGTGACTGGATTTGTGTAGAAAGTGATTGTGTCATGTGGACAGTGGAGCCAACATGGCCGCCATCACCTGGCCCATAGATGCAAGGGTTGAGTGCCAATGAGTGGAGTTGGAATCAACTTGGCCGACATCATGTGGCCAACGTGACGCCGGGTTTGAGTGGAGTTTGAACCAACATGACTGTCCTGTGTGGTCATGTGATAGATGTCAGGGGCGTCGGACACGGTGCGGTCACTACGGTATTGACCGTACAATTTTGTGCCCCAGGTACCCTGTAAAAATCAATAAAATACACTGACCTGGGCTCTACATTTCCCGAAATGTCGGCTCAGCAACCCCTCCCCCACGAGTAAATTTTACTTCCAATGGCTGGCCGTACCACACTAAAGTGCCTTCCAATGCCCCTGGATGTGTAGCTACTCTATTGTATTACTCCTCTTGGCTTGTATTGCCAGTCTTCTTTACCTCTATATCCGCTCTCTCTATCGTCTTTTTGTCTTTTCCGCTGCAACTTGTAGGTCCGTCGTTTTCCAAGCAATGTCAGCCATTGCTCCCGTTGATTCTGGAACTATTCGACGCGTGTCGCAATCAGGTTCAAATAATTTCCCGAGCCTGCATAGCGCTCTGCAACCTGTGCTTTGACCCAGGTATGTGCCAAGTGCGTCGTAGAACCGTGGTCACAGTTGGCCGTAGTCTGAATGGCCTATAAGCGAAGGTCCCCGGTTCAAGTCCTAGTTGTCACAGTCCATATTTTCCTTCAGACTTTTCACGTTTGCAACTTTCCATCTCAAACTAATGAATATAGTGCAAGATCGGGGAAACAATTTTATTTGCAATCTAAAAGAAGTTGGTTTTGCGCTGGCTACAACTCTCTTTGATGCAATCTTGCAATTTGAATATTGGGTCTGCTTGTTTGTGTTACTTGTTGCGGTGGTGCAGCGACCAATAATCGTCCTCTTGTGCTGGCGTCGCCAGTGTTTGCTGAGCGGAAATACCTGGACTTGCTGCGTCAGCATGCTCACGCACAGAAAGGCACCTTTTGCGAGCGTCTCTTCAAGCTGCTGGCAACCCTGGTCAAGGATGGTGAGTTTTTTTGAAGGAAGCACTGAATCTGGCTTAGGTCTCTCTACTTACCGGCGAACCAACTTGTAGCATGTACATACTAATCCGTTAAATTTGATAATGATATTATGGATCTGCGTAAAGAGCCTGTCCAAAGCCACCTTTCTGCTTCCGTGGGACGCCGCCACCCCATGATCAGGGGTCAGATGCAGCTCCTTTTAAACTGTGGGGGAGGGTAGATCGGATACACCAGTCGTGTGTGCCCCTGCAGGTGCGTGCTTGCCTGCCAGCATGCGTGTGTGTGCGCGAGTGAGGTTCATTTGGAGCACACGTGGATGTGCTGGTGTATACAAGGCAGAACAACAGAGACCAAAAATCTTTCTCGTAACTCCGAGTTTCGTGTTTCAAAAAACACGAAACTCGGAGTTACGAGAAAGATTTTTGGTCTCTGTTGTTCTGTCTTGTGTAGTATGCTCTGGCCTTTCTGAGGTATTGAGCACTAGTTGCAGCAAGGACTTCAGACAATTTGTGCTGGTCTATATGTAATAATCTGTGTACGGTGATGGCGTATCACATTCCCTTGCCTCGGCTTGGCTGAACACTCTTTCTGGCTAGTGTTGAAGTTGCCTGTCCTCGTGCAACGCTCACTGTGCTGCTCGCAAGCACAGCACTTGGATTTTGATACTTTCCCGTGATTTAGAAATTGTAGCTCACTTGAGCCTCATTGTAACTGTTTCGGCCGGTGACTCTGAGCTCCGCTGAGGAACCCGCACAAGGTCCAACCAGCTAGCTGTCCGGAGATTGAGTATGAATCTGTTTAAACGCAAGAAAGAGAGAGAGAGAGAGAGAGAGAGAGAGAGAGAGAGAGAGAGAGAGAGAGAGAGAGAGAGAGAGAGAGACAGAGAGAGAGAGAGAGAGAGAGAGAGAGAGAGAGAGAGAGAGAGAGAGAGAGAGAGAGAGAGAGAGAGAGAGAGAGAGAGAGAGAGAGAGGGCCAATTTGGAATCGTCGTAACTCAAAGTTTCATGCAATCATCAGACTGAATATGTTTGTATGTATTTTGTGTCGTGTGTGCCTTGTTAATATGTGGATACAAGAATCAGCTACGCTTCGATCTCGCCTGACGCAAGAAGAGATCTCCGAAGCTGTGAAGGTGCTCACGATGTACAAAACGGACCCGTCGGTGGTGGATTCCGTTTGTAACTTCTTGGACATCGCATTGAACCGCCCATCACCCATGGATGATGGCGAGCAGGGTATGTGTGCGTGTGTGTGTGTGCGTGTGTGCGTGTGTGTGTCTGCGTGTACGTCTGTGTTTGTGCATGCATGTGTAAGATTATAAGCTCCCTATACTTAGTAGGACTTAATCAAACCTCTAGTGCAAGAAAGTGTTTATGGATTCGCTTGGTTCCTCTGACTGTTATTATAATTATGGAAGCTGGAGGGCCTATCTATTACAAGGGCATTTAGGTATAATTTCGTCGTATGAGGAGCATATTCCTAGCATAGTTGAATTCATCATCCGAGAACTTGTTTAGTGTCATCTGCTGGCTCTAGGCTACACTCCCACTCCGCACAGTCTTTGCTGGGTGCCACATACAGTGAAACCTGTAACTAAAGACCACCGTGACTAGCGACCAGCCTGCTACTACAGACCACCGTGACTAGCGACCAGCCTGCTACTACAGACCACCGTGACTAGCGACCAGCCTGCTACTACAGACCACCGTGACTAGCGACCAGCCTGGTACTACAGACCACCGTGACTAGCGACCAGCCTGCTACTACAGACCACCGTGACTAGCGACCAGCCTGCTACTACAGACCACCGTGACTAGCGACCAGCCTGCTACTACAGACCACCGTGACTAGCGACCAGCCTGCTACTACAGACCACCGTGACTAGCGACCAGCCTGGTACTACAGACCACCGTGACTAGCGACCAGCCTGGTACTACAGACCACCGTGACTAGCGACCAGCCTGCTACTACAGACCACCGTGACTAGCGACCAGCCTGCTACTACAGACCACCGTGACTAGCGACCAGCCTGGTACTACAGACCACCGTGACTAGCGACCAGCCTGCTACTACAGACCACCGTGACTAGCGACCAGCCTGCTACTACAGACCACCGTGACTAGCGACCAGCCTGCTACTACAGACCACCGTGACTAGCGACCAGCCTGGTACTACAGACCACCGTGACTAGCGACCAGCCTGGTACTACAGACCACCGTGACTAGCGACCAGCCTGCTACTACAGACCACCGTGACTAGCGACCAGCCTGCTACTACAGACCACCGTGACTAGCGACCAGCCTGCTACTACAGACCACCGTGACTAGCGACCAGCCTGCTACTACAGACCACCGTGACTAGCGACCAGCCTGCTACTACAGACCACCGTGACTAGCGACCAGCCTGCTACTACAGACCACCGTGACTAGCGACCAGCCTGCTACTACAGACCACCGTGACTAGCGACCAGCCTGGTACTACAGACCACCGTGACTAGCGACCAGCCTGGTACTACAGACCACCGTGACTAGCGACCAGCCTGGTACTACAGACCACCGTGACTAGCGACCAGCCTGGTACTACAGACCACCGTGACTAGCGACCAGCCTGGTACTACAGACCACCGTGACTAGCGACCAGCCTGGTACTACAGACCACCGTGACTAGCGACCAGCCTGGTACTACAGACCACCGTGACTAGCGACCAGCCTGGTACTACAGACCACCGTGACTAGCGACCAGCCTGGTACTACAGACCACCGTGACTAGCGACCAGCCTGCTACTACAGACCACCGTGACTAGCGACCAGCCTGGTACTACAGACCACCGTGACTAGCGACCAGCCTGCTACTACAGACCACCGTGACTAGCGACCAGCCTGGTACAACAGACCACCGTGACTAGCGACCAGCCTGGTACTACAGACCACTGCGCCAGGCACGGACGGTCTCACATTCATTATGGTTGTGCGGTGCAATCCTCTAACTAAGGACCCCCTTCCACTAGAGGCCGCTTTCTCTGGCCCCAGGGGGTGGTCGTTAATCACAGGTTTTACTGTAGCTGGCCTGTGTCTTCTGGGTGCTGTACCGTGACCCAGTGCAAAGTATTAGAACACTTTCCATTCCCTGAACAGGTTTGCCAACAGTACCCATTCTTTAAGGGTGTGCAAGCTCCACTGCAGTCACATCATCACATGAATAACCCCTACACACACCATCCTCAAAGTACCCATTCGTTTAAAAATGTATGGCAAAAGGGCGGAACTACAAGAAAACCCTGTGACTAACGACCACCCCTTGGGGCTAGAGAAAGCGGTCTTTAGTGGCAGGTGCTCCTTAGTTACCTGTTTGCACTGCACAACCATAGTATATGAATGTGAGACCGTCCGTGCCTGGCGAAGTGGTCTGTAGTACCAGGCTGTTCGCCAGTCACGATGGCCTTTAGTACGAATTGTGTGAGTGGTGTAGAAAAGAAATCTTGTTTAGTAAATTCTTGCATCGTTGATAATTTGTCCTCTCAAAATAATAACACTGCGTGTTGGACGTTTTGTATCTTGTCTGCCATTGTTTCTACCCAGTTCCCATCATGGAGCTATGTCCGGGAAGGGAGTGTATCGAGATATGCAGGAGCTTTGTAAACATGATGGAGCACGTCGACAGGACCAAGCTGAAGAACAACGCCATCAAACGTTTCACAACGCTCATCCTGCACATGTGTGGCATCATCCAAGGTAGGATCCCGAATGGCTTTGTGCCGTTACGGAGGATGCTCTTGTTTGCATTTTGCCAGGGTGCCGATTGTTGAAACTCTTCTTGACCATAGTGTGCTCATGTTTGCAAACTTATCCTCGCAGTGATGTCAAGTTTGTCCTCACACTTTTGGCCCGATATTATGTCTGTTGCAACTATTCCTGCGGAAATAAGAATGCCCCCTCCCCCCCCCCCCCCCCTCCACCGCATGTTTCCTTTCAAGGCTTTTATGAAAGTACAATGTCATGTATATGTGCGGCGCCATGTGGGCATGGTTGCATTCCTACGGATGCGGAAACACAGTCCGATTGAGTCCCAGGTGAACCATCCCATGTATTTGTACGCAATAGAGAAGTGGTCATGTCCACCACAAGGAGTGCTCAACAGTGCAGGAGTGCACTGGAGCTAGTACGCACACAATGGAAGCGGTTGGTCAGTTTGTTGTGTTGCCTGACGATTGATTGATTCAAGAAACTCACAGTAGCAGCGGATATGTCACCTTGGTGAGCACCCAACCGATTCCATTGTGCATTTTCATTTTTATGTATGCTGGCCATAGTGCCGACATTCATTTGTAGAGCAGTTGGATACTTTTCAAAAGTGTCGGTGTTCTGTTGTCTTCTTGCCTTCTGCATAGAAACCGGAGCAATGCAAGCAATCGCCGAGTTGAACATTGACGTGTCGCTCTCCAAAGTTCTGTCCTACTTTGAGTTCTCCCAGAATCTTGTCGAAGTCTGTGCCAAGCTGCTCAAGTTCTTCGTCACGGACGGTAAGGCCTGATCGGTGAACTGTGCTAGCAATTGACAATATATTGGCCATATCTGCATGCACCTAGCACTAAAATTGAGAAGAAAGGACCAAAGGTTTACAAGTTACCCTTAGTTATCCAACACTGACGATTATAAGCTTGATATTGATGAGTCACACACGAGAGATTGGAAGCTGTGTTGCAACTCTGAGTCTCACGTATTACTACGATCATCAGGCAATTAATGAGTCATAACGTGCAACAGGTAGCTCAACAATAACTGCTTTGGTTCTTTTCTTATTGCGTGATTTTAGTCCTTGACTTTCCTTGGCTCTCCATCCGAGTTGAAACCTGACGCTAAATTTGTTTATACCTGTTGTCCTATGTGTGTATACGCGTACTGCTGGGTAGAACCTCAGTATCAGTTTTCTTATGATTTCTTTTCCGTTGTGTTGCAGATACCTTGAGGCACGCGCGTCGCCAGGGAGTGTCCGCCGCAACCGTGCACGAACGAGCAGACGCTGCCCTTGCCACCTGTGTTCAGGGTGAGGACGGACAGTGGGCGGACAATCCTCAAATGAGAACAGCAGTGCGAGAGCTGCTATCTGCACTTGGTACGTAGAGCATGCTTTAGCTGTCTGTTTGTTTAGCTGTACTCTATTTCACCATATGCAAAGGCAATAACTGCCTTCTTACTGGACGTATTGCCACAGTGCTCGCCAAATGGTGGTCAGTGATCTCTGCAGTTTGCTGCCAGCCGCCAATTCTGACGAGAACAAATATGGTGTGTAGCCTGTGATGACGGTGCGAGTATGTACTCCTCTTGAAGTAGAATACTCAACAAATACGGGTGCGGCGACGGGACAGAAACTTCAACAAGGATAAGAAAACTGTGAACGCAGTCGTTGGCGGACACAGAGCATCACGTACAGTCCCTGTCACTCAAGTTTGCGCCTTGCACCATTTTGCAGCCTAGTGTTCGCAGATCCAGGACTGTGCAACACCCGGTGGGTACTTGAGTGACGCGACTGGATTTCATTGAGCAGGACCGTCCTTGCACTCTACAGAGTTCTGGTGTTGTTATGTTCTCCTCTGCTGATGACGGTCAAATGGAGACTCAGCAGTGTGGAATTGCATGCTAGTACTGTATGAAAATGTTGAACAGTCTCTGCTTGGTTGACGACTACACCATAGCTCAGTGCTTAGAGCATCGCTGGCCTCAAGCAAAGGTCCCCGGTTCGAGTCCTGGTGGTGACAGTCAATTTGTTCTTCAGACATTTCCCTTTTGCAACCGTCCCTCAAACCTGTGAATATAGCCAGGCTGGTGATGTTAATGCTCTGCTATTCTTCACTCTTGTTCTGCTATACAGGTTACATCCCTGCCTCCTCTCTAGTTACTCCTGCCGCGGCAGCTGATTCCGCCGACATGCCTCTCACAGCTCCCTCTGCTGCTGCCACCTCGACTTCCGCTACTGCTGCCCCTCCTGCGGCAGCGTCTCCCGCAGCTGTACCTGCTGTCCTAGCAACGTCCTCGCCTAGCAAGCCCATTGAGGGTTCTGCCACTCCGTCTGGAAAGGGTCACACGGCTTCGGACTCGTCGGCTGGCACACGATCTACATCTTCTGGAGGTGAGTGACTGTTGTTGTCGTGCAACGGTGTTCTACACATATTGTAGATGTAATCTGCGTGTGTGCGTGTGTGTGTGTGTGTGTGTGTGTGTGTGTGTGTGTGTGTGTGTGTGTGTGTGTGTGTGTGTGTGTGTTTGGCTTAATGCATTGCCATCCATTGGCTATTCAGGTATAACATGGCTATTGGGTGTCAATTTTGTGCTGGATTGTGCATGTGTGACTGTTCAAAAACTGGTTTAGTTGGTGGACTCGACCACATAACGTGTTCCCACATTTTTTTCCAAAAACAAACAAATCCAACAACAATTAATTGTTTTGTTTTTCCAGAGCTGTTGAGGGTATATCCCACACATTAATTATCGGATGGTGTTGATGATAATTATGCTTTGCCCGATTTTTCAACCTTCTCATCTATCTGAAGCACTTGAAACCGATTTTGACAACTCACTTTGCCTGTGTGCTTTCTGTATGTTTGTGTTCGTTGTGTGTGTGTGTGCGTGTGTGTGCGTGTGTGCGTATGTATGCTTGTTGTTGTTGTTGATCACTTGCAGCTAAACGAGGTGCGGGTCCGTCCAACAAGGCCATGCATGAAGCTACGAATAGGACGTTCAGCAGCGGTTTGACCAGAGTACGCCGTATCCGCATCAGCCTCTGCGGTCAGTTTGGAACCGGCAAGACGAGCCTGGCGGATTCCCTTAAGAACAAGGCGTTCGTAGACAATAAGCCGAGTACACCGGTGCTCGATGTTGATCACAGCAATGTGCTCCACGGTGCAGGAAACCTTAAGGATTGGGATTACGGCGCTGCCCTCCTCTGTGGTCCTGACATTCTTGTCCATGCTGAGAAACGCCAGCAAGAGCACGAGCAGCAGCAACGAGAACAAGAAGCAGCAAGACTGGCCGAGCAGCTCAGGAGATCAGAGGAGTTGGCCCAGCGGCAGCAAGACGCCGAGAGACAACAGTTGGCCCGAGTTTCAGCCGTGCCGTCCAAGACTACGGGCCCTCTCCGCGCAGCCGCTCAGCCCACCCCAGACAAGCGAGTCGACGGAGAGCCAGCGGCGAAAGTCCCGAAGCGAGCTGGGTCCACAGGACTCCAGCGTGCAGGAACAGCGACGCAAGAGGCAGCAGTAGAACATACACAGCCGCCAAAAGCAGCAATACCCCATCGCAGTGCCCGGACACCGACAAACGCAGAGGGGAGCTCTGCACCAAGACACAAGCAGGCATCGAAGCAAACGTCAAAACTCACCGATGATCGTGGAGCAGCACCCAGCTCTGCTGAATTGACCCAGAGCCTGGTCGATGTCATCTTGGCAAACCAAGAGCTGATGCGAGACATTGGTGAAGAAGAAGTGGTGGTGTCCATTTGGGATTGCGGCGGCCAATCAATCTTCTCAAGCCTGCAGCATTTCCTAATGGGTGAAGATTACGTCATCTATATTCTCTGTTTCAACGCCTCGGAAAAGTTCGATAAGATCAAGCCCCAGAACTACTGGAAGTTGTCAGGGAGTACGGTGTCCGAAATGACTCTTGACGTACCAGAAGACCTCAAGAACATTGACCACCTTCGACACTGGCTAACAGCTATCCACTTTGCCAGCAACCCAGGCAAGGCTGTGGGAAGCAAGGCGTTCGACTACCCGCCTGTGATATTGGTGGGGAACTTTGCCGACAAGCTGTCGACGGATGTGGAACTTTCACAGCACAAGGTCAATATCCTCGAGGAGCTGCGAAAGCTCTGCAGCCGGTCGCCAACTTTCCGGGGTATGCTTGAGAGCGATGAAATTGATCCCGCAGAGTTGTTCCTTGTGGACAACCACGAATCCGGAGCTTCTCCAGAAGTTCGAGGAATCCGAAAGAAGCTGCAGGATGCTGTTTCATCGGTGCTGGCAGACAAGGAGATTCCGACGGAATGGGTTCGCTTTGAGATGATAATGGAGTATCTGAAGAAACAACCCACCCACACTGGCTACACAACACGAGACTCGATGAAGACACTGGTGGAGAAGGCCTGCAAGATCCAGGATGACTCCGGCATGGACGGTGCTCTATCCGAGTTCGAGCGTCTTCTTCGGTTCTACAACGACCTACGTGTCATCATCTATCGGCCGGCAAACAAGAACTCGCCGCAGCCTGATGACATCATCTTCCACAACACACAGTGGCTCATCAGGCAGATCAACATCCTCGTCTTTGGCCACAAATACCTGGTCGAACCTGGCGGAGGTGGTGGCAGGACGGCGAAGGAAGCCGAGTTTCGCAACGTTCTGTGGACAAAGGGAATAGCAAATCGGCAATTGATGGACTATGCCTGGAAGGAGGTGGAACGAGATGTCCGTGAAAAGATGCTGGACGTGATGGTCGACTGGGATTTGCTGTACAAATTCGGAGACGCCCAGCAAGCAAAATACTTCATCCCGTCTGCTCTTCAACGTCGACCGCCGGAGAAAATCGAGGAGGCCCTGCGCAGCTTCCAGCAGGACAATGAGCCAAACGACGTCTGCTTCTCCACAGCTGACACACCGTTACTGATCATGGTTCAGCCACCAGGCAAGCCTGATGAAGAAGCCGTGAACTACAAGTATCCCGATGCGGACACACCGATGCCACACAGCTCGTACTTCAAGCTACTCGTACGGCTCATGAGAAAGTGGAACATCACAAACACTGACCGGAGTCGCTGTGAGTTCACCTACAACACAGCCAGGTTTCGGCTGTGGCTGCCGGAGCAGCTCCGTGACCAGTTTCCAGGCAAGGTGGATATCTTCTTGGCTCACTACGACTCGTCAGGTGCCCTGCTGGTCAGCATCAACTTCCGGTACTCACCTGGCTGTGCCTCTAGCGCCTCTGATTGTCTGCAGCCGATCTCATCTATATGCCAGCACGTCCGCAAGGAAATCATGGAGGAGTTGGGTAAGTTGGAGAACCCGAAACTGGACGAACCGATCATGTTCAGTTTACCACTACCGCCAGTATGCGCATGCAGAGCACCGGAGTGGAAGGACTACACCAGCGAAAGCCGGGACCTCGGATATGCACCGTGGCGTGTAATCTACAGCGAATCCGGTGCTCAGCACGATCCGTACTGTGTCGGGTGCGATTCGGAGTACAGCATACCCAGCAACTCAAACTGCTGGTTCAAAGCCAGTACCTTCCAGGTAAGAGATGAGACCAAAGTCTAAACATTCTAGTGACCATGGAGTTAATTCACTCACTGGCATTGCCCTGATAAAAACCGAAACAGAAATCGGCTTGACGTGTCTTAACCCTTTGTGGGTCTTACTCAATGTATGTGAGGGGTGGTCACGCAAACACGCGTACAAACAACCAGCCATAACTCAAGTTCTGTAAGTTGTAAGTATGGGTAAACTATATATTTTCAAAATCTGTATGCCTGGACGAGTCCAGAAAACACAAATATGACTATGTCCAGGTAAGGGTATGACCCGTGGTAGCCCTTCAAGTTGAGAGAAAATACAATTGCGAACAAAAAACACAAAAATCACAGCACAAAGTGCATACCAAGTTCGTGATGAAGCTGAAGTCCTATGATAAACAATCAGGTAAGCGCTACATCTTGGTGAAGAATATATGCTCCTAATTCCGTCCTTGAACTCCAATACCTCGCCATCGGCGATGCACCAGCAGCAACAGTTCCACAAATATCACAATTTTGGTTCGTTCACATCAGCGCCGCTCGCGTCAGATTCACTCTCGATCAGCTGAGTACTCAGGCGTGATGTCACGCATGCCGTGATTCTCACGGCCAGGCGAATCAGCTGATCGCACCTGACAAGTCCTTGTAAGAGTTGCTGTTGCTGTGCTTCCTCGCTGGTTGGTAAATTTGATTTCTTCATTCGGGGACGATTTATTTGAGCTAGGAGCCCTCAACGCAGCTCTCTTTCTCATCACATTACACTGGAAATCCACCAGGGACATCCAGCCTAGACTGGTTCCGTCAGTGTCCTCAGAAAGCTTTTCTGACACGGCCTTACGAGACGCACTCCCATTCTCAAAATGCGCGCATGGCGGATGGTCGTCTTTTCCAATTTCACCAGACTTCGGTCGATCGATATTGCAAAAATTTGTATGGTAAGTATGGTTGTTTTTTACACCGTTGGAAAGCCTTGAACCTCAGCTACGCGTGGAGCACCATTTTAGTTGTCTCCTAGCAACAAAACTCACAGAAAATGCGATTTTACTGTAAGGGTCACATACGACCCTTACGATTATGTGAGACCCATAAAGGGTTTAACCCTTTCAGTGCCCAAGGGGTCAGAAAAATTCAAATTTTTCGGAGTTGAGCTGAACTCAAATTTTTCATAGCTCAGCTGTATATCCACGGATATTTACAAACGATGGCTCTCTGGAAAGATATCATGGCCAGGCAGACAGCTGTGAAGAGAATATGCAGCGAAAATAGTCTTCCTCGCGAGGGCGCCTGAGCGAAGTCCGTTTTCTGCATTTTCGTAGCATCTGCACTTTCTCACGCGCGCGATCGATCGCAGTGCAGTCAAATTTCAACGCACGAAATTCGGACAAAGTTGGCCTGAAAGCCACTGAAAATCTCTATGTTTTGATACCCAATACGCATGGGTTGCCGCGAAAGAAATAGAGAAACCCGCGATGCGCATACGTCATGTTTTCTACACGCGACAATTGTTTGTCCGAGCGCGCGCGCTTCAGGCTTCGCCCTGGCGATATCTATCCTCACAGACACAAAACGTTGTGATGAGTCGATAGCCAAGGTCTTCCTGAAGACGTAGAGTGGTCGTTTGTAACTCTCCTGTGTGTAGAAGTGGAGATACGAATTTATTTGTACTCACATACTCAGTCTGGGCGACTAAAGTCGCCCGTGGCACTGAGAGGGTTAAGGTGTGCAAGCTCCACAGTGGTGCAGCCGCTTCAGAAAACATTGCTTGAGATTTGTCAGTTTTCACCTATATTACTTGTACGTTACCAATTTGGATTGTTATCTTGGGCAAACGGAAAACGGGTGGGAGATGCAACGCGCCCAGTTTCGTCACTTCCATCGTTGTCTGCCACGTAACCATGGTAACTGCAAGGACATTGCTACAGGCCAACTTAGATTATTACACCACTCGCCTCCGATTTCACTTTCTTCAACTTTGAATGAAATTAGAAAGTCCGACTTTGTCGTTATCAGTGGATGAAGTTGCTTGTTCCGTTGGAACGCTCGTTTGCTGCCGAACAGGACACTCGACGGACTCACGACTCCAGTCCGGAGCACAGGAGGAGCACACCAGGGAAAGTGTAACGTGCTCCTCGTGTGCTCTGGATTTGGCAGTCGTGAGTCAGTCAAGTGCCAAGCGCGGCAGGAAGCGTGTGTTCCACGCACGAACAAACAACTTCATCAAGTTAAAACTCTCTAGTGATTTCTTGCACACAGCTTTTGCTGAGATAGGAAATCCAACTTATTTTCTGTGCGTACGTGCGTGCGTGCGTCCATGTACTGTCGTGGGCATGGAAATCTGGTCGCACGTCTAGCGGCCCCAGGGCGCTGGCCATGCAGCCGTCGATAAGCGGAACATGCATTATGCGCTGCAGCGCGCTGGTCGCATCGGATTAACATGACTCTGTGCACTGCACACGGCGTTCTGTAGATCTACGCGCTGAGGGCGCCGGCCCCGGTCAATCGGCTGGATTTCCATGTCCGCTACAGTAGATGGGTGCGTGTTTCTATGCACCAGCTGAAGAAAAATAGTACGAAGTATGCTTACAGTCCATTTCAAAAAGATTAGCAATCCTGGCGATCGCCCGGGGAGTTTGCCGTCTTACCGTATGCGCGCTCGAAAGCTGGCTGGAAAAACTCACTGTGAACTCGAAGAAATAGTACGCGCAAAAGCATGAAAAATGACAACTCACTCACGTCGGTACATGTACGTCTGGTTTACGACAAACGAGTTCTTCCTCGTATGGATATGGAGTCAGAGAGGACATGTCGAAAGTGTGGTAAATGTTGACGAGCGGGATGGGTCCCAATTCGTTTCGTGCCCAATTTCTTTGAGCTGCGATGGAATTATTTACTCTCACTATGTGACGAAAACGACATTGACACAGACTCATTCCCAAGGCCATGACTTGGCAAAGCTATCCGTGTAACTTCGACGACATTTTGAGAAAAGCAGACGCCTGTGAAAGCTGATAGAAGACGGCGATGACTCCTAAATTCAAATAAATTGGGATCTTGAAAAAATGAAGTTGAAGACACCACTGCAGCTGTACTTATGGTTGATAAATATGGTGGTAAAGACACACCTGGCAATATGGCGGTAAACACACGCCTGCCCACACACGCTCTCTAGGCTGCAAAGTTCTGGCACAGAGCTCTCCTTCTCACCACCACCACCATCAGTTCGCGCCTTGCGCCTGGTCGATGTACTTGATGTACCAGCCTGCTTTGCCGGATACCGCCAGCCATGCATCGACCAGGCGCCAGGCGCGAACTGATGGTGGTGGTGGTGAGAAGGAGAGCTCTGTGCCAGAACTTTGCAGCCTAGAGAGCGTGTGTGGGCAGGCGTGTGTTTACCGCCATATTGCCAGGTGTGTCTTTACCACCATATTTATCAACCATAAGTACAGCTGCAGTGGTGTCTTCAACTTCATTCTCCCGAGTCAAGCTCCGTATGAAGACATCCAAGAAGAAGATTGCCTGATGAGTCCAGCGGGGACGAAACGTATGTCGCAATCGATCTATGTCTTTGCTGTGTCATCATCTATGTGCCATGCGCTACTTGATGTACCAGCCTGCTATGCCGGATACCGCCAGCCATGCATCGACCAGGCGCCAGGCGCGAACTGATGGTGGTGGTGGTGAGAAGGAGAGCTCTGTGCCAGAACTTTGCAGCCTAGAGAGCGTGTGTGGGCAGGCGTGTGTTTACTGCCATATTGCCAGGTGTGTCTTTACCACCATATTTATCGATCTTGAAAAACTAAAATAATTCTCAAAAAAGAAAACGATCGATCGATGTACCGGTGTATTCAACAACACGTAGCCACAGCGCAATGACTTCCGTGTTCACTTACACCGTTTCAGTGTTGTGGGTGTGTTCACATGGCGTGAATCAGTCAAGTGTCAGTAAGTTCGGCAGGAAACGCGAGCGCCAACAACAATACAAGTCGCAGCCACCTTCTTTGGCTTGTACTTTTTGTAGATCTACCAGCGTGATCACCAAAACAATGAAAAAAAGTTTGACTTGAAGATAGTTTGGGATTTGTACTCACAACTTCATGGTCAGCAGACAGCATTCATAACCACAAGGCCAAAAAGGAAAGGATAAATCGTGGGGTTTGATAAAAACTCGATACTGGCTTCCAGGGCAAATTGTAAACCATGGGAAAAGGCCTGAAACCTGGCCGAAATTCTAACTCCTTAACGGCTGGTCCAATTGTTCCGAAACCTTCACAGAACAATTTGCCGTGTCCTAACAAGCCATTCTATGTACTTTGTTGTCCAAATTTCCCTTATCTTCATACTTTTTAAGACCAAAACCCATATTGCCGGATGTGTCTTTACCACCATATTTAAAACCTGATTGTAAATGTTTTTGAAATGGACTGTAGTCTCGTTCCATTGCTAACTTGTGCAAGCTCAAGTCCTATTCTCTAAGCTCTCTATTTTCTTTGAAGACAAATCGTATCTTCAAAGTGTTTGTTTCTGTGCCTCGACGGTTTTGCTTGTGTCTGTTTGGATGTGTGCGGTATGCGCGTGCGGCTGGGATTTTACACAGCTCGAAGGACAACAGAATGCTGTAGCGAGGAAGCAAGTTGCGCTCTGGGAGAAGAAAGTGGAGATGGCCAAAGACCAGTCACTTCCTACGGTTAGTCTTCTCATATCGGTAGAAAAGTATTCTCATTTCCGAAGACAAATGAAGCAATCAACAAGCTAGGGACGCACAGGACGTCGGCCTTTGATGGCCCAGACACACAAACGCTCGTATTTTATATGTGCACACTCACCCTGAACCTTGAACCAACATCCACGATCAGGCGGGTAGCGGTGTCAGACGGAGCAGAAGCGGGAATGCCCACGCACGCACACACACACACACACACACACACACACACACACACACGCACAAACACACACACACACACATTTGCACCTGTACTGGCGCTTGCTCACTGCCGGAAACTGCTCACGTGTCTCCCCGTACATTTGAGAGAGATTCTGAAGGGATCCTGGAAAGATGACTCAATTTGCCGTTTGTTTGGGTCCCTTTTGCGTCCCAATTTGCGTTGGTATCTGACAAGTCTTTCAAAGAGGAAGTCTACGGTACTTCAGGGTGAAAATGAAAACTCCAATGGCTGTAGCCTTCTGGATGCTGAGTACAATGATATGAATCCCAGTACTTTGACATTCTCCCTCTTCGACCTATTCGAAGTGATGCAGATTTATTCTTGGACTTTGGGCATGCAAAGGCAAATTTGTAGGATCTCTGCTGGCTAGGTCCTATGGATTCGGTTTGAAGAAGCTGTAATATATTGTTCCCTACTCGGATATAAAGGACTCGGATAGAGAGCCAAGGGTATATTTATGAAAAAGAAAGAAAGGACCAAGGAACTACAAGTTACGCTATATAATGTGCACTAACACCACCAGTTACTAAACAATCAGTTCAGCTCATCAGCTCAATACCGTCTGTCAGTGTCGTCCGATGTTAGCGCATGAGCTGATTGTTTGGAAACTGGTGATGTTAGCGTAACTTGTATTTCTTCACTAGTTTTTCCCTGGTCTTTTTTCTTCTTCTTTTTTTTTTACAATAGGATATACTCGAGTGCGAAAGATGTTGCGACATCAGCGGTGATTAATGAAGAAAGTGTCTACTCCGAATGCTGGAGCTCGCGTTTCCTGCCGACTGACTTGACACTTGCCTGACTCACGACCGCGTGTGGAGCACACGAGAAGCCCGTCGAACATTTCACTCGGCAAACCTGCAAGAAAGCACCACTTTCTGCTCAATACACAGTGTTTCGGGAATTCACCCCTCAAGTCAGTCGGCAGGAAGCGCGAGCTCCTACGTTCGGAGCAGACACTTTCTTCAGGATATACTCCAGTTTTAGGAAATCATTTTTATTTTGAATGACCGCCGTCCATTGGGTGCGTTGCTAGTTGTCACCACAATTTGATCATCTGTAATTCTGTATTTGATTCAGTGCCGGCAAGACTGCAGGTCTGTCGTGTTTATTGCTCCCCATCAACCTGTTTGAATTTGATAGATTGTTCCGATATTAGGTTACTTCACGAAAACCTGCTAAATCGTGTGTTCTGTTCGTTCTGGAACTTGAAAACCTAAATTGTGTGTTCCATTCGCTTTGATAACCAGCTAAATACTGTGTTCCATTCGTTGTGTATATTCCAAATTCTTCTGTTCATCCATTTTCTTGTTCTATTTTTCAGGAGGTGAAGAAGTTTCTTGATGACCGTGCTGACAAGTGTCTGTGTATGGTGGCTAGAAGCAGAGACACACTTGCCGTGGCATCATCGCCGTCCCGCACTATCGAGCTGGCTGTGGGTCTGGACGACTTATGGGGGCTTTGCCGCAATCATGTCCATTCTGGGCGTTTGGATGTGATCCTGCGTGGTGCTCGGCTGTGGTGTGACTCGCTGCAGAGCGAAGATGAGCTTGTTCGTGTTCTAAGTCACTTCTGTCAGGAGAAACAGTGCGGTCCTGATCGGTGAGTAAAATTATGAATAATGCTAGCACACACACACACGCACACGCACACGCACACGCACACACACACACACACACACACACACACACACACACTAGTGGTGAAACGAATATTCGAATATTCGAACATTCGTTCGGTTTGTCACATTCGAATATTCGTTAAGTCACATTCGAGTATTCGTTACGTCACTTCGAATGCAGTGCATGTACATACATGCACGCCGAACACAGTATATATACTATAGTGCATTGCATCCAGCCTGCCTGTGACTTTGTACTGCATGCATGCACATGTACATCCATACTGGACTGCCAATGTTGCACATAACATGTATGAACTTCGAAGTAGCCTTATGTGGCAGCACATTTTACGTGGCACTACCGTTTGTCATACCTAATAATAAAAAAAGGGATTGACAATATCCATCAAATGACTGAGAGGAGGGCATGTGATGTCATCTGTGTTACCAAAAGAATATTCGTTCATTCGTTCGTTAAGCTGAAGAATATTCGACTAGTAGGTTTTGACATTCGTTTCACCACTAATGTCACACACACACACACACACACACACACACACACACACACACACACACACACACACACACACACACACACACACACACACACACAGACACACACCTCAGACCTCAGACCTCAGACATGCCCATCGCGGAAGCGATGATAGCGAACAGCTATGTTAGACATAGCAACTTGTGCTGGGATTACACCATTCAACAGCTTGCAAACACACACACACACACATACACACACACACACATTAACTACAACACACAGCAGCTTGCGGTTAGGAGGGTGCTGGCCAGCGAAGTGAGAGGCTACAGAGAGAGCAGGATCTTGGCGGAGCCAAGAGGATAGTCACGTCCGAGGGACGAAGACCGAGAGCCCTGAGTAGCCGGAAATGAGCATGGCCAACACCCCTTTATTTACTTTATCAAAGTAAATGAGAGATGAGAAATGGGAGGTGGGTGGGTGAAACACAATGATCTGACAAGAGTGATCCACACACAGAACGGATCGAAATATATAACTAAGCAAACTTTAGCATGACACGTTGAGTGCCCACGACGCATGCCGCCTAGGTTGAGCGTCGGACATGAATGAATGTCACGTTGAATGACACATAGAATGCCACGACGCATAGAGTACCATGTGAGCATGCACCAAGGCGTGTGACCGACATGGATACCGTGATGTACAGCGCACGTGACTGTAGCCAGCAGCAAAGCATGAGCATGCAGTAAAAGCGCCAGCAATCATAGCAGCATAGTTTGAGTGGTAGCATGAAGCAGCCGCGTGCACCCATTAATCTGCATTATTATAATGCTGCATTAACTACAACACACAGCAGCTTGCGGTTAGGAGGGTGCTGGCCAGCGAAGTGAGAGGCTACAGAGAGAGCAGGATCTTGGCGGAGCCAAGAGGATAGTCACGTCCGAGGGACGAAGACCGAGAGCCCTGAGTAGCCGGCAATGAGCATGGCCCATTGTGGCCAGCAAGCCTCGTACCGAAGCAGCCGTGAGCGGGGTTAAAGACATAGACACACTGCCGGAGCAGGATCTTGGCGGAGCCAAGAGAGAGGTCACAGAGAGGTCACTGCCGGAGCAGGAGGGATCACTGCCAGAGCAGGATCTTGGGAGGGTAACCACCAGCAGCACCAGCCACGGTAGGCCACCGGGTAGTTGAGATGGTGGTGGAGCTTTACGTGTCCGAGAACGTCTTGGAATTGCCGGTGGCAATCGTGCACGTTGCCCCGCTGTAGCCACTGTCACATTAGCAGCCTTGCTAGTGTTCGGCCTTCGACTGCTTGAGTGTGGCAATGATTCATGTCTCGTTGATATGGAGACGAGGCAAGGAAATAGAAAGGCAGATAGACACAGAAACAGACAGACAGGCAGACAAACAGACACAAAACAGACAGACAGACAAACACACAAACAGACAGAGGATTCAGGGTCAGCCGGGTAGACACTGCCGAATCAGAATGTTGGCGGAGCCAAGTAACTACAAGAGTCCGCATCCGAGGGACGGCGACCGAGGGCCCTGAGTAAAGAGAGGGGTCACTGCCGGAGCAGGATCTTGGCAGGGCCAAGAGAGAGGTCAGACAAGAGTAATACGTAGACACTGCCGGAGCAGAATGTTGGCGGAGCCAAGTATCTACGAGAGAGGATTTAGGGTCGGCCGGGTAGACACTGCCGAAGCAGAATGTTGGCGGAGACAAGATTCTGCGTCCGAGGGACGGCGACCGAGGGCCCTGAGTAAAGAGAGGGGTCACTGCCGTAGCAGGATCTTGGCAGGGCCAGGAGAGAGGTCAGACAAGAGACACTGCCGGAGCAGAATGTTGGCGGAGCCAAGTATCTACGAGAGAGGATTCAGGGTCGGCCGGGTAGACACTGCCGAAGCAGAATGTTGGCGGAGCCAAGTATCTACAAGAGTCTGCGTCCGAGGGATGGCGACCGAGGGCCCTGAGTAAAGAGAGGGGTCACTGCCGGAGCAGGATCTTGGCAGGGCCAAGAGAGAGGTCAGAAAAGGGTCTCTGCCGGAGCAGGATCTTGGTGAAGCCAAGAGAGGGATCACTGCCGGAGCAGGATCTTGGCAGGGCCAAGAGAGAGGTCAGAGAGGGGTCACTGCCGGAGCAGGATCTTGGCGGAGCCAAGGGAGGAGTCAGAGAGGGGGGCACTGCAGAGAGAGATCTTGGCGGAGCCAAGAGAGGGACGAGGACAAAAAGCCCCCTGGGTAGCTAGGCATTAAATGTTTGTGCATTGAGACAGCATGTGGTAAAGAGGATACTGACAAGAGTTCAAGCAACACGGATGAGAGCCAGTAAGACAGTTACCTTGATGATCTCCTTGGCGGTGTCCCTCATTCCACGCCGGATAAATGCTCGTGCAGCAAAGGGAGCTTGCCCAAATAGAAGGACGAACTTTGCTGCGGTGATTGGCTAGACTATGGTGTCAGGTCGCTCCGCAGCTGTGGGAGCAAAGGTTCTGGAGTCATCCAACTTGATATCGATGGCATTGGAGGTGACTGGCAGGTGTGATGCTCAAAACAGTAAGTGGTACGGGACACAAATCAAGTAGAGGGTGCAGATGAGTGCCATGACCACAGAAGAACTGAACGGCTTGTGCCAACCTTCAATACGTTGACAGAGTCTGGTGCCACCAGCTCAGGGTCGTCCTTGACTGAGGTTGAGAGGTGCAGCATTCTGTGAGATGATCTCAGATGTGGCCTTGACAAGGTCAGACAGGCAGGGCATAATAACGTACGGGTGGGTAGCGAATGTGAGTTGGCCTAGAAAGCAGGCGAGTTCGTGCTTGAGGACGCAACGCCTGACAGTGTGGCAGAGACTAAATGACGTAGGGCCAGAGAGGTTGAGGTTATACTGGAAAACCACATAAATCACGTTGAGTGTCACGTTGAATGACACATAGAATGCCACGACGCATAGAGTACCATGTGAGCATGCACCAAGGCGTGTGACCGACATGGATACCGTGATGTACAGCGCACATGACTGTAGCCAGCAGCAAAGCATGAGCATGCAGTAAAAGCGCCAGCAATCATAGCAGCATAGTTTGAGTGGTAGCATGAAGCAGCCGCGTGCACCCATTAATCTGCATTATTACTATAATGCTACACACACACACACACACACACACACATACGCACACACACACACACACACACACACACACACACACACACACACACACACACACACACACATCTCTGCTATCCGGACCTCGAGGTTATGGACACCTCGGTCTGCCGGGCACCCTGTAGGTGTATTTTAGTGGAAATAATTACTACTCTCTTGTCATATTACTACTCTCTTGTCATATTACTACTCTCTTGTCATATTACTACTCTCTTGTCATATTACTACTCTCTTGTCATATTACTACTCTCTTGTCATATTACTACTCTCTTGTTATATTACTACTCTCTTGTCATATTACTACTCTCTTGTCATATTACTACTCTCTTGCCATATTACTACTCTCTTGTCATATTACTACTTTTTGCCATATTACTACGTTTTTGCCATATTACTACTCTTTTGCCATATTACTACTCTTTTGCCATATTACTACTCTTTTGCCATAATACTACTCCTTTCCATTTTTTGTGGAAATAGTGATGTCACATGCCAGATCTCTGACACTTCCACATTAAGCCGTACATGTATGTGATGTAGAGTTCTGGACATTCACAAGTGGTGGACTGTGCCTGGTCCCTGACCGCCTGGACAACAGAGATAGTAATCATGACCATCTGGTAAAAGGAGAGCGATCGCTCTCGCGCGCCTTCGCTCTCCTTATTTTCTTTTAGGGCGCACTTTTCGTCGCGCGCCTTGAGAATTTCGAGCGCATCCGCATCACTATGAAGTTCTGAAAACACTCAATATTTCGTAACTCGGCTTTCCCTGAACAGAATCGAGTAATCGAAAGGACTATTCGCATTAGAAAGATCTCAGCTGTCGGCTCCAACAAATCGGAAGTCGATCCGAGGTCCAATAGTGGAGTTACGGCACTCGCAAGGTATTTTACGTACCGTTGCAAATTTTCACTTCCGCACTTGGGCGGCAATCATAGATTCTTAGTATTTTTGCATAAAGCCTAGGATTTCCCTCTGTTGCGTGACAGTCCGGGCATGCATATACCTGTGTGACGCCAGGCACAGGTCTTTAGCGGTCAGCTACAGAAGGAAGGAGCGCTCTACGATGAATACTATTACTACAAAAATACCATGGATCTTAGCAAATTGTCTCAATTTCCCATTGCGTGTGCCATTGTCCCTGATGAAGGGAAACTAAAGCTGTGGTCCGAACAGCTTTCATTTGTAGTGCGTACAGCGATTTTCCAGAACGAATTTGGCAGCTATTGGGTATTGAATCCGATTGGGGTATGGCAAGATATTAAAAAAAACCGTATTGTGCTCGCCTTGGATAGATAAGGCGAGCGACTTTTTTTTTGGGGGGGGGAGGGGGGGGAACTGCTCTCCCACCACTCTCCTTGAGAGGATAGCGAGAGTGATTGTTCACTCTCCTGGATTTTTCTTACACGAAGGTCTGGTACTAAGGCCACAACAAAAAGATTTCGTGTTTCCGGTCGGCACCCCCCGAAAAAATACGCCCGGTCGGTCGGAAAATTATTATTTTTTGGTTTGAAAGTTTATTTCCCTGCTGTATTCATCATGTTCATAGACATGAGCCAAATTGAGAAAGTTTGGATCAGACACTGGTGATACACATTATACATATTTACACATGGAATATGGAGTAGAATACCACCGCGGGACGCAGTAGCTGCTGCTCCCAGAAGCACATCGAATGCCGAGGGACGGTCAGGGCACGGTCGCTTGGCAGCAGGAGCTACGTCCACCAAGCGAAAATCCAGGAAACGGCATCCAAATTCGTATTTCGACAACAAGGCCGACAGTGTCAGTTACCTCTACATCTTTCCACGTTCCTGCCCCACCATTGCTGCTTGCTGTAGCTGCGACAATCCACTCTAAAGACGTGACGTCCTCAGGCAAGCGAGGCTGCACTTCCTCACAAAACAACTCCTTCAAAGTGGTTTCATGGGAGACGCGAACTATCCTTTGCTGAAGAAGACACTTCGCACCCCGCCAGCACTGGACACAAAGCGGGCTGCTCTGAGCAGCCATCGTCAGCACTGGGCACAAAGCGGGCTGCTCTAAGCAGCCATCGTTCTTGGCGACCTTTTCTCCAGCTCCGGAATTTTCGTCTCTGCATTCAGTCAAACTTTTATTTCGGTTCGAGCAAAGCAACACAATGCTTTCAGTGTTTTTGCTTGTTTTTCTTTGTTTTTTTTGTACTTGTAAACCAAAAAAAATTCCATAATTTTTGAAAAAACGGACCCGGTCGGCCGACCGGAAACACGAAATCTTTTTGGTGTGGCCTAATGTGCTTTTTCTTTTTTTTTGTTACTAATCGACCACGCTTATGTTGTTGGCACTGGTGCATCCCAAGCACATGTGGTACGGAAGCAGGGAAACAAGAAGATGAAAATACAACGCAAAGTTACGATAAGAATAGTGAAATTAACACAGCCTGTGTCACCTCTGACAAACGCATGTGTGTGTGTGGGGGGGGGGGGGGGGTGTGCTTCGTTTGCATTGCGGGAAGCGCTATCGCGTTCGCCAGGACTTGACTCGCCACGCCCTCTTGCTCGTGACTTGAACCTGCTATCATCTCCGGATGGGCATATTGCATTGTATTGTGTATGTGCGTGTGTGCTTATCTGTGTAACTGTTTGTGCGTGTGTTCACGTGTGTGCGTATATGTGTTTGTGCGTGCGTTCACGTGTGTGCGTGCATGTGTTCTTGTGTATGTGCAACTGCAGGACATTGAAGGTTTCCATCATGCCAACTCTTATGGCAAGGGAAAGATGCCAGCAGTACCCGCGTCCACTGTGGTGCTTCTTGCTGCTCAAGCACTTCTTTATCATCAAGAAGAAGGGCATAGATGTTAGCACTCAAATCGGTGCTTTGCCAGCTATCGACTCGAGCCTAGCGAGCTGGATTGCTCCTGCGGTTTCTTCTCCTGCCAGCGTCCCGGCCATACAACCTGCTGCTGCCAGCGTCTCGACGGCCATACTGCCTGCTCCATGAGGCATGGGTATGCCACCAGCTAGCGGGGGTATGCCACCAGCTAGCGGGGGTATGTGAGCTATTGCCGACAGTTTGACCGCGATCCCGTGTGCCATCGGCGCAGCCTTTTCCTGTGACACATGCTGTTCTCAACATACCCATCATCTAGACCCGCCACTCAGTATTGCTTACTATATTGAATTGAGTGATTGTGGGAAAGATGTTGGGTGGATCCCATGCTATTACGCACCAAAGGAAGGAATTAGTACTGTTTTTCGAGACTGGGACCGAGACAATTATCATCACACTTCTCTACTTGTTTTGGCTGCCACGTATGCGGCAGTGCTTCTTTAGACAGCACACCCACTAGAGACTGCACAACTGTTACTGCATATCTATCTATTATAATGTATGTGTGTATGTGTGTGTGTGTGTGCATGTGCGCGCGCGCTTGTGTGCATGGGTGAGAGTGTGTATGTGTGTGTGTGTGTGTGTATGTGCGCGCGCCCGCACGTGTGTATTTGCGAACTTCTTTGAAGTATGTGAGAGAGACATTAGATGGTCTACCATGAAATGATTATATTTCACCATAATTATAGGCCTTTTTGGTATTTTTCTTGTCCTCTTGCCGCAAAGTGCTGTTTCCCTGTTCTTCCTATCCACTTCTTCCTACCCACTTCTTCCTACCCACTTCTTCGGAAAGTTCCTAGGAGACTTTAGGACGTAGCGTTAGATGTGTTCTCATCACTGACTCCGGTCGTTAGTATCGTCAGTATTGAATTTCTTTTATTCCCATAGCTATGCAAAATACGTTACCTTAGTAGCATCTGGCGCTAGCCAGGGTGCACAGCGCTCTATTTCATAATGCCTGTGTGTGTGTGTGTGTGTGTGTGTGTGTGTGTGTGTGTGTGTGTGTGTGTGTGTGTGTGTGTGTGTGTGTGTGTGTGTGTGTGTGTGTGTGGTACCTCGTACGTCCGTCATCACACGCGACAGGGCACAAAGGCTGGCGCAGGCAGCGCGCCAGGCCTGCCGCATGCGTCCAACCGTGACAGGTGACTTTAATAGCGCCACTAGCTGGCTCAGCAAATATAAGCATGATAAACGAGCATAGCGAAGGGTGCCGTGTTTGCTCTCGTCGCTTTTCAACTTTACCCCCTCCCCCCCCCCCCCCCCCCACTTCCTGGCCCCACCAGTGCAGTAACCTGGTTCTGGCAAGACATAGTGCTTCATACTGGCCTCGCCCGCACCCTAACACTAGTAGCTTGCCGGTATTAAGCTATGGCTGGTATACACGCTGGAGAAGAACAAAGCAAAACTGAACAATATCAAACTTGGAAAGAATGGACCAAAGATTTATACGAAAATTTCTTAAAACAGTTCTAAACCTTTGGTCCTTCCGTTTAATCTGAACACGATGTGTTCGCTTTCCTCCTTCGGTAGCTTGCACCGGTTTTGAATTTGTCTTTTTAAGAAACGGTTTCACAACTAATGTCACGTCACGTACACCAGGGTCGTCGGAACCGGTGCGGCAGGTGCGCCCAAAGCCACACCAATACTTCCATCTCGTGCCTTGTGAAGCAATGAAATAATAATTATGATGGCCTATTTTGGACCAATTTCCCTAATGTTATCCCAGGAGAGGATCCCTGGACCCTGAACCTATTCTTCATTCTTTATTTCCACGATGGCCAATGGCCAATAAGGAAGCATTCATGGCCGCACCAATGTTGAATGGCTTCTGACGCTCTGCGCAGTGCCGTCTCGTATGGATTGTGTTTCCACTGATCTTTCGTTCACAAACAGTGTGGTATGTCACGTGAATTCTTGATATTGAAATGCACGACAGGGTCAAGGAATTCAAAAGTATTGATAAAAAAATATTCATTTGTCAAGGGTATTTAACACGGAAAAAGTCTGTGGATAATTGATAAAAGGGTTGAATTATAATGCCAAAATTGCTGTATGTTTGCGCTGGGAAACAACATCAATGTCATCAAGAAGAAATTATTCTGGAATTGCTGCCACCATGGCATTGCTGTAGTGCAATCAAAACTATCAAGTCGCGATTGTTTAAAAATATTCATCATTTGAGGGAACTTAGTGTCAAGTTCGGCAGGAAGCGTTTGTTCCACGCAGGAATAACCTACGTCATCATTTGAGGGAATAATAATAATAGTACTGCATCTGTCAACAGACAGAGACAGACGAGATCGCGGTCAAACTGCCGGCAATAGATCACATACCCCTGCTAGCTGGTGGCATACCCATGCCTGATGCAGCAGGTAGCAAGGCCGGGACTCTGACGCACCTGACGAGTCGTAGTGAGCCAAGAAGATTTCCACCTTGCCTGGGAACTGGTCACGGAGCTGCTTCGGCAGCCACAGCCGAAACCTGGCTGTGTTGTAGGTGAGCTCACAGTGACTCCGGTCGGTATTTGTAACCTCCCACTTTCTCATGAGCCGTACAAGTAGCTTGAAGTAGGAGCTGTGTGGCATCGGTGTGTCCGCAACGGGATACTTGTAGCCTAGGAAGTCTTCATGAGCCTTGCCTGGTGGCTGAACCATGATCAGTAACGGTGTGTCAGCTGTGGAGAAGCTGACGTCGTTTGGCTCATTGTCCTGCTGGAAGCTGCGCAGGGCCTCCTCGATTTTCTTCGGCGGTCGACGTTGAAGAGCTGATGGGATGAAGTACTTTGCATGCGAGGCATCTCCGAATTTGTACAGAAAATCCCAGTCGACCATCACATCCAGCATCTTGTTACGAACCTCTCTTTTGACTGCTTTCCAGGCACACTCCATTAGTTGCCGGCGTGCTATACCCTCTTTCCACAGATAGTCGCGCCACTGCGTTTCTGCTGCCCCTGCTTCCTTTGCCGTCCTGCCATCACCTCCGCCGGGTTCGACCGGGTACATATGGGCAAAGACGAGGACGTTGATCTGCCTGATGAGCCACTGTGTGTTGTGGAAGATGATGTCATCAGGCTGCGGCGAGTTCTTGTTTGCCGGCCGATAGATGATGACACGTAGGTCGTTGTAGAACCGAAGAAGACGCTCAAATTCGGATGGAGCACCGTCCATGCCGGAGTCATCCTGGATCTTGCAGGCCTTCTCCACCAGTGTCTGCATCCATCCTCGTGTTGTGTAGCCATCCTGGGCGGGTTGTTTCTTGAGATACTCCAGTATCATCTCAAAGCGAACCCATTCCGTCGGAATCTTCTTGTTTGCCAGCACCGATGAAACAGCATCCTGTAGCTTCTTTCGGATTCCTTGAACTTCTTGAGAAGCTCCGGACTCGTGGTTGTCCACAAGGAACAACCCTGCGGGATCAATGTCATCGCTCTCAAGCATACCCTGGAAAGTTGGTGACCGGCGGCAGAGCTTTCCCAGCTTCTTGAAGGTATCAACCTTGTGCTCCGAAAGTGTCCTATCTGTCGACAGCTTGTCGGCAAAGTTCCCCACCAATATCACAGGCGGGTAGTCGAACGCCTCGCTTCCCACAGCCTTGCCTGGGTTTCTGGCAAAGTGGATGGCTGTTAGCCAGTGCCGAATGTGGTCGATGTTCTCCAGCTCCTCCGGTACGTCCAGAGTCATTTCAGACAGTGTACTCCCTGACCACTTCCAGTAGTTCTGCTGTTTGGTGAGCTGGAAGTTTTCTGAGGCGTTGAAACAGAGAATATATAGATGACGTAATCTTTACCCATTAGGAAGTGCTGCAGGCTTGAGAAGATTGATTGGCCGCCGCAATCCCAGATGGACACCACGACTTCTTCTTCTCCAATGTCTCGCATCAGCTCTTGGTTCTCCAAGATGACATTGATGAGGCTCTGTGTCAATTCAGCTGAGCTGGGTGCTGCTTCTGGACCTTTGCCAAGTTTTAACGTTTGCTTTGCAGCTGGTGATGCTGCCTCTTGCGTTGCTGTTCCCGTACGCTGGAGGCCTGTAGACCCAGCTCGCTTCGGGATTGCCGCTTCTTGTTCCCGTTGCTGGTGTTTCTTCTCAAGATCTTTAGCCTGGACAAGGATGTCCAGAGTATAGAGGAATGCAGCATGGAACTTTCAATCCGTCAGGTTTCCTGATCCGTGGTGCACATTGTCATGATCAACAGCAAGTGCCGGTGTACTTGCGCTCTTGTCCACGAACTGTTTGTTCTTGAGCGAATCCGCCAGGCTCGTCTTGCCGGTTCCAAACTGACCACAGAGGCTGATGCGGATACGGCGTACTCTGGTCAAACCGCTGCTTAGTGTCATATTTGTAGCTTCATGCATGGCGTTGTTGGACAGATCCGCACCTCGTTTTGCTGAAAGTCATCATCAACAACAACAACGATATGCACACACACGCATGAACATACACATGCATACCGGCATAAACAAGAACGCTCAGACGCACACATACACAAACACATGCATGAACGAACACAAGCATATACAAAAACATGTAAGCAAAGTGTGTGACCAAAATCCGTGTCAAGTGTTTCGAGGCATTTTGTATTTTGTATTCATGGATTCTCCACAGGCCTTTGCCTGACATAAGGGGAGGGGATTCAGGCATACCATCAACCCCATTCTATATTGTGTGCGAAATACCCTGAACATTCCAGGAAAGGCAAAACAATAAATGTTTCGAAAGTTCAGCCGGAAGTCAACTGCCTGAAAAGAGAAAAAATGCTAACCCACCAGGACTCGGGACCTTGCTTTTCATGAGCAATGCTCTAACAAACTGAGCTACGGGACCAGCCTGAGCCTAGAAGGGGCTGACAAGCACTTCACTCCAAAGGCAGCTCACAACACGTGCCACACATACATGTATATGACATTGCACTGATTGCATTGTGTCTTTTCCCCGTCCCCAGTTAGAGCATGGCTCATGACTAGCAAGGTACCGGCTGAAAGTCGTGTGTGGGGGGGGGGGGGGGGGGGGTGGCATTTTTCTTTCTTTCTCTCTCCATTGTTTTTCTTTCCCTTTTCAGAAAAATTCACTTCCCCGTCAGATCTTTTGAATTTTGAAGTTCTCTCAATCCTATTATATTTATAATAAAAGAATTGCTAGCATAATAATTACGTTCTCCTTCGGAGCAGACGAGACCGTACACTGCTAGAAAACATGAGCATGAACAGTGCACCAGCCACACTCCATGATAGCAAGTAGTGTACTGTTCGTGCTGGTGTTAGCAAGCTTCGTTTGGTCTGGTGTGGGCTCGTCTGGGCCAAAAAAGAACATAATAGACAGTACAAATAATTGGGGGTGAAACGAGTATATTAAAGTAGTAACGCTTTTTCAAATTCGTTAACTCGTTACAATTAAATGTTCGTTAACAACTTAAAGGGGAAGTCCGGTGAAAAATTTAAATTTCACAGTCCGTAGAGTTCGGGTCGCTGAGTTGAATGGTCTTTGTCCGAGGAGGCTGCGGCCTATGGTTCGTCAGATACGCCCAATCGAACATGTGCGAATTTGAGCGCACATCACCCAGATCCAAGTGATGACGTCACAGCGTGCAGCTAGGTAGCCACACCATCTAGTTGTGTACAAAATGGCCATATTCGGAGCGCGTTCGATTGGGGAACCGTTTGTCGCAGTTTCTTCGGACCAAGACCATTCGATTCAGTGTTACAAACACTACGTACCCTGTAATTTTCAGCTCGGTAAACCCCAAGGTTATACCGTATTTTAGCCGTTTCCGAGTTAGACTTTTTCCGTCAGCATGCAATGACCTCTACGGCGCTGCGTGCTAGCTGTAGTGCAGTCAACAAACTCATCACACGGAACTACTCCCGCACTGCCGTGCTGCTAGCTACAAGACTCGAGACACAAGACTCAGAAAACTAGTCAACAGACAACACACGGACTTGTCACGTACTACACTCGTATTAGTCGTATTGTACAGTCATGTAGTCAGCGAACGTGTGTTTCTCCTTGCCGGTGCCGGTGGTTGTGCTTGGAGAAAGAAAATGTTAGTTTTCCGCTCCAGTCCCGCCTCATTATTTTATGCTACAGCGATGAGTGAGTGCACAACCGTGACAAGTGACAAAACAGCGAACAGCTCCCGGACCTAGAACTTTCAGATTCCATAGCGTTGCGAGCGAAGTCGTGCCCGTGGTTCAAAGAGCCTGCACTGAGTAGTCCGAAATATGCCAAGTTCGCACCAAAACATCACCATGTGCCAGGCTACTGGAGTCTAAGCGAATCGGTATGGAACAACATTTAGAGTACTCGCATCACTCTTCTCCATTTTGGCGACCCTGCTCTCCAGCGATCTTATAATTATATCAGCCTCGTCTGCTGCTTCTTCATCAGTCGGAAACTCAGTAGAAACTCTTGACCGGCCCGCGCGGCCATTTCTTCAGCTGAATACCGAGGCTCTCAGCCCCAGACCAAACTCATGAAGGTCAGCCATGGCTGCATCCTCACTCTCACAATGACTTAGGTCTTCGGGGTCGCTTGCACCACCTAATATCAGTCGCCAAATCATTTGAAATAACACTGACACTATTGCTTTCACGCACTCCTTTTGACCTAGCTGCACGCTATGACGTTGCGGAGAGTGTGGCGCGGCCGCATGACGTCATGGCGCAGCCCCCGAAACTCAGTTTTTCAAACGGAAATATCTCGAGAACGCTTTGTCGGAGACACGTGGGACCAACACCATTCGACTCAGCGCCCAAAACTCTACCGACCCTGAAATTTAAATTTTTCACCGGACTTCCCCTTTAACCCTACTGGTCTTCCAGTACAGATTTTTAGGCAATTAGATAACACATCTTAAGTGATCCGCATTGTCAGAAAGGTCACATGATACGTTTGGGTTGTCGCCAATCATAGTGTCCCTGGCTCCATCAATGGGCTCAGATTTCTTTGGTAATACTCTTACTTGGGCTGCGAGCTCGTTAATACGCCGATTTAGGCACGCTTCTCGGTTTCTTGACTCGCTGACGTGTGCCGTGATTGCCTGCAACTGGGTTAGGATGGTCTGCTCAATGCCAGGGAGACTGCAGAGCAGCTTCAGCGTTTCGGCTGACTGCCCGCCCATGCCGAGATGAATGGAAAAGAAATTGGGGAAAATCCACTCGCAGTACACTGCCGTACCCCTATCGCACTACACTGCCGTGCCCCAATCGCACTACACTGCCCTACCCCTATCGCACTACACTGCCCTACCCCTATCGCACTACACTGCCCTACCCCTATCGCACTACACTGCCCCACCCCTATGCCACTACACTGCCCCTGCCCTATCGCACTACACTGCCTTACCCCTATCGCACTACACTGCCTTACCCCTATCGCACTACACTGCCGTACCCCAATCGCACTACACTGCCCTACCCCTATCGCACTACACTGCCCTACCCCTATTGCACTACACTTCCCTACCCCTATCGCACTACACTGCCCTACCCCTATCGCACTACACTGCCCTACCCCTACCGCACTACACTGCCCTACCCCTATCGCACTAAACTGCCCTACCCCTATTGCACTACATTGCCCTACCCCTATTGCACTACACTGCCCTACCCCTATTGCACTACACTGCCCTACCCCTATCGCACTACACTGCCCAACCCCTATCGCACTAAACTGCCCTACCCCTATCGCACTACACTGCCCTACCCTATCGCACTACACTGCCCTACCCCTATTGCACTACACTGCCCTACCCCTATTGCACTACATTGCCCTACCCCTATTGCACTACACTGCCCTACCCCTATCGCACTACACTGCCCTACCCCTATCGCACTACACTGCCCCACCCCTATCGCACTACACTGCCCTACCCCTATTGCACTACACTGCCCTACCCCTATTGCACTACATTGCCCTACCCCTATTGCACTACACTGCCCTACCCCTATTGCACTACACTGCCCCACCCCTATCGCACTATACTGCCCTACCCCTATCGCACTACACTGCCCTACCCCTATCGCACTACACTGCCCTACCCCTATCGCACTACACTGCCCAACCCCTATCGCACTAAACTGCCCTACCCCTATCGCACTACACTGCCCTACCCCTATCGCACTACACTGCCCTAACCCTATCGCACTACACTGCCCTACCCCTATCGCACTACACTGCCCTACCCCTGTCGCACTACACTGCCTTACCCCTATCGCACTACACTGCCCTACCCCTATCGCACTACACTGCCCTACCCCTATCGCACTACACTGCCCTACCCCTATCGCACTACACTGCCCTACCCCTATCGCACTACACTGCCCTCCTGCTATCGCACTGCACTGCCCTACCCCTATCGCACTACACTGCTCTACCCCTATCGCACTACACTGCCCTACCCCTATCGCACTACACTGCCCTACCCCTATTGCACTACACTGCCCTACACCTATTGCACTACATTGCCCTACCCCTATTGCACTACACTGCCCTACCCCTATTGCACTACACTGCGCCACCCCTATCGCACTATACTGCCCTACCCCTATCGCACTACACTGCCCTACCACTATCGCACTACACTGCCTTACCCCTATCGCACTACACTGCCCTACCCCTATCGCACTACACTGCCCAACCCCAATCGCACTAAACTGCCCCACCCCTATCGCACTACACTGCCCTACCCCTATCGCACTACACTTCCCTACCCCTATCGCACTACACTGCCCTACCCCTATCGCACTAAACTGCCCTACCCCTATCGCACTAAACTGCCCTACCACTATCGCACTACACTGCCCTACCCCTATCGCACTACACTGCCCTACCCCTATTGCACTACATTGCCCTACCCCTATCGCACTACACTGCCCAACCCCTATCGCACTAAACTGCCCCACCCCTATCGCACTACACTGCCCAACCCCTATCGCACTACACTGCCCTACCCCTATCGCACTACACTGCCCTACCCCTATCGCACTACACTGCCTTACCCCTATCGCACTACACTGCCCTACCCCTATCGCACTACACTGCCCTACCCCTATCGCACTGCACTGCCCTACCCCTATTGCACTACACTGCCCTACCCCTATCGCACTACACTGCCCTACCCCTATCGCACTACACTGCCTTACCCCTATCGCACTACACTGCCCTACCCCTATTGCACTACATTGCCCTACCCCTATCGCACTACACTGCCCTACCCCTATCGCACTACACTGCCCCACCCCTATCGCACTACACTGCCCTACCCCTATCGCACTACACTGCCCTACCCCTATTGCACTACACTGCCCTACCCCTATCGCACTACACTGCCCTACCCCTATCGTACTACACTGCCTTACCCCTATCGCACTACACTGCCCTACCCCTATCGCACTACACTGCCCTACCCCTATTGCACTACACTTCCCTACCCCTATCGCACTACACTGCCCTACCCCTACCGCACTACACTGCCCTACCCCTATCGCACTAAACTGCCCTACCCCTATTGCACTACATTGCCCTACCCCTATTGCACTACACTGCCCTACCCCTATTGCACTACACTGCCCTACCCCTATCGCACTACACTGCCCTACCCCTACCGCACTACACTGCCCTACCCCTATCGCACTAAACTGCCCTACCCCTATTGCACTACATTGCCCTACCCCTATTGCACTACACTGCCCTACCCCTATTGCACTACACTGCCCTACCCCTATCGCACTACACTGCCCAACCCCTATCGCACTAAACTGCCCTACCCCTATCGCACTACACTGCCCTACCCTATCGCACTACACTGCCCTACCCCTATTGCACTACACTGCCCTACCCCTATTGCACTACATTGCCCTACCCCTATTGCACTACACTGCCCTACCCCTATCGCACTACACTGCCCTACCCCTATCGCACTACACTGCCCCACCCCTATCGCACTACACTGCCCTACCCCTATTGCACTACACTGCCCTACCCCTATTGCACTACATTGCCCTACCCCTATTGCACTACACTGCCCTACCCCTATTGCACTACACTGCCCCACCCCTATCGCACTATACTGCCCTACCCCTATCGCACTACACTGCCCTACCCCTATCGCACTACACTGCCCTACCCCTATCGCACTACACTGCCCAACCCCTATCGCACTAAACTGCCCTACCCCTATCGCACTACACTGCCCTACCCCTATCGCACTACACTGCCCTAACCCTATCGCACTACACTGCCCTACCCCTATCGCACTACACTGCCCTACCCCTGTCGCACTACACTGCCTTACCCCTATCGCACTACACTGCCCTACCCCTATCGCACTACACTGCCCTACCCCTATCGCACTACACTGCCCTACCCCTATCGCACTACACTGCCCTACCCCTATCGCACTACACTGCCCTCCTGCTATCGCACTGCACTGCCCTACCCCTATCGCACTACACTGCTCTACCCCTATCGCACTACACTGCCCTACCCCTATCGCACTACACTGCCCTACCCCTATTGCACTACACTGCCCTACACCTATTGCACTACATTGCCCTACCCCTATTGCACTACACTGCCCTACCCCTATTGCACTACACTGCCCCACCCCTATCGCACTATACTGCCCTACCCCTATCGCACTACACTGCCCTACCCCTATCGCACTACACTGCCTTACCCCTATCGCACTACACTGCCCTACCCCTATCGCACTACACTGCCCAACCCCAATCGCACTAAACTGCCCCACCCCTATCGCACTACACTGCCCTACCCCTATCGCACTACACTTCCCTACCCCTATCGCACTACACTGCCCAACCCCTATCGCACTAAACTGCCCTACCCCTATCGCACTAAACTGCCCTACCACTATCGCACTACACTGCCCTACCCCTATCGCACTACACTGCCCTACCCCTATTGCACTACATTGCCCTACCCCTATCGCACTACACTGCCCAACCCCTATCGCACTAAACTGCCCTACCCCTATCGCACTACACTGCCCTACCCCTATCGCACTACACTGCCCTAACCCTATCGCACTACACTGCCCTACACATATCGCACTACACTGCCCTACCCCTATCGCACTACACTGCCCCACCCCTATCGCACTACACTGCCCTACCCCTATCGCACTACACTGCCCTACCCCTATCGCACTACACTGCCCCACCCCTATCGCACTACACTGCCCAACCCCTATCGCACTACACTGCCCTACCCCTATCGCACTACACTGCCCTACCCCTATCGCACTACACTGCCTTACCCCTATCGCACTACACTGCCCTACCCCTATCGCACTACACTGCCCTACCCCTATCGCACTGCACTGCCCTACCCCTATTGCACTACACTGCCCTACCCCTATCGCACTACACTGCCCTACCCCTATCGCACTACACTGCCTTACCCCTATCGCACTACACTGCCCTACCCCTATTGCACTACATTGCCCTACCCCTATCGCACTACACTGCCCTACCCCTATCGAACTACACTGCCCCACCCCTATCGCACTACACTGCCCTACCCCTATCGCACTACACTGCCCTACCCCTATTGCACTACACTGCCCTACCCCTATCGCACTACACTGCCCTACCCCTATCGTACTACACTGCCTTACCCCTATCGCACTACACTGCCCTACCCCTATCGCACTACACTGCCCTAACCCTATCGCACTACACTGCCCTACCCCTATCGCACTACACTGCCCTACCCCTATCGCACTACACTGCCCTACCCGTATCGCACTACACTGCCCTACCCGTAGCGCACTAAACTGCCCTACCCCTACCGCACTACACTGCCCTACCCCTATCGCACTACACTGCCCTACCCCTATTGCACTACACTGCCCTACACCTATTGCACTACATTGCCCTACCCCTATTGCACTACACTGCCCTACCCCTATTGCACTACACTGCCCCACCCCTATCGCACTATACTGCCCTACCCCTATCGCACTACACTGCCCTACCCCTATCGCACTACACTGCCTTACCCCTATCGCACTACACTGCCCTACCCCTATCGCACTACACTGCCCAACCCCAATCGCACTAAACTGCCCCACCCCTATCGCACTACACTGCCCTACCCCTATCGCACTACACTTCCCTACCCCTATCGCACTACACTGCCCAACCCCTATCGCACTAAACTGCCCTACCCCTATCGCACTAAACTGCCCTACCACTATCGCACTACACTGCCCTACCCCTATCGCCAAGAGTACATAACCCCCAGAGTGTGCAACGCCTGATCCAGCTCTGCATAGGGTCTTGGTCGAGCGGAATCGGATCTTTGCGTCATAATACCGTACACATCTGAGGGGAACCCGGGGAGTCGCGGGTACTCTTGGATCAAAAACAATGGTGCCCTGCCTCGAGACCGGCCTTGCGCTGGTGTGAAGTGTACGCATGACATCAGAAGATCCGATTCCGCTCGACCAAGACCCTACACAGAGCTGGATCGTCGTTGCACACTCTGGGGGGTTATGTACTCTTGCTATCGCACTACACTGCCCTACCCCTATTGCACTACACTGCCCTACCCCTATCGCACTACACTGCCCAACCCCTATCGCACTAAACTGCCCTACCCCTATCGCACTACACTGCCCTACCCCTATCGCACTACATTGCCCTACCCCTATCGCACTACACTGCCCTAACCCTATCGCACTACACTGCCCTACACATATCGCACTACACTGCCCTACCCCTATCGCACTACACTGCCCCACCCCTATCGCACTACACTGCCCTACCCCTATCGCACTACACTGCCCTACCCCTATCGCACTACACTGCCCCACCCCTATCTCACTACACTGCCCAACCCCTATCGCACTACACTGCCCTACCCCTATCGCACTACACTGCCCTACCCCTATCGCACTACACTGCCTTACCCTTATCGCACTACACTGCCCTACCCCTATCGCACTACACTGCCCTACCCCTATCGCACTGCACTGCCCTACCCCTATTGCACTACACTGCCCTACCCCTATCGCACTACACTGCCCTACCCCTATCGCACTACACTGCACTACCCCTATCGCACTAGACTGCCTTACCCCTATTGCACTACATTGCCCTACCCCTATCGCACTACACTGCACTACCCCTATCGCACTACACTGCCCCACCCCTATCGCACTACACTGCCCTACCCCTATCGCACTACACTGCCCTAACCCTATCGCACTACACTGCCCTACCCCTATCGCACTACACTGCCCTACCCCTATCGCACTACACTGCCCTACCCCTATCGCATTACACTGCCTTACCCCTATCGCACTACACTGCCCTACCCCTATCGCACTACACTGCCCTAACCCTATCGCACTACACTGCCCTACCCCTATCGCACTACACTGCCCTACCCCTATCGCACTACACTGCCCCACCCCTATCGCACTACACTGCCCTACCCCTATCGCACTACACTGCCCTACCCCTATCGCACTACACTGCCCCACCCCTATCGCACTACACTGCCCTACCCCTATCGCACTACACTGCCCCACCCCTATCGCACTACACTGCCTTACCTCTATCGCACTACACTGCCCTACCCCTATCGCACTACACTGCCCTACCCCTATCGCACTACACTGCCCTACCCCTATCGCACTACACTGCCCTACCCCTATCGCACTACACTGCCCCACCCCTATCGCACTACACTGCCCCACCCCTATCGCACTACACTGCCCTACCCCTATCGCACTACACTGCCCCACCCCTATCGCACTACACTGCCCCACCCCTATCGCACTACACTGCCCTACCCCTATCGCACTACACTGCCCAACCCCTATCGCACTAAACTGCTCTACCCCTATCGCACTACAGTAAGATCGGGCGCCGAAGAACGCAGGGGCTCGAGCGCAGCCTAGGAAAGTTCTTAAATTTTTGATTCTAGCCAGACCGTTCTTATTCACACGCGCGCGGCGAATCGAGTGACGTCATGACGTTTGTCATGTACATGTACATGTAGTGCAATGTAGTACTTCTAAACTAGTGGGTGTCGTAAATGGGAATGACTGTACATGTAGCAGTTACTGTTTACACGTGTACATGACATGTACTCACCTCCCATACATGTACAATGTAGATCTACGTGTAAAATTTTAAAAGTGTTCTTAAATCTGATAATTCTAGCCTGGATTGTTCTTAAATTTTGCCGGTTTTCCAGCCTGGGTGTTCTTCGGCGCCCGATCTTACTGTACACTGCCCTACCCCTATCGCATTACACTGCCCTACCCCTATCGCACTGCACTGCCCTACCCCTATCGCACTACACTGCCCTACCCCTATCGCACTACACTGCCCTACCCCTATCGCACTACACTGCCTTACCCCTATCGCACTACACTGCCCTACCCCTATCGCACTACACTGCCCTACCCCTATCGCACTACACTGCCCTACCCCTATCGCACTGCACTGCCCTACCCCTATCGCACTACACTGCCCTACCCCTATCGCACTACACTGCCCCACCCCTATTGCACTACACTGCCCCACCCCTATCGCACTACACTGCCCTACCCCTATCGTACTACACTGCCCCACCCCTATCGCACTACACTGCCCTACCCCTATCGCACTACACTGCCCTACCCCTATCGTACTACACTGCCCCACCCCTATCGCACTACACTGCCCTACCCCTATCGCACTACACTTCCCTAACCCTATCGCACTACACTGCCCTACCCCTTTCGCACTACACTGCCCCACCCCTATCGCACTACACTGCCCCACCCCTATCGCACTACAATGCCTTACCCCTATCACACTACACTGCACTACCCCTATCGCACTACACTGCCCTACCCCTATCGCACTACACTGCCCTACCCCTATCGCACTACACTGCCCTACCCCTATCGCACTACACTGCCCTACCCCTATCGCACTACACTGCCCTACCCCTATCGCACTACACTGCCCTACCCCTATCGCACTACAATGCCCTACCCCTATCGCACTACACTGCACTACCCCTATCGCACTACACTGCCCTACCCCTATCGCACTACACTGCCCTACCCCTATCGCACTACACTGCCCTACCCCTATCGCACTACACTGCCCTACCCCTATCGCACTACACTGCCCTACCCCTTTCGCACTACACTGCCCTACCCCTATCGCACTACACTGCCCTACCCCTATCGCACTACACTGTCCTACCCCTATCGCACTACACTGCCTTACCCCTATCGCACTACACTGCCCTACCCCTATCGCACTACACTGCCCTACCCCTATCGCACTACACTGCCCCACCCCTATCGCACTACACTGCCCTACCCCTATCGCACTACACTGCCCTACCCCTATCGCACTACACTGCCCTACCCCTATCGCACTACACTGCCCAACCCCTATCGCACTACACTGCCCAAGTAAGGGGCAAGTAAGGGTAACTTCAAGTAAGGGTAACATGAATGCAACTAACGTGTCCCCACCCCCACCCCACCGCATAAATTGACTTGAGGCCAACCATGATGCTCTGCTTACCTGTAAAGGAGCATATTCAGTGAACTAATTGATGGCCCCCAGAACCCCCCTCCCCCGCCTTTAGAACTAGAAGACCTTCCTACGCCCCTGTAAATAGTATCACTACAGCCGTTAGTAAGACCGTAATGCACTGGACTGTGCTCGATCGCAGTGGCCTACCTTTCGAGGAAATACGCCCGCTCCTTTACGATACGTCCTGGTTGGCTGGCTCCGAGTCCGAGTGCCTGGGATTCGGAGGTACTATACTACTGCTAGAATCCGAGATGATGTAGCGGGCAGCTAGTAATATGGATCGGTTGATGGGACTGCTAGAGTACTGAAGAGGACCTATCGCTGCACTGCAAGGACCATTACCATGAAAATAATAAAATTAATTAAAAATATATACCATAAAATCCCGCCAGAGCGCCCCTAGACGGCCTAGTACCCCGGCCTCCTCGACGCTTCAGGTTTTCAGTTCAGGTGGTGAGGGGCGGATGGGCGAGTCCTACTTGCCGCATTCAGTGCTACATCATCAGTACATGAAAAAGAAGTACTCACCCTACGAAAACTGTTCGTCCATCCATCTCGTACACCTGGTAATAGTTGCTGAGTCTCGCGCTTGCGACAGGCTACCCGCTTGCGACAAAAGTAACTGTTGTCTTTTTTTACGAATTCTGTGACGTCATGTTTTGGAAGAATGTCCCAACAGTCATTCGCGTATGCGTAGGGCTCCCTGCTAATCTGAGTAATCACCATGCTGTACACACACCCTCTCAACCAGGTCACTAATCACCATGCTGTACACACACCCTCTCAACCGGGTCACTAATCACCATCCTGTACACACAGGTCACTAATCACCATCCTGTACACACACCCTCTCAACCAGGTCACTAATCACCATGCTGTACACACACCCTCTCAACCGGGTCACTAATCACCATGCTGTACACACACCCTCTCAACCAGGTCACTAATCACCATGCTGTACAGTACACACACCCTCTCAACCGGGTCACTGAGTGTCGTGCGCAAAAGAATCGTACATGCAAGCCAGGGCAGCACACTCTAACAATCTCAATGTCCACATGAAAATGGAGAGAGTCACACCCCCTCCTTTCCCAAGATGAATGAATCTAGGGCGAGATTTGCAGTTTAAAAGATACCATGTGCCAGGGCTTTAGAAAAGTAGAAAAATCATTTTATATAAATGGGTGCCTTGGAAATTGCGGTGCCTTGAAAAATGAAATAAAAGGTGCTTTGAAAATAGAAGTACGAAGGCAAAGAGACAGTAAAAGTGAAAAGCAAGTGCAGGAATAAAAGACGAGCAGAATGTGATTACGCATACCGGTTCAACCGGCAACAGCAATTATTTGTGAAAACGGCTGCTGTGAAAATTGCACTTCCTTACAAAAATTAAAGAAGTTGCCCTTTGAAAAAGCATTGCAAAAAAGTGAAAAGGGCAACCAAAGTGCAGAAGGATAGGCAGAAATGAGGCCGCGCAGAAGCTGATAATTCTATGAGCATACCGGTTCAACCGGAAAAGAATTTTAAAAAAAGGTTCCGCTATTCGACATGATGACGTCAGACTAGTGCACTGCTTTTCCAGCAGTGTCTAAGCTCAAATAGTCAAATACGGACCTAAAGCGAGGTTCTAAGTCACAGAGATAGAATGTAGAGATATTTGTTTTAGAGAATAAAAAGAAATTGAATGACAATTCAACACAACTCAGACAATCTATCTAGACTCTACACATGGGTCAGGTACTGTGCATGGAGCGAAGGGCACGCGCGGAAATCCAGCATTCTGGTTCCGTGCCACTTTGCCTGAGCACGCGGCGCCCACGGTGCTGCACTACTGAGGAGTGAAAAAAATACTTTGTGATAATGTACCAATAAAAGGAGCAAAGTCGAAGCTAAGGGAAAGCAGTCTCTAGCAAGTCATGTAGCAATTGAAAGACCAAGAAGAAGAAGAAGAAGAAGAAGAAGAAGAAGAAGAAGAAGAAGAAGAAGAAGAAGAAGAAGAAGAAGAAGAAGAAGAAGAAGAAGAAGAAGAAGAAGAAGAAGAAGAAGAAGAAAGGCATATTCAAAGGAAGTAGTGCTTACGATAGCGAATGCAGCAGGCAAATGAAGAATATCGCGACTTAATGAGTGAGTGGGAGCGAGAGACTGGGTGATTGCGAGAGCAAGCGAGAGTGAGAGCAAGTGAAGGAGAGAGCTCAGTCGAGAGTCTGAGTTGAAGCAGAAAAACGGACAGAAAGACGTAAAGGCAGACAGACAGAAGGACTTACAGGAAGAGAGACAGAAGGACTTACAGGCTCAGAGAGAGACAGACAGAACAGATTCTCGCCGCGATCCAGTGTTGATCAATCATGGCCATCATCATCACCACCATCCTGTGTCCATACACAAGAGAACAACAAGACGCAGTAATAACTAATTGTACTGCATGTGCAGTGATGGCAACTGGCGTAAGCGATCTCTGGTTTTAGCGACGTGACCTTCTGACAATGCGGATCACTGCGGGTGTGTTATCTAATTGCCTAGAAATCTATACTGGAAGACCAGTAATGTTAAGTTGTTAACGAACATTTAATTGTAACGAGTTTACGAATTTGAACTGACTGCCCGCCCATGGCAAGATGAATGGAAAAGAAATTGGGGAAAATCCACTAACACTACACTGCCCTACCCCTATCGCACTACACTGCCCTACCCCTATCGCACTACACTGCCCTACCCCTATCGCACTACACTGCCCTACCCCTATCGAACTACACTGCCCCACCCCTATCGCACTACACTGCCCTACCCCTATCGCACTACACTGCCCCACCCCTATCGCACTACACTGCCCCACCCCTATCGCACTACACTGCCCTACCCCTATCGCACTACACTGCCCTACCCCTATCGCACTACACTGCCCTACCCCTATCGCACTACACTGCCCTACCCCTATCGCACTACACTGCCCTACCCCTATCGCACTACACTGCCCTACCCCTATCGCACTACACTGCCCTACCCCTATCGCACTACACTGCCCTACCCCTATCGCACTACACTGCCCTACCCCTATCGCACTACACTGCCCTACCCCTATCGCACTACACTGCCCTACCCCTATCGCACTACACTGCCCTACCCCTATCGCACTACACTGCCCTACCCCTATCGCACTACACTGCCCTACCCCTATCGCACTACACTGCCCTACCCCTATCGCACTACACTGCCCTACCCCTATCGCACTACACTGCCCTACCCCTATCGCACTACACTGCCCTACCCCTATCGCACTACACTGCCCTACCCCTATCGCACTACACTGCCCTACCCATATCGCACTACACTGCCCTACCCCTATCGCACTACACTGCCCTACCCCTATCGCACTACACTGGCCTACCCCTATCGCACTACACTGCCCTACCCCTATCGCACTATACTGCCCTACCCCTATCGCACTACACTGCCCTACCCCTATCGCACTACACTGCCCTACCCATATCACACTACACTGCCCTACCCCTATCGCACTACACTGCCCTACCCCTATCGCACTACACTGCCCTACCCCTATCGCACTACAATGCCCTACCCCTATTGCACTACACTGCCCTACCCCTATCAGGCGCGTACGCAGGGTCACCTCTAGGGGGGTTTCCAACCGAATCACAAACAATGACTCGTTTTTAAAACCCTTTCTAAAGAGCCCTAGGAAATTTTCAAAATTATACATTTTTTCGTGTTCTTTGGATCATAACTTCAGTTCTACTCACTCAATCTTCATTATCTTAGGCTTCCTGGAAGTGGAAAGGTACCAGGGAGAGAATGAGGTCGACCATGATGATAGCCAGGACGCAGTACAGCCATGTACATATCCAGCTATACTAGTATGCTATAGCGGTAGAGTGCACTCACTGTGCAGCGATGGTGCGAAAAAATGCCCCAAACTGGGCCAAAGGCCTAAACGCATCCTGCTCCAGCGATTTCGTTTTTCTTGATCGCAGAGTTTCGATTTGTTTGCTGTGTAGTCTTGAAAATATCACAAGTGAAGCCCCTGCAAATTTGAGCAAATCAGCATGACAAAAGTCACTCTCAAATTCTCGATACTAGAGTCGCACTGCGCGCTTTGCGAGATCGCGGCTCAACTTACGAACGAATCTCAAGAGACATTGCTCGCAGCGCGTCGCAAATTGTTTCAACCGACCGCTGAGAGTTTTCTATTTGACCTGGATATTTGGATCGTTGGATTTGAGCCAGATTTGACTGAGTTACGATCTGTTGAAGTTTTGCATTCTTGCCAGATCGATCGTGCGCCCTACCAAAATATGCCCAAAAACGTTGCTCGTTTGGAACATTTGGGGGGTTTCCGGGCAACGGGAAACCCCCCTGCGTACGCGCCTGCCTATCGCACTACACTGCCCTACCCCTATCGCACTACACTGCCCTACCCATATCGCACTACACTGCCCTACCCCTATCGCACTACACTGCCCTACCCCTATCGCACTACACTGCCCTACCCATATCGCACTACACTGCCCTACCCCTATCGCACTACACTGCCCTACCCCTATCACACTACTCCTCCTAGTCCTACTGCTTGCTAGCTAGGCTACTGCAAGCCTTCAGACCGGCCTGATGCCAGCTGGGCTGCCAAAACCACGAAAAAAACTATGGAGCTGCAAAAGTCCCAATTGGCCTCTGCCTGTACAGCCTACTGCTCTTTACTTACCCACTGGATCAGCAGCGGATGCTCCTGCAGACGCAAATGCGGCCTCATCAGTGCTGCCGGTCTTCCCCGAACTTGTCGACGAGTTCCAGCTTGGCCAATAACCTTCTCGCGCTGGCTGGTGGCTCGACTTTACGGATGCATTCAAGGAAGGTGTGGAAGGATTCGTCATCACCAGTGCTTAGTTTATTGAGCAATGCCTCATTCTGCGCTGCAGGGCCACTGTATGATGCATATTGCCTACTCTGTGCAGGCGTAATCAACTTCTTAGCCTCACACTGGCGACGCATATCATCTGGAGTTAGCGTGAAACACAGCTTAGGCCGAAGTTCTGTGAAGACGTCACTCTCCCATGCTGTCTTGTCAGAGAGCTGTCGGTCGAGAGACTCGTCTGAAAATGTTGGCACAACACACACATAGAGAAACAGAAATCAGAATGGTTTCACATCTATTACATGACCGTACGGGACAGGCATGTTGGGTTCAACTCCACTCAACTCCTGCATCTATGGGTCACATGACGTCGGCCATGTTGGTTCCGCTGGTCACATGACATGATCACTTTCTGCACAAATTCAGTCACATGACCAAGATGGTATTGGTATTGGTATGGTATTGATTTATTTGAATTCGGTATCTCAACAGTACATTGTACAACTTGGGAAGATCCGAATGACATAGATACATAAACATAAAAGTGGAGTAGGTGCTACAGCTGATCATTTTATCGCAGATTGTGGGACTAAACTAATACCAGTATGCAAGTACACAAGAAATAAAAGCTGAATAAATACGACTGCATGACAAGATGTGACCACAACTCCATAAATTCCGTTCCTAAGTCATTCATACATTCCGTTCCTATTGACAAGCCATGCAAAAGCAGTGTTGGGCTTAACGCTGCTTCAGTAGAATTATCCGACACTAGGAACAGGCCTGGCCTGGACTTGATCCATCATGCAGCTCTGCAGACTTGCGAGCGCCCGCTTCTGATGAGCATAAGCTTGTGCAGTGAAAAGGTTTACAACTGACTCGCCGGGCCCCGCAGTGATACGGTGGACCGTTTGCAGGGGCATCGGAACTGGTGCAGCAGGTGTGGCGAAAGTCGCAACAATAAGTTTAAGAATTCGGGTGGACACACCCATTCCCATAGCGCTGCACATCACATCCGAACCAGTTCCGTTATTTTTACAACGTTTCGGCACTTGGCCATCGTCAGGTAATAACAATGAATACCATGGAAGCCACACAAGAGCAGTATATACGCAGAGTGTAGCGCCAAAAAAGATGCGAATTATGTCACCTAGTATGCAGAAGGGGGGGGGGGGGCAGAGAGAGAGAAAAGGCGCAACTAGCACATCACGGAGGAGAAGCAGCAGAAGGTAGCGCGCATTGTACTCTGTGAATGGCGTTACGCAGGTGAAATGTTTTAGGGAAATGGCTTGCTGTTGTGGCCCCAGAACACATTTTTAACTGTCCAGCACACGCCCTACAACCATGTCAATTTATGCAGCAACCGTAGTCTTGTAGCAATGTTCTACAGTAACACTTGCTGCTTTATTCTATTCCAGGCGCATACATCATACATCATACATCAATAAGAAGTCTACGAAATTGTAGCAACTACAGCTATACCATTTAATATTGGCATATTGTGCACGTAGAAAAAACGGAGGTGGTTGCCACTGAAGAACATTGCATATGAACTGCACAGCATGACAGTGGTAAGAGGATATTCTCGGAATACGTCCTGTAAACACAATAGAAAAAATCATATGCGTGCAAGAGAAGCACACTATCAGTCCGTCGCTGCTACTAATGTTAATGTCAATTAACTACTCAAGAGCTTCTTCCAGCAAATCGCGCAACCGCTTGCGGCAGGCTTTTCCTCATGGCTGGTGTTGCCTTGAAGCTGAGGCATGTCTCTGAACCTCGGTTGCACTGGATGGTCATGAGGTTGCTCAGCATTTTCGTACTCAGGCCGTTGCGGCTCGATGTCTTGGCCTCCCCCATCTCCGAGAAGTTCCGCTCAATTGCAGCAGAAGAATGGGGAATGGCGAGCAGAGCAGTCGCCAGCTCGACAAGGCTGTAGCGAGACGATCTGGACGTCTTCAGTGAAGAAACATCATGCCAGAACCGAGTGACATCTGTCCCGTCTGCAGGAGCTTCTGGATCCACCTGGACCTGCTGCCACTGTTGCCGCAGCTCGTCGCACCTCTCTCTTGGGATAACTTGAGGGAACCACCGGGCAAGATACGCAACCCTGTCTCCACCCACCATGTTGCCAGAAGTAGGGCAGAGAAAGCTGGCAGCCTCGAGAACCTTGTCCTTCAATGGAAAACGGGACTGGGCTTGCTTGGCAGCCTGAATCCAGAAGTCATGGCAGGTCTCCAGGAAGGCGAGCTTGTTTTCTGCGTTGCGAAATACACGCTCGACATAGTGCTCGGTTTCGGTTCCGATGAACACCTTGCTCAGTTGAAGGTAGTTTTCTTGTCGAAGCAGGTTGGATGAGGACACAGGATGGCTTAAGACAACCTCGTGACGCAGTGCATTCAGGAGAATGGTCTTCGTCGCCTGCTCACCCTGGGAAAGTATGCAGTGGATCATTGGACCTTCCTGCTGAAGCTTCTCATTCAGCCGTGTAAACACCGGCAGTGCCGCCTTCAGGAAAAGCATCCGGGCCTTGGTTGACGGTTCTTGAATGGCCTTGAGAATGCTCATCGCTTTCGTGGTGGACGATGATGGCCCTTTGGAGAAGAACTCCTTCAGGGCACGCCACTGCTCAAGAACACGGCTGATCGATTGCTCAAGAGCGAGCCAACGAGTCGTTGCCAGCTTCACCATCTTGTGTTGCGGTAAGCCAAGGTTCTTCTGCACATCCTCCAATGCTGCACACCGTTTGGGGCTATGCTCAAAATGATATGCTATGTCCACCAGCAGTGGCTGCATCTCCTCATCATAAGATGTCGCCGCATTACTGGCACACAACGCCAACACATGGAATGGGCAGTACATTGCATTATGCTGATGGCTGCTCAGCAAGGACACGTGTCAGGACAGAGTTTTTGCTGCCTCTCATGACGTTAGCCCCGTCGCTGCAGAAGCACAGCACGTTGTCCCACGGTATGGCATCTTCCGTAAAGGCCCCAGCTAGCGCACTGAAGATGTTGTTGGCATTCGGGGCGCTGACCGTCTTGGTTACATAGTGGTACGTTTTCGTCTCGTTGCGGCAAATACGGACATCGAATGCCACTTGCTCCATCACGGATATGTCAGCGGACTCGTCAACCAGAATGGAGAATGGTTTTTCCTTCATCCAAGTAACAAGCTGGCTGTGGTAGGTGTTGGCAATCACCTCGACTGCTGCACTAGTCTTTGTGCGGGCAGCTTTCATACGCTGTGCAATAGCCGAATCTGGGCATACCTTTCCGAACAGTTGACTCAAATGGTCAGCCGTCGTGAAAGGAAGTCTGTGTTCCGCAATGAAAAAGGCCATTGACAGCTCACCATCAGTCACCGCTTGCGACATAGCAGAGGCCTGCGACACTGTAGCAGAAAGACTGGGTTGCATCTTCGTAGACTTCGCTCGCTTCTGATGAGCCACCGATTTTCCATGGCGCTCCAAGTCATATGCTCCTCCATTCCCAAACTCCAAGTCCTTCTGGCATATTTTGCAGAAAGCTTTTCCATCCGCGCGTTTTGATTTGGTCAGCCAATCTTTCAGCACAGGGCTCTCCTCCCAGACAGCTTGATAGCTCACACAACGTCGTTGCTTTTTGCCAGCGGGTACAGCAGCCACAGACTGTGTTTCAACTGCTTCAGTTTCACTTGCATCCGAGTCAGACGACGAATCAAACACTGCAATCCTTCTCTTCGTAGCTGCGGGTGGATGAGGTACGGAACCATCATCAGAGCAAGCGGAAAGATCGTCGTCACACACCAGAAACCGCTCCTCCGCACGACTCTCATCCGAAGACGATGTTGTGTCGTCGAACCAAGGCGTTCGCGGAGGCGTTGAATGCGGCGAATCCGACACTATCAGCTGGAAATCCTCGGAGTCTGAGTGACAGTCTGACGACATTCTGAAAGATGAAAAGTTAGACGTTCACGGTTGTGCAAAGTTAGTTACCTAGTTCTGAAGCGCTTTCCTGTTGCAAGTTCACTTTACCCGCTTCCACAGTGCTGCACATAGCAGATCGCGTATACGGAATTACCTATCGACGCGCATACAATCGCCGCTAGTATACGCGTCGATAGGTAATCCCGTACACTTCGCGTATACTACGTACTAAACACAGTCGAGAGTCTCCCGGCCAGACCTGACGCGCCGAGCGAGTCCCAGCAGCTAGTGATGATCAGTTCAGTGTCGCACTAGTTTTTGTTTAGTCTTTCGTTCAGAACTAACTTCAAAGAATGTCCTAAACACGTCTCGAGATATTTGTTCACCACTCCCTAGGCGTATACGCGTAAAAGACTGTAGTGAGTAACCTTCTGGAGCGAATGGCGGACTCTGCCCCGAGCATGAACTTCTTTTCATCCTGTTCAAGGTCAAATATTACTCAGTTTGCGTTGAAGAATAACAATTACATTCGTGAATGGCTGAACTGAGAATACCCTAATAATTTCTCTTGGATTTCGTATCCCAAGTTCCTCTACTTGGCTGGATAAATGGCCTCTTGACTTCATCATACTGGAATTGGACTTGTAGATAATAGCGAGTAATGAATTGGTGAGTGAAGTATTAGTTTATTATAACCACTCCATTACTGCAATACATGTACGTAGAATACTCCAGTATAGAATGATATGAAGGTCTCTGGATCGGTTCTAGAACGTCCAACAAGCGAAAACGTATCCTTTGTGATGTCCTTGACCAACACTGTAACGGCGACTTGTCCCTCCGAGAGTGCAACGGCACTTGTGATTTTGAGTTTTGGCTCACGGACTATGACTGCAGCACAGTGACCGGCCGGCCGTGCATACTACATGCAGTCTGTCTGTACAGTGTGTGCAGTGTGTACAGTGTGTGCAGTGTGTGCAGTGTGTACAGTGTGTACAGTGTGTACAGTGTGTACAGTGTGTACAGTGTGTACAGTGTGTACAGTGTGTACAGTGTGTACAGTGTGTACAGTGTGTACAGTGTGTACAGTGTGTACAGTGTGTGCAGTGTGTACAGTGTGTACAGTGTGTACAGTGTGTGCAGTGTGTACAGTGTGTACAGTGTGTGCAGTGTGTGCAGTGTGTACAGTCAACCAGGCCGCATGTACTGCATGCAGTTGCAAAGCTAGCTGCCTAGCGCCTGTAGCAACCGCCGTTGCTACAGGCGCTAGCCTGTACACCGTACATACTCCAAGTCCATGCAAGCACGCGGGCATTTTACAGCTCCATGTACGTAGATCTACGTGTACAAATGCCCGGCCAACTGGACTAAAAAGCGCTCAAAATAAAATAATCGATTGTCCCTCTTTGGGAACAAAATCGGTCGGTTTGTCGGACAGGCGATCAAAAATCGGACGATTTCCGAAAAATCGGAGCAAGTGGCAGTCCTGCATGGGGCCAACATTTTCGTACCACTCACCCTGGATGCAAGCTTAACTATGGGCAAAGTGCATTCTCTGCAGTTGAAGTAATAGGAAGAGAGCCTGATCGAGCCCGTCGCAAACTGCGCGAGGCGATTGAGATTCGTGATGCCAAGCCCCATGTGAACTTAAGCACCGGATGGGATTTTTTGTGAATTTTCTCAGCTTCCCCTGCTGCTACTTCAATATCACTGAATAATTATAATATGAGGCGGGTCACTCAAATCCATTCTGTTCCTGATGCCTCGTCGCGCGTCCCTGGTGGTAACAGTTTGGCATGGAAGTTTAACCTCATAGTGCATTGACGCATGGGGCTCCGTGCTCGCCTCCTGTAATGTGCTAGAATTAACACCATAATTATTTGGCATGTACCCTCACTTCCTAGAGCACAACGGCGCGCTCTTCTTCTCCGTGATGTGCACAGTTGCACCTTCTCTTCCCCCTCTGTATAGAGGTGACATAACTCGCATCATTTTATTTTTGGCGCTACACTCTGCGTAACGCCATTCACAGAGCACAATTCGCGCTACCTTCTGCTGCTTCTCCTCCGTGATGTGCTAGTTGCGCCTTTTCTCTCTCTCTGTCCCCCTCCCCCCCACCCCCTTCTGCATACTAGGTGACATAATTCGCATTTTGTAGAGAGGCCAGGTTAGGTGAACAGACATTTTCGGTACAGAGAAGCAGTTCCCTATTGGATTATGTGTGTTAGTGTTTGTTCGTTGTATTGAAATTTTAGGTATGAAACAGATGCATCGACAGTACCGATAATAAAAGCACACCGAAATTTTGTGAAATTACAGTACTGTAAAGCAACTTATTTTCGCTGGCGATATCATTTCGCTAATTTTGCCGCTTGGTACCAACTGGCCAAATTAAGTTGCAGGCCAAAGTTTGTCACCGAGGCAAATAATGCTTGATTGAGGCCTGGCTGCATGTGAAAGCAACACCTACCGATCGTTTCTTTCTAAACCCCAATCGGCCAAAGTATGATGACGGCCGAAAAAGTTTCAATTCGAGATTGGCCAAAGTTTCTCACCAGCCAAAATTAGTTGATATACAGAAGGCTATTTTGGCACAATTTATCAAAACCCTTCCCAGATGGAGAGCCTTTTCGTGGGTCTTTTCATAGCCATACCAATGTAGGATACCTTCCAATGCCCCTGGCGTGTTTCACCACTGTACTGTCTACAGCACATTTAGCACTGTGAGAATTGTAAAATTGTGCCAGCTAGGAGCTTGTAGCTGGTCAGATGAACCACTACATGAGCGAGTAATACTGGCAGTACTAAAAACTACTAAAACAATCTGCGTGCACAAACACAAGCACACTCACGCACACACACACAAGCGCGCGTGTCTGCATGTATGCACGCACACACTCACCACACACACACACACACACACACACACACACACACACACACACCACACGCACGCGCACGCGCACGCACACGCACACGCACACGCACACGCACACGCACACGCACACGCACACACACACACACACACACACACACACACACACAAATTCAACTAAAATAACACACTCCATACATCAATATTGCTCTAGCATAGCGCTCAGCATAACACAGTGCACCACATGATGCTGCGCGGCTTACACTTCTTCTTTTTTGCCTTTGGCGCCTCCGCTTCGCTACTGAAAGTAGAATGCACAAAGAAGAAAGAAGAAAGGACCTACATGTTTAAGTTACGAGTTATGACTAACAGTCCACCAAGGTAACGAGATGTATACTTATCGGCCCTTTCTTCTTTCTTATAAAAGTAACACTATTGGCTCAACATCCGATTTTTAATCAGCATCAAGAAGAGATTGAAGATGCATGAAAATGCTATGTGCATTCATGGCCAGTAGAGGCAGTTTGATAAACTTTACTGGCAGAAAATTTTGTCGGTCAATAATTTCGTCCAGCTCCAAAGAGAGGGAGTTCGTCCGGTTGTAAATTTCGTCCATGGATCATAAGAGTGTATTGAAAAGCAGAATATATCGACACTAGTCCGGCATTTAATTTAGTCCAAAAGCTCCTTGGACGAAAAAGACGCAATAAAATTGCAGACGAATATTTCTGCTGAGACAGTGGTGCTCCAAACACCAGAGTACTGAGTCCTGGGTGGCAGACTGGACACAAACACAGGTGACGGGTGACTGCTTGTGAATGTCAGTTCAAGTTTCCATGCACTTGGGATGGTCCTCACACAGCGTGACCACTACGGCGTTGCTCGTAAGTTAGCGTGCCTTTACAACAGTAGCCAGCTTCATGTGTGAATGAAAGTATGGCTCAGTATCATTATTATGCTGGGCAGGAGAAGATTCACCCGAACTCACTGCTATAAGCAGTGTAGCAGGACGGGGAAACCAATACAGAAAACCTGTCAAGGCAACCACTCTGATAAGGCGACCAGCTGCCCTAGTGGACCAATACATAACTAAGGCGTCCATAACTTTGAGGTCCGGACAACAAAGGTGTGAGCGTGCTTGCATTATTTTATAATTTTACTCACCGCTCAGAAGTGCCACACTGTTTCTCCTCACAGAAGTGACTTAGAACATGAACAAGCTCATCTTCGCTCTGCAGAGTGCCGCACATCCGAGCAACACGCAGGATCATATCCGAATGCCCAGCACCGACACACTGGCAGCACAGCTTCCATAACTCGGCCAGACCCACAGCCGGCTCGATAGTGCCGAACGACGGTGATGCCACGGCAAGTGTATCTCTGCTTTCAGCCAGCATACACAGACACTTGTCCGCACGGTCAGCAAGGAACTTCTTCACCTCCTGAAAAATAAAACAAGAAAATGGATGACCAGAAGAATTTTGAACATACACAATGAATGGAACACAATACTTCGCAGGGTTTCGTGAAGCAACCTAATTAATTAATGAACAATCAAAAAAAATTCAAACAGGTGGATGGGAAGCAATAAACACAACAGACCTGCCGTCTTCTCCGCACAGAATCAAATACAGAATTACAGATGATCGAATTGTGGTGACGATTAGAAACACACCCAATGGACGGCGGTCATTGCAAATAACAATAGGCCGTCGAAGTCTGACGCCACTGCTTCTCGACAATGGGTAGTTACTTGGCCAAGGGGTGACAAACAAAAGTCGCTTCACCTGCGCTTGTCGTGTTTCCAGTGGCAGCATGAACTGATCAGGGAGCACAGCATCATTTTAACTGGGAGCGCGCGGGTGAGATTATATTATTTTATTTCAACTAAGTTACTTGTCGCTGGGTTTGTAGTTTTCGCTTTCTAGAGGAGAAACTGAAGCTGACCTGTGTCTCTGTTATTTCTATCACCGCTACCGCTCATTTTTTTTGCTTCTGAGACCAGTCAACTCTGTGCTCGTTCCGGTGTCCAGCGGCCAGCGAAAAATCAAAACTCCTATATATGACCTCTTAGCTGCTGGTGAACAACCAGCAGGAAAACATTGCATGATGGCTTGACGGCGAAGGAGAAACTTCTCGAAGACAATTAACACAAATCATTTGAACTCGCGATCTTGCTTGAGCGCGAGCCGCAGTCAAAGTCATGCCGTGACCGTTGGAAACACGACAAGCGCAGGTGACGCGCGACTTGTCACCATTTGGCCTTGTAGCTATGTGTAACTACAAGTTTTCAGTCAGTATGACGTCAGCACTTGGACGACCTATAGAACATAGACAACTGGAGCATGTCCGACTAGGGAACACTATAATAATCTCAGTTCTTCAAATCAGCCGGCTGACATCCTACAAATTTGCCTTTGCATGCTACAAGTCCAGGAATAAATCTGCACCACTGTGAATAGGTCACAGAGGGAGTACATCCGAGTGCTGGGATCCGTACCATTGCACTCAGCATCCAGAAGAGTACAGCTATTGGAGTTTTTATTTTCACCCTGACGTACCGTAGACTTGCTCTTTGAAAGACTTGTCAGACACCGACGCAAATTGGGGCGCAGAAGAGAACCATACAAACAGCAAATAGAATCATGGTTCAAATAACCCAATATCTCTCCCGTCTACGAGGGAGATACAACGTGACCAGCTTCTGGCAGTGAGCAAGTACAAGTGTCGACGAGGAGACACTTTAAATAAGACAAGACGGTTGATTATTCTAATTAATCATCTGTCTACATCCACGAGCAGAAACCAGACGTATGCCTTCAGAAGGATTACGTCATAACACCACAGACTTTCCATAGCACCGTAACTGTGTGTTGCTTATCACTGTTGGTTTTGTCCACCGTTTCTCTTTCTCTCTATAGTTACACATGAGTTAATCACAATCTGCACCTGCATCTGGCGTCCCACGGAAGCGGAAAGGTGGTTCTTGACCAGGAAGTCGTACGACTCCTTGTTCTTGACCTTCCCGGTACGCGAACCCGTCGAATTTTTTAATGTTTTAATCTCACTCTAATGTCAACGCTAGATTTAGAATGTTCTCGCTCTGGTTTTTGTAAACGTCAACATAACCAAATTTTTAAAATTATTATTTTTAAAAATTTGGCGAAAGAGTAGTATTTCAACTGAAACTTGCCGGCAGGGTGCCCGGTACAGCGGTAGAACAAGCCTTTTTTTAATATACCCGGATATTCACCGGAGGACTCGGCATTCTTAGATCACCACTCAGTGATGTATTCAAACTGAAGATTGTCACAAGAAAAAGTTCTTAGAACCAACAGATTGTTGCTTGATGATGTGTAGATGCACGATTATTGAGAATGACCACATGGCTTATCTTACTATTAATCTGATTTCCATTGTACAAGTACAAGTACATGTACACACGTACAAACATGCACGTGCCTGCGTGAGTATGTGCGTGAGAGTACTCCTGCTTCTGCTCTGCTCAACACCCCCTATCATCCTGATCACGGATGGGCGCCCGAGGTTCAAGGCCCAAGGCGAGCACACACAATAACACACCGGCACGCACGTGTCCGGGCCAAAAAATGCTCTATGCTCTCGTCGTTCTTGGAAGGTTTTAAAAATGGAATACTTTTCTACACTTTTCTACAGACGTGACTAACCGTAGGAAGTGACTGATCATTGGCAATCTCCGCTTTCTGCTTCCAGAGTGCCACTTGCTTCCTCGCTACAGCATTCTGCTGTCCTTCGAGCTGCACGTGTACAGGTACCAATTCCCATTCACATGCGTATACCATACACATCCAAACACACACCATAAATACTCTCAAGGAAAAGGCATAAGTAAAGATGCAATTCAAAAATAGAGTCCCTAAAGATAGCTTGCATAGACCTCGGTCCTACCGGTGAGACCATCATACACAGACATGCTGCACGGCCTCTGTTCTAACATTGGCTTAAACGTTGACCCTAAACTCTTTCTAAGAGGCTAATGAAGGAGTCCACAAATTTTAGACGTGATTGTACAAGGCATACCATGGCAATAGCCCATGGTAACCATGGAAACGGAGTATGGATTTTTGCATTCCACAACCATGACAGGCTGAGAAAAACATTAGGACCTCATCACGATTTATGTGCCATGGTCAAAGTTCACTTTGGACAGAGTTTCTAGCGCTCCGACAGTAGCATGTGCGGCCATTTTGACAATTGATAAAATTGCACATATGCAATGCTCTGGACATAGTCTTGCATTTTGCACCATTACTTTGCCTTATAAAGACAATTGTTTTAAGAAAGTTCCCAACCAAAAGCACATTTGCAGCGCGATTTCTTGGATCCTACGAGACTAAACATATTTCGTTAATTCAGTTCAAGCTTGAGCTTATGCACGAAACCATTTGACAATTTGTATTCAACGCGAAGCAGATTCGTTTTTGGGTTTCGATTATCGCAGTGTGAGTGAGTGAATTAACTCCATGGTCACTAGAATGTTTAGACTTTGGTCTCATCTCTTACCTGGAAGGTACTGGCTTTGAACCAGCAGTTCGAGTTGTTGGGTATTTTGCACTCCGAATCACACCCGGCACAGTACGGATCGTGATGAGCACCGGATTCGCTGTAGAGTACACGCCACGGTGCATATCCGAGGTCCCGGCTTTCGCTGCTGTAGTCCTTCCACTCCTGTGCTTTGCATGCGCACACTGGCGGTAGTGGTAAACTGAACATCACTGGCTTGTCCAGTTTCGGGTTCTCCAGCTTACCCAACTCCTCCATGATATCCTTGCGGATATGCTGGCATATCGATGAGATCGGACGCAGCCAGTTAGAGGCGCTAGCAGCACAGTCAGGCGAGCACCGGAAGTTGATGCTGACCAGCATTGCACCTGACGAGTCGTAGTGAGCCAAGAAGATATCCACCTTGCCTGGGAACTGCTCACGGAGCTGCTCCGGCAGCCACAGCCGAAACCTGGCTGTGTTGTAGGTGAACTCACAGCGACTCCGGTCGGTATTTGTGATGTTCCACTTTCTCATGAGCCGTACGAGTAGCTTGAAGTAGGAGCTGTGTGGCATCGGTGTGTCCGCGTCGGGATACTTGTAGCTCAGGACGTCTTCATCAGGCTTGCCTGGTGGCTGAACCATGATCAGCAACGGTGTGTCAGCTGTGGAGAAGCAGACGTCGTTCGGCTCATTGTCCTGCTGGAAGCTGCGCAGGGCCTCCTCGATTTTCTTCGGCGGTCGACGGTGAAGAGCTGATGGGATGAAGTACTTTGCATGCGAGGCGTCTCCGAATTTGTACAGCAAATCCCAGTCGACCATCACATCCAGCATCTTGTTTCGAACTTCTTTTTCGACTGCTTTCCAGGCACACTCCATTAGTTGCCGGCGTGCTATACCCTTTGACCACAGATAGTCGCGCCACTCCGTTTCTGCTGTCCCTGCTTCCTTTGCCGTCCTGCCATCACCTCCGCCAGGATCAACCGGGTACATATGGCCAAAGACGAGGACGTTGATCTGCCTGATGAGCCACTGTGTGTTGTGGAAGATGATGTCATCAGGCTGCGGCGAGTTCTTGTCTGCCGGCCGATAGATGATGACACGTAGGTCGTTGTAGAACCGAAGAAGACGCTCGAACTCGGATGGAGCACCGTCCATGCCGAAGTCATCGCGGATCTTGCAGGCCTTCTCCACCAGTGTCTTCATCGAGTCTCGTGTTGTGTAGCCAGTGTGGGTGGGTTGTTTCTTTAGATACTCCATTATCATCTCAAAGCGAACCCATTCCGTCGGAATCTCCTTGTTTGCCAGCACCGATGAAACAGCATCCTGTAGCTTCTTTTGGATTCCTCGAACTTCTTGAGAAGCTCCGGACTCGTGGTTGTCCACAAGGAACAACCCTGCGGGATCAATGTAATCGCTCTCAAGCATACCCTGGAAAGTTGGTGACCGGCGGCAGAGCTTTCCCAGCTTCTTGAGGATATCAACCTTGTGCTCCGAAAGTGTCCTATCTTTCGACAGCTTATCGGCAAAGTTCCCCACCAATATCACAGGCGGGTAGTCAAACGCCTCGCTTTCCACAGCCTTGCCTGGGTTGCTGGCAAAGTGGATGGCTGTTAGCCAGTGCCGAATGTGGTCGATGTTCTCCAGCTCCTCCGGTACGTCCAGAGTCATTTCAGACAGTGTACTCCCTGACCACTTCCAGTAGTTCTGCTGTTTGGTGAGCTGGAAGTTCTCCGAGGCGTTGAAACAGAGAATATAGATGACGTAATCTTTACCCATCAGGAAATGCTGCAGGCTTGAGAAGATTGATTGGCCGCCGCAATCCCAAATGGACACCACCACTTCTTCTTCGCCAATGTCTCGCATCAGCTCTTGGTTCTCCAAGATGACATCGATGAGGCTCTGTGTCAATTCAGCTGAGCTGGGTGCTGCTTCTGGACCTTTGCCAAGTTTTAACGTTTGCTTGGACGCCTGCTTATGTCCTGACGATGCAGAGCTCCCCTCCGCGTTTGCCGGTGTTTGGGCAGTACGATGGGGTGCTGCTGCTCTTGGACGTGGTGAGTGTTCTGCTGGTGATGCTGCCTCTTGCGTCGCTGTTCCCGTACGCTGGAGGCCAGTAGACCCAGCTCGCTTCGGGATTTTTGGGATTGCCGCTTCTTGTTCCCGTTGCCGTTGCTGGTGTTTCTTCTCAAGATCTTTAGCCTGGACAAGGATGTCCGGAGTATAGAGGAATGCAGCATTGAACTTCCAATCTGTCAGGTTTCCTGATCCGTGGAGCACATTGCCATGATCAACAGCAAGTGCCGGTGTACTTGCCCTCTTGTCCACGAACTGCTTGTTCTTGAGCGAATCCGCCAGGCTCGTCTTGCCGGTTCCAAACTGACCGCAGAGGCTGATGCGGATACGGCGTACTCTGGTCAAACCGCTGCTCAGTGTCATATTCGTAGCTTCATGCATGGCCTTGTTGGACAGACCCGCACCTCGTTTCGCTGTAAGTCATCATCAACAACAACAACGATATGCACACACACGCATGAACATACACATGCATACCGGCATATACAAGAACGCTCAGACGCACACATACACAAACACATGCATGAACGAACACAAGCATATACAAAAACATGTAAGCAAAGTGTGTGACCAAAATCCGTGTCAAGTGTTTCGAGGCATTTGTATTTTGTATTCATGGATTCTCCACAGGCCTTTGCCTCACATAAGGGGAGGGGATTCAGGCATACCATCAACCCCATTCCATATTGTGTGCGAAATACCCTGAACATTCCAGGAAAGGCAAAACAATAAATGTTTCGAAAGTTCAGCCGGAAGTCAACTGCCTGAAAAGAGAAAAAAATGCTAACCCACCAGGACTTGGGACCTTGCTTTTCATGAGCAATGCTCTAACAAACTGAGCTACGGTACCAGGCTGAACCTAGAAGGGGCTGACAAGCACTTCACTCCAAAGGCAGCTCACAACACGTGCCACACATATATATATATGACATTGCACTGCTTGCAGTTGGGTCTTTTCCCCGTCCCCAGTTAGAGCATGGCTCATGACTAGCAAGGTACCGGCTGAAAGTCGTGGGGGGGGGGGGGGGGGGGTGGCATTTTTCTTTCTTTCTCTCTCCATTGTTTTTCTAACCCACCAGGACTCGAGACCTTGCTTTTCATGAGCAATGCTCTAACAAACTGAGCTACGGGACCAGGATGAACCTAGAAGGGGCTGACAAGCACTTCACTCCCCAGGCAACTCACAACACGTGCCACACATACATTGCACTGATTGCAGTTGGGTCGTTTCCCCGTCTCCCAGTTAGAGCATGGCTCATGACAAGCAAGGTACCGGCTGACATTTGTGGGGGGGGGGGGGGGGGGGGGGTGGGGGGGGGGGGGTGGGGGGAGGGGGGGGGGCATTTTTTTTCTTTCTCTCCCTCCATATTTTCTTTCTCCTTTCAGAAAAATTCACTTCCCCGTCAGATATTTTGAATTTTGAACTTCTCTCAATCCTATTATATTTATTTTAAAAAATGTTGGCATAATAATAATGTTCTTCTTCGAAGCAGACGAGACCATACACTGCTAGCAAACATGAGCATGAACAGTGCACCAGCCACACTCCATGATAGCAAGTAGTGTACTGTTCGCGCTGGTGTCAGCAAGCTTCGCTTGGTCTGGTCTGGGCCAAAGAAGAACATTATAGTACAATTAATGGGCCGACCAGATGAAGAGGGCATCCACGAAGGAAAGAAATCGTTGTTTGCAGGTTTCGGCACTGTTTGCTGTGAAACTCTTGGCAATGGAGTGCAAGCTGCCAGGATAAGGGGGGGGGGGGGGGGAGGGCAAAGCCTTACGCGGAGAAACAGGGTGAAGTACATCAATAATGTAACCATGCTAAACCAAGCATACACACACAGGCAGAAACAGTCACTCACCTGCAGATGAGTCTGTAGCCGTGCGACCCTTTTCAGGCGGAGTGGCAGAACCCTCATTGGGCTTGCTAGGCGACGACGTTGCTACGGCAGCAGGTGCAGCAGCAGCAGCAGACGCCGCAGCAGCAGGGGCAGACGCCGCAGCAGCAGCAGCAGCAGACGCCGCAGCAGCAGGGGCAGCAGTTATGGAAGTCACAGCAGCGGTGGCAGCAGGAGTGGGAGCTGTGGGAGGCATGGCGTCGGGAACAGCTGCCGCGGCAGGAGTACCTAGAGAGGAGGCTGGGATGTAGCCTGGATAGCAGAATAGCAGAGCATAAACATCACTCGTCTGGTTACATTTCCTAGTTGAGGGAATAGAAAAGGGAAATATCGGAAGAATATATGAGGACTGTCACCACCATGACTCGAACCAGGGACCTTTGCTTGAGGTAAGCCAGGCTCTAACCATTGAGTTTTGGTGTAGCTATCATTCCAGCAGAGACTGTTCAACATTTTCTTCAGACTTCGAACTATACGCGGTGATTTCCTCCGCTGCTCTCATCCAGTACATCATGCATGCAATTCCACACTGCTGAGTCTCCATTTGACCGTCATCAGCAGAGGAGAAAATAACAACACCAGAACTCTGTACACTGTGAGTACAGTGCAGTGCTCAATGAAATCCAACCTCATGAATAAAATAGCGCCGGGTGCTACGCAGCCCTCAGTAGTACTACATGTACAAACATTGGTCTGTGCACTCGAACACGGCGCTACTTTATTCATGAGGTTGGATTTCTCTGGCCAGCACTGTAAATGCTGTTCTGTGTCAGCCAACAGTTTTCTTATCCTTATTATACTTCGAAGTAAAAGTTTCAGTCTCCTCGCCGCATCCATATTTGTCGAGTATCCTACTCAAAAAAGATTACATACTCGCACTGCCATCGCAGGCTACACAACATGTTTTTCTCTTCAGAATTGGCGGCTGGCAGCACATTGCAGAGATCACTGACCATCATGTTGCATGAACTGTGGCAATACACCTAGTGAGAAGGCAGATATTGCCTGTGCCTATTGTGAAATAGAGTACAAGTGCAGTAAAACCTGTAACAAAAGACCACCGTGACTAGCGACCAGCCTGGTACTACAGTAAAACCTGTAACTAAAGACCACCGTGACTAGCGACCAGCCTGGTACTACAGTAAAACCTGTAACTAAAGACCACCGTGACTAGCGACCAGCCTGGTACTACAGTAAAACCTGTAACTAAAGACCACCGTGACTAGCGACCAGCCTGGTACTACAGTAAAACCTGTAACTAAAGACCACCGTGACTAGCGACCAGCCTGGTACTACAGTAAAACCTGTAACTAAAGACCACCGTGACTAGCGACCAGCCTGGTACTACAGTAAAACCTGTAACTAAAGACCACCGTGACTAGCGACCAGCCTGGTACTACAGTAAAACCTGTAACTAAAGACCACCGTGACTAGCGACCAGCCTGGTACTACAGTAAAACCTGTAACTAAAGACCACCGTGACTAGCGACCAGCCTGGTACTACAGTAAAACCTGTAACTAAAGACCACCGTGACTAGCGACCAGCCTGGTACTACAGTAAAACCTGTAACTAAAGACCACCGTGACTAGCGACCAGCCTGGTACTACAGTAAAACCTGTAACTAAAGACCACCGTGACTAGCGACCAGCCTGGTACTACAGTAAAACCTGTAACTAAAGACCACCGTGACTAGCGACCAGCCTGGTACTACAGTAAAACCTGTAACTAAAGACCACCGTGACTAGCGACCAGCCTGGTACTACAGTAAAACCTGTAACTAAAGACCACCGTGACTAGCGACCAGCCTGGTACTACAGTAAAACCTGTAACTAAAGACCACCGTGACTAGCGACCAGCCTGGTACTACAGTAAAACCTGTAACTAAAGATCACCGTGACTAGCGACCAGCCTGGTACTACAGTAAAACCTGTAACTAAAGACCACCGTGACTAGCGACCAGCCTGGTACTACAGTAAAACCTGTAACTAAAGACCACCGTGACTAGCGACCAGCCTGGTACTACAGTAAAACCTGTAACTAAAGACCACCGTGACTAGCGACCAGCCTGGTACTACAGTAAAACCTGTAACTAAAGACCACCGTGACTAGCGACCAGCCTGGTACTACAGTAAAACCTGTAACAAAAGACCACCGTGACTAGCGACCAGCCTGGTACTACAGTAAAACCTGTAACTAAAGACCACCGTGACTAGCGACCAGCCTGGTACTACATTTTCAAGCCCAACCGGCACTAGGCCGGTCTGGAGGTAGGCATAACAGGCCCCTTGATGTGACAATGTCGTCTGAGGAGTCACCCACCGCACCAGCAGATGTAGACCTTGCTGTGATGGACAATCAGGAGATCCGGCATCTCGCCAAGAGTCACAGACTGGAACACTCGGGACTTTCCCGTACCCAGATAGTCAAGCTTCTTCGCGACAACGGTATTGGTTCGTCGACAAACTCAGCAGGTCAGTCTGACAAGGTGCGCGATGTTGTTCAGCAGGCATTGGCCGATATTGCAAAAAATGTTAAAGAATTGGCCGCCAAGGTAGCCCTAATTTCTGCCTTGCAGTTGGAGGTGTCGTCCCTTCGAGGAGAATTGGCGGCTCTCAAAGAAAGGAACTCTGATCATGACCCTGTACAAACTAGCACACCTGAACCTCAACCCGTACGTGTACAACCGCCTGCTGACAGCGTCAGGTTGTACAGCGCGGCGGCACGTGCACAGTCGTCACAGGTGCGAGCACGGGATAACACATGGGGAGGCCCCAGCCAGCAGGCCAGTACTACACGACCCCAAACAAGTCACCCAGGCACTCAGGTCACGTCGTACTATGAAAACCGGCCCAAGCGCTCTGATCAACTACAGGGAGGATCCCGCACAAAATGTTGCGCTTTGTATGTGGGCAATGTCAATAGTGGGTGCACATCAGAATCGATCGCCAAATGGTGTGAACGCCGAAATATACCTGTCATCAAGTGCTCCGTGTCTGAGACAAAGTACTTCGGGTTGGCCTTTGCTCACGTAATTCTGCCAATACAACACAAAGCTACTGTTCTGGAACCGGAATTCTGGCCTTCAAACGTCAGAGTTAGAGAATGGCGCTTCAAGGCTGACAGTGTAGCAACTGGTCGAGCTGCAGAGGAGCACTAAATGTTCTGTTTAAATCCTCACGCAGCCCCCTTTCAACCCTTGAACCCTCATGCACCTATCTTTCAGCCACGAAATAGTTGCCCCACTGTAAACCCCCTACAGCATGAATCAATTAAAAGTAACCTCAAAATAGGATTCCTAAATGTTTGCCATCTTCTCAATAAAAAGCATGAAATTGAAGATTATATTCTTTCCCATAAAGTTGATATAATGATGCTGGCAGAGACTTTCTTAACAACCTCCGTTTCCGATGACATCCTACGCATACAGAATTACACCCTGGTCAGACGCGACAGGCCAACTCATGGCGGAGGCTTAGCAGCTTATGTAAGAGATCATCTCCGAGCCCGAATTGTGAAGGCTGACACCCAGGTGGAAATGCTCATGTTAGAGGTCAGTGGGCAGCGTTCCAAGGTTCTCCTTGGTGGTGTGTACCGTCCTCCAGGCACTCCTGTGCAATTCTGGCAAGACTTGACGAATGCACTAGACACTGTCATCTCCACACTTCCCACATCACCTCTGGTCCTTGTTGGAGACTTCAATGTCGATGTAAGCTCCCGCGACAGCCCCCAGCTAAACAGCTTGCTGCACCTGTGTAATTCTTTCGACATCAAGAACCAAGTGGACTGTCCTACCAGAATTGGACCCCAAGGCAGCCAAACAACCCTGGATCTCGCTCTGGTCGGAGACGATCATGTGAACTCTTGTGTCGTAGTACCTTGTACAATCAGTGACCACTTCGCTCTGGCACTTGATTTGCGACTCACAACGTCCTGCACACCGACCGTGCGACGTGGCCGTAACATTGCAAGAATTGATATGGGTCAATTTGCACACCACCTTCTAAATAGCGATCTAGAGAACTTCTGCTTTGCGCGGACAGAAGATGAAATGTGGGATATGTGGCTGGAGAAACTTGTCGCGGCCTTGAACACTCATGCTCCTATCCGTCTACACCGCCCAAGAGCTCCTACCCGGAAATCCTTCCCCTGGAAGACGCCAGCTCTACATGACCTAGTCCAGCGACGTGACGCGGCCCATCGACGGTGGAAAGCATCACCTGCAGACCCGGCACTACGCAATGTCTTCACTTCTGCCCGAGACGAAGCCAAGCGTATGTCACGACATCTCCGAGCCACCTACTTTAGGGACCTTCTTGCTGCTAGTCAGGCCAACGCACGAAAAACCTGGCAGACCATCAACTACCTCAGCGGTCGTAACAAGTCCTCAGTTCCACCAGCCGTCAGTGTCTCACAGCTCAGTGACCAATTCAGCGGTGTTGTGTCAGACCCAACTAGACCACTACGTCTCTCAGCCCCATTGGGTCCCACGAAGAAGGAATGCCTCGAAGAATTTGCTCCAGCAAGTGTGCAAGAGATTGCTAAGCTGCTCTCCAACATCGACGTGCGCAAAGCTGCAGGCAGCGACCAGGTTCCAGCTGCAATCCTCAAACACTGTTCTCCTGTCCTTGCACCGTCCCTTACCATACTAATCAATGCATCTCTGGCTTCTGGTGTTGTTCCTGCATCTCTGAAGATTGCGGATGTTCGTCCCCTCTTCAAGTCAGGCGACAAAGCTGTCGCTAAGAACTATAGACCAATATCGTTATTACCAATAGTTTCCAAAGTCCTAGAACGGGTAGTCCACACGAGACTCTGTAAGTTCCTCTCCGGAAATTCCTTGTTCCCCGCAAACCAGTTCGCATATCGCCCACTTCACTCCACAGAAGATGCCCTGACATTGGCTGTAGACAGATACTTGGAGGCAGCGGATCAGCAGCGCCATACAGGTCTTGTACTTGTCGATATGAGCAAGGCCTTCGATAAGGTCAAACACCAAATTTTGGTTACAGATCTATTTCAGCTTGGCATTACCTCAACGGCTCTCAGTTGGTTCATGAGCTACCTAACTGACCGGCGTCAGCGAGTCGTCCTGAGCAATGGCCAGTCGTCCGCCCTCTCTCCCTGTGAGTGTGGTGTTCCTCAGGGAAGTGTGCTGGGTCCTCTTTTGTTCTCCATCTACACAATGGAAATAGAACAGATCACAGCTCCAGCCCACTCACAGCTGTTTGCTGATGATATCCTGCTAGACGCCATCAGTCAATCCGTCGAATTCTTGAATTTAACCCTCTCCCGTTCAGTCTCCAACCTGGCCAACTTTCTGGAAGAAAGAGGCTTAATACTAAATCCCTCCAAAACCCACGTTCTAGCCCTTCATGCGTCTCGCAGGCAGCCCTTGTTACTTAACATAGAATGCAATGGAAATCCCCTAGCTCAGACCACAAATGCTCGATATCTAGGTCTACATCTCGACACCCAGCTTCGGTGGGAGACTCAAGTTGCAACTATTACACGGAAGACCTCCCAGAAACTGACGGCGCTGCGAGCCATTCGCTCCTGCTTAACTGAGCAACAAGCCCTACTATTTTACAGATCGTTAATACTACCGGACATGTTGTATGGATCTAATGCCTTCTTCTCGGTTCTCTCTGCGCACCAACGGCATCAGCTTTCGGTCCTCGACAAGCGATGTATCCGCTGCGTTGCCAACCAGCCATTCCCCTCCCACACAGATCCCATCTACACCCGTCTAGGCCTCATCCCCATCATCCAAAACGCCCACTGTAAACTCCGCCTCCTCATGCTTCGTATCCACACCGCCAGAATTAGTAATCTCCTGTCCAAGCGCCTACGTCGCCAGACTGAAGGCGTCACTCGGATCAACGATCCAAATGCGTATGTTGTCCCTGCCACCAGGCGAGTCTCTGGTGACTGTCGGCCGCTCGTTTCTGCTGTTAAATTATGGAACGCCCTGCCCCAAGAGTTCAAGTCCCTCGCCTGCCATAGATCATTCAAGAGACTTTTAAAGGTTTATTTTTATGGTTAGCCAGCATCTAGGCTTGGACTTGGAGTCGTGACTCAACTGTGACTCAACTGTGCTTTCTTCTTCTTTCTTTTTCTTTTTTTTCCCCTTCTCTTTTTTCTTTTTGAGTATTTGCAGTCTGTGTTTTCTGTGTTTTTCTCTCTTTCGTGGAGGCTTGCTTGTTGTATCCTTGGCTCTCGGCCGTTACTTTATCGCCATCATAATATTGGGCACCATTGCCCGTTTGGTCTGCGATACAAAATAAAATTTCAACAACAACAACAACAGTAAAACCTGTAACTAAAGACCACCGTGACTAGCGACCAGCCTGGTACTACAGTAAAACCTGTAACTAAAGACCACCGTGACTAGCGACCAGCCTGGTACTACAGTAAAACCTGTAACTAAAGACCACCGTGACTAGCGACCAGCCTGGTACTACAGTAAAACCTGTAACTAAAGACCACCGTGACTAGCGACCAGCCTGGTACTACAGTAAAACCTGTAACTAAAGACCACCGTGACTAGCGACCAGCCTGGTACTACAGTAAAACCTGTAACTAAAGACCACCGTGACTAGCGACCAGCCTGGTACTACAGTAAAACCTGTAACTAAAGACCACCGTGACTAGCGACCAGCCTGGTACTACAGTAAAACCTGTAACTAAAGACCACCGTGACTAGCGACCAGCCTGGTACTACAGTAAAACCTGTAACTAAAGACCACCGTGACTAGCGACCAGCCTGGTACTACAGTAAAACCTGTAACTAAAGACCACCGTGACTAGCGACCAGCCTGGTACTACAGTAAAACCTGTAACTAAAGACCACCGTGACTAGCGACCAGCCTGGTACTACAGTAAAACCTGTAACTAAAGACCACCGTGACTAGCGACCAGCCTGGTACTACAGTAAAACCTGTAACTAAAGACCACCGTGACTAGCGACCAGCCTGGTACTACAGTAAAACCTGTAACTAAAGACCACCGTGACTAGCGACCAGGCTGGTACTACAGTAAAACCTGTAACTAAAGACCACCGTGACTAGCGACCAGCCTGGTACTACAGCAAAACCTGTAACTAAAGACCACCGTGACTAGCGACCAGCCTGGTACTACAGTAAAACCTGTAACTAAAGACCACCGTGACTAGCGACCAGCCTGGTACTACAGTAAAACCTGTAACAAAAGACCACCGTGACTAGCGACCAGCCTGGTACTACAGTAAAACCTGTAACTAAAGACCACCGTGACTAGCGACCAGCCTGGTACTACAGTAAAACCTGTAACTAAAGACCACCGTGACTAGCGACCAGCCTGGTACTACAGTAAAACCTGTAACAAAAGACCACCGTGACTAGCGACCAGCCTGGTACTACAGTAAAACCTGTAACAAAAGACCACCGTGACTAGCGACCAGCCTGGTACTACAGTAAAACCTGTAACTAAAGACCACCGTGACTAGCGACCAGCCTGGTACTACAGTAAAACCTGTAACAAAAGACCACCGTGACTAGCGACCAGCCTGGTACTACAGTAAAACCTGTAACTAAAGACCACCGTGACTAGCGACCAGCCTGGTACTACAGTAAAACCTGTAACTAAAGACCACCGTGACTAGCGACCAGCCTGGTACTACAGTAAAACCTGTAACTAAAGACCACCGTGACTAGCAACCAGCCTGGTACTACAGTAAAACCTGTAACTAAAGACCACCGTGACTAGCGACCAGCCTGGTACTACAGTAAAACCTGTAACTAAAGACCACCGTGACTAGCGACCAGCCTGGTACTACAGTAAAACCTGTAACAAAAGACCACCGTGACTAGCGACCAGCCTGGTACTACAGTAAAACCTGTAACAAAAGACCACCGTGACTAGCGACCAGCCTGGTACTACAGTAAAACCTGTAACTAAAGACCACCGTGACTAGCGACCAGCCTGGTACTACAGTAAAACCTGTAACAAAAGACCACCGTGACTAGCGACCAGCCTGGTACTACAGTAAAACCTGTAACTAAAGACCACCGTGACTAGCGACCAGCCTGGTACTACAGTAAAACCTGTAACAAAAGACCACCGTGACTAGCGACCAGCCTGGTACTACAGTAAAACCTGTAACAAAAGACCACCGTGACTAGCGACCAGCCTGGTACTACAGTAAAACCTGTAACTAAAGACCACCGTGACTAGCGACCAGCCTGGTACTACAGTAAAACCTGTAACTAAAGACCACCGTGACTAGCGACCAGCCTGGTACTACAGACCACTTCGCCAGGCACGGTCTCACATTCATATCTGGTTGTGCGGTGCAAGCCTCTAACTAAGGACCACCTGCCACTGAAGACAGCTTTCTCCGGCCCCCAAGGGGTGGTCGTTAGTCAAATGTTTCACTGTGTAGCTAAACAAATAAACAGACAGCTACAGCATGCTCTACGTACCAAGTGCAGATTGCAGCTCTCGCACTGCTGTTCTCATTTGAGGATTGTCCGCCCACTGTCCGTCCTCACCCTCAACACAGGCGGCAAGTGCAGCGTCTGCTCGTTCATGCACGACTTCGGCTGACACTCCCTGGCGACGCGCATGTCGTAAGGCATCTAAACACATACAAAGTAAAGGAAAATAATACACTTTCATGTATTCGTATGCTTGGTGTTTCTTCGGCGTTGGTCGCAAGGTTGGAAGCGTGCAGTTTGAAAGTATGATAAAGACTGTGTCATTCTTCGCGAGCTGTTGTCATATGTGAGGTTGTAATTCAACTGGTTTACTGCACAATATTTTCGAAATGCGCCTTTCAAATACTGATTGTGAGGGATGACCACAAAAGAAAACAGGCTTTTCAAAATAACAGGGCTGTGATTGCCAAGCAACGAGTAATCCTAAGATTGGGTGCAGGAAATTGGGTGCAGGAAATGAGGTACAACAACACCTTCCAAACATGGACACAACAGGGATCTAAAACGTGTCTGGGCTACAGAGGTGTCTGATACCATAATTATCTGCAAGCTTGAATGAAACCCGTTCTGATACAATAAATATAATATATTATTTATTGTATCAGAACGGGTTTCATTCAAGATTGCACTTTGCTGATAAAATAGGTACACTAGGCATGTATATACAGTAGAGTGACGATTTTCCGCACCCCTCGGAGCACGGGCTGTCTGCCGATTTTCCGCACCCCTCGGAGCACGGGCTGTCTGCCGATTTTCCGCACCCCTCGGAGCACGGGCTGTCTGCCGATTTTCCGCACCCCTCGGAGCACGGGCTGTCTGCCGATGTTCCGCACCCCTCGGAGCACGGGCTGTCTGCCGATTTTCCGCACCCCTCGGAGCACGGGCTGTCTGCCGATTTTTCGCACCTCTCGGAGCACGGGCTGTCTGCCGATTTTCCGCACCCCTCGGAGCACGGGCTGTCTGCCGATTTTCCGCACCCCTCGGAGCACGGGCTGTCTGCCGATTTTCCGCACCCCTCGGAGCACGGGCTGTCTGCCGATTTTCCGCACCCCTCGGAGCACGGGCTGTCTGCCGATTTTTCGCACCTCTCGGAGCACGGGCTGTCTGCCGATTTTCCGCACCCCTCGGAGCACGGGCTGTCTGCCGATTTTCCGCACCCCTCGGAGCACGGGCTGTCTGCCGATTTTTCGCACCCCTCGGAGCACGGGCTGTCTGCCGATTTTCCGCACCCCTCGGAGCACGGGCTGTCTGCCGATGTTCGCACCCCTCGGAGCACGGGCTGTCTGCCGATGTTCGCACCCCTCGGAGCACGGGCTGTCTGCCGATGTTCCGCACCCCTCGGAGCACTGGCTGTCTGCAGATTTTCCGCACCCCTCGGAGCACGGGCTGTCTGCCGATTTTCCGCACCCCTCGGAGCACGGGCTGTCTGCCGATTTTCCGCACCCCTCGGAGCACGGCTGTCTGCCGATTTTTCGCACCCCTCGGAGCACGGGCTGTCTGCCGATTTTCCGCACCCCTCGGAGCACGGGCTGTCTGCCGATGTTCGCACCCCTCGGAGCACGGGCTGTCTGCCGATGTTTGCACCCCTCGGAGCACGGGCTGTCTGCCGATGTTCCGCACCCCTCGGAGCACGGGCTGTCTGCCGATGTTCCGCACCCCTCGGAGCACGGGCTGTCTGCCGATTTTCCGCACCCCTCGGAGCACGGGCTGTCTGCCGATTTTCCGCACCCCTCGGAGCACGGGCTGTCTGCCGATTTTCCGCATCCCTCGGAGCACGGGCTGTCTGCCGATTTTCCGCACCCCTCGGAGCACGGGCTGTCTGCCGATTTTCCGCACCCCTCGGAGCACGGGCTGTCTGCCGATGTTCTGCACCCCTCGGAGCTCGGGCTGTCTGCCGATGTTCTGCACCCCTCGGAACACGGGCTGTCTGCCGATTTTCCGCACCCCTCGGAGCACGGGCTGTCTGCCGATTTTCCGCACCCCTCGGAGCACGGGCTGTCTGCCGATTTTCCGCACCCCTCGGAGCACGGGCTGTCTGCCGATTTTCCACACCCCTCGGAGCACGGGCTGTCTGCCAATTTTCCGCACCCCTCGGAGCACGGGCTGTCTGCCGATTTTCCGCACCCCTCGGAGCACGGGCTGTCTGCCGATGTTCTGCACCCCTCGGAGCACGGGCTGTCTGCCGATTTTTCGCACCCCTCGGAGCACGGGCTGTCTGCCGATTTTCCGCACCCCTCGGAGCACGGGCTGTCTGCCGATTTTCCGCACCCCTCGGAGCACGGGCTGTCTACCGATTTTCCGCACCCCTCGGAGCACGGGCTGTCTGCCGATTTTCCGCACCCCTCGGAGCACGGGCTGTCTGCCGATTTTCCGCATCCCTCGGAGCACGGGCTGTCTGCCGATTTTCCGCACCCCTCGGAGCACGGGCTGTCTGCCGATTTTCCGCACCCCTCGGAGCACGGGCTGTCTGCCGATGTTCCGCACCCCTCGGAGCTCGGGCTGTCTGCCGATGTTCCGCACCCCTCGGAACACGGGCTGTCTGCCGATTTTCCGCACCCCTCGGAGCACGGGCTGTCTGCCGATTTTCCGCACCCCTCGGAGCACGGGCTGTCTGCCGATTTTCCGCACCCCTCGGAGCACGGGCTGTCTGCCGATTTTCAACACCCCTCGGAGCACGGGCTGTCTGCCAATTTTCCGCACCCCTCGGAGCACGGGCTGTCTGCCGATTTTCCGCACCCCTCGGAGCACAGGCTGTCTGCCGATGTTCCGCACCCCTCGGAGCACGGGCTGTCTGCCGATTTTTTGCACCCCTCGGAGCACGGGCTGTCTGCCGATTTTCCGCACCCCTCGGAGCACGGGCTGTCTGCCGATTTTCCGCACCCCTCGGAGCACGGGCTGTCTGCCGATTTTCCGCACCCTCGGAGCACGGGCTGTCTGCCGATGTTTGCACCCCTCGGAGCACGGGCTGTCTGCCGATGTTCCGCACCCCTCGGAGCACGGGCTGTCTGCCGATTTTCCGCACCCCTCGGAGCACGGGCTGTCTGCCGATTTTCCGCACCCCTCGGAGCACGGGCTGTCTGCCGATTTTCCGCACCCCTCGGAGCACGGGCTGTCTGCCGATTTTCCGCACCCCTCGGAGCACGGGCTGTCTGCCGATTTTTCGCACCTCTCGGAGCACGGGCTGTCTGCCGATTTTCCGCACCCCTCGGAGCACGGGCTGTCTGCCGATTTTCCGCACCCCTCGGAGCACGGGCTGTCTGCCGATTTTTCGCACCCCTCGGAGCACGGGCTGTCTGCCGATTTTCCGCACCCCTCGGAGCACGGGCTGTCTGCCGATGTTCGCACCCCTCGGAGCACGGGCTGTCTGCCGATGTTCGCACCCCTCGGAGCACGGGCTGTCTGCCGATGTTCCGCACCCCTCGGAGCACTGGCTGTCTGCAGATTTTCCGCACCCCTCGGAGCACGGGCTGTCTGCCGATTTTCCGCACCCCTCGGAGCACGGGCTGTCTGCCGATTTTCCGCACCCCTCGGAGCACGGGCTGTCTGCCGATTTTCCGCACCCCTCGGAGCACGGGCTGTCTGCCGATTTTTCGCACCCCTCGGAGCACGGGCTGTCTGCCGATTTTCCGCACCCCTCGGAGCACGGGCTGTCTGCCGATGTTCGCACCCCTCGGAGCACGGGCTGTCTGCCGATGTTTGCACACCTCGGAGCACGGGCTGTCTGCCGATGTTCCGCACCCCTCGGAGCACGGGCTGTCTGCCGATGTTCCGCACCCCTCGGAGCACGGGCTGTCTGCCGATTTTCCGCAGCCCTCGGAGCACGGGCTGTCTGCCGATTTTCCGCACCCCTCGGAGCACGGGCTGTCTGCCGATTTTCCGCATCCCTCGGAGCACGGGCTGTCTGCCGATTTTCCGCACCCCTCGGAGCACGGGCTGTCTGCCGATGTTCCGCACCCCTCGGAGCTCGGGCTGTCTGCCGATGTTCCGCACCCCTCGGAGCACGGGCTGTCTGCCGATTTTCCGCACCCCTCGGAGCACGGGCTGTCTGCCGATTTTCCGCACCCCTCGGAGCACGGGCTGTCTGCCGATTTTTCGCACCCCTCGGAGCACGGGCTGTCTGCCGATTTTCCGCACCCCTCGGAGCACGGGCTGTCTGCCGATTTTCCGCACCCCTCGGAGCACGGGCTGTCTGCCGATGTTCCGCACCCCTCGGAGCACGGGCTGTCTGCCGATGTTCCGCACCCCTCGGAGCACGGGCTGTCTGCCGATTTTTCGCACCCCTCGGAGCACGGGCTGTCTGCCGATTTTCCGCACCCCTCCGAGCACGGGCTGTCTGCCGATTTTCCGCACCCCTCGGAGCACGGGCTGTCTGCCGATGTTCCGCACCCCTCGGAGCACGGGCTGTCTGCCGATGTTCCGCACCCCTCGGAGCACGGGCTGTCTGCCGATTTTCCGCACCCCTCGGAGCACGGGCTGTCTGCCGATTTTCCGCACCCCTCGGAGCACGGGCTGTCTGCCGATTTTCCGCACCCCTCGGAGCACGGGCTGTCTGCCGATTTTCCGCACCCCTCGGAGCACGGGCTGTCTGCCGATTTTCCGCACCCCTCGGAGCACGGGCTGTTTCCAGTGGGATCTGAGAAGTATTTACTGGTACAGTCATTCAGAGGCAAAGAGAGCACGCATACATGTTTGTAACGTGCCATTAATAACTAAGAATTCAGGCCATAGCAGTGCTGTTAAAGCTACAACCCACAAGGCATACTTCCTGCACGTCCACGCAAAAATGGGTTGCGAGGAAATGAGCAATGGCAGTGCAATCTAACAGGCTGAGTTTCACAAGAAAAAAATTCAGGAAAAGACCTGAGAGAAGAATGAACAATGCACATTACAAGATAACGTACCTTGATACTGGCAGTGCTCTAGACAAGCTCCTAACAAATCAGCTAGGCAACGAAGCGCTAACTCATCATCTTTCGCAGGAGGCCGTATGGGTGCAGCAGTAGCAGCCGGAGAAGCTTCAGATGACGATGGTGTCGATATCTCCAATGTTGCGCTTGTCATCGCATGCTGCTCACAATGCGATGCGATCCCGGGATCGACTTTACGTAAAGCCGACAGGAACACCTCTGCACTCTCCTCCGCTGACTCGGTCTTCCATACGCTTACAAGAGTATCCAGGTACAAGTCGTCCGTCAACTCCCTGCCTCGTGGCAGAGCATTGTCGACACGCTGACGACCACGTCCTTGCCCGGCGGTGCCAACCAGCAGATGATCGGCGAGCTCTTTCATCTTTTCAAACGACAGCACCGATTTCAGCATGGCATGGACACGGTCCACGTCATTACTTTGCTTGGTTGACTGAGAACGGCTCACAATGTCGTCTAGCAGGCGTGTATCAATCTGTCTGCATGCACGTTGTGTACGGTCGTCATCGCAGATTATCCGCCACAGATGCTCCATGATGGCGACTGCTGGCTTTGGCAGTGCGAGCGCAATCAGGAAATGCCAGAACATGGTCATGTGACCGCTGTAATGGCCGACTCTCCTCACCAGCCACGCAGCGTCGTTCTCGTCGTTCAGCATCTCGCTAGACACGTACCAGGCCGCCAAGAACTCCTGAATGGACAAATGAGCAAATCGATATTGCCGGTCTTCTGTTGAGCTGGTGCTCTTGCACGCAATAAGCAATCCTAATTCAATTGCAGCTGCGCTTAGTTGTGCCGATATGAAATCCTCCTCGTTGAACACCATCTTTTGCTGAGCTAGCATAGCTAGTGCAAAACCAGATAGCTCCTTCAACTCGTCCGTCTTGATGGCAGAAAGCGTCTTGTAGCGCCTGCCCGCACGTCGTTCCATGACACGGCGGACAAGCGACTCGTACAGTCCTGTACTGGATGTAAGCAATTTACTACCTCCTCGGTCGTCCATGAACAATTCACAGGCCAGCGCAGCAAACAGAGGTGTGCCCATTAGCGACATTGTGCCCTGTTGTGAGCGGAGCTTCTCCAGCATAGCCTCGCCTTTCACACCGCCCACCACTTTCTTCACGTACGATTCAACGTTGTCTGGTGAGAATCCAACCACCTCCACTTGCTGTTGATACTCTCCACATTGCGACAGGGTACGAGCATCAGTACATGGTCGAGACGTCACCACTACATGCATATCACCACTACGCCTTCTCAACAGTAGATCACGCATGTATTCACTGCAGTTCTCCAACTTGCACTCATCCAGCCCGTCCAGCACAATGCAAAGACGGGACTGGTTGCTGCGAAAGAACTCTGCCATCTCTACCAGCTCATCTGTCGCCACACCCAGACTGGAGAATCGACGTGCCAGCAAGTCGTACAAGTTCGTAGCAGCTTGCACCCCGGCACGCCGTAATTCCACTGCCAATACCAGATCAAACTTTCCATGCCACAGCTCACCTTTAGACCAGAGGTATTCCAGCTGGAACAGAAAGATCGTGGATTTTCCACAGCCATAGTTTCCCAACGCTAGTACATTCTTCTTGTTCGCTTCCACGGGTTCTTTGGCACGCGCCAGTAAACCCGAATCAGCTACCTCATGGGCACAGCCCGGGTTTGTCGCGGCCCCTTGATTGCAAGACCGCTCCGCGGAGCTGGTAGCGGAGAAAAGATCTTCCAGTTCAATGCCACACTCGGCCGTAGAGACCCTTTGCGCCTGAGCCTCTGAGAACAATTCCAACTGGCGTGCTCGTTCAGAAGCAGACGAAAAGGACGATGATTCGTTACTGAAAAGCACGTCCTTTGTCAGCAACATCAAGTTGACAAAAATGCTGGCATCGCAGCTAATCTGAACACCAGGCCTCTGAAATGCCTTAGCCAGCAAATCACGGGCAGTTCGGACAGAAGCTGGCAACTTCCGCTCGTCGGACGCCATGGGTCACCAGGTCACCGGCAGGTTTGCGTCCAAGTAAATTAGTTGCAAGGAGCACCAGGCAACAACGTCCTCCAAGGAGACGCTACAAAGACTAGTACCGGTACTTTACTTACTGTCTTTGCCTGCATGACACATGATTGTATGAATCCGGGGTGGTCGGTGTGCGAGGAGTTGACGGTATACCGGTACGCGAATGACTGTTAACATGTTGGGACATTCTTCCAAAACAAGACGTCACAGAATTCGTAAAAAAAAGACAACTTTTGTCGCAAGCGGCTAGCCTGTCGCAAGCGCGAGACTCATCATGGGCGCGCTCGCGCTCGAGCTGTAAAGCGCGACACACGAGCGCGACCCAAACTGTGTCACGTGTGTGTCGAATCTGACCGTCATTATGATCGCCTTCGATTATTAAATTTTATTTTCGTTCTACTCGACAATTCCAAAAATCAGTGCCATTGGCTTTAGCTTTGCCCTTGAACTACTTGAAATCTCGTGCCTTATTCTTTCTTGGGGACTGGTGTTGGATATTGAACGGGCGGAGTGACCGCCGGGATGATGGATGAAGGAGATGATGGCCTAATCTTGGCTGCGCGCATTCTCATTTTCGCGTGGCCTGTAGTGTTTGATTCACAAAGGGTGTCACAGGCATAGCTGGAGGAAGAAAGGTGATGTGAACTTCAGAAGTTCTGCCATCGCAGCACTTAGAGGCTGTGTAGGCTGTATGTTTGATTTAGTTTGATTTAGCTCAGTGCTGAGCTTGCACCACACCACAGGTAGCATATTGAGTATTATTTACATTATCCATATAACTTGAACCGCTCTGTGAGCGGTTCTGAAAAACCTTTACTGGCGCTGCCCCGTCGTATAAGTAAGAAATTAAAACTGGCTCATTGTACCCCCAAATGTGAACTGATCCACCTAAATCGCAAATGACGTGACCCGAACGCAGCAGTAGCACGAGGGTGCACTTGTGGCGTGCCGCAGGGCTCTGTACTAGGACCCATGCTGTTCTCCATATTAGGGCTCAAACGATTAGTCCGATTAACCGTTTGCAGACTGGTTACGAAGAATTAACGGTTAACCGATAAAGATAACGGTTACGCAGTAACTTTTCAGTCAATTTTTCAAGTATCAGGTCGTTGCAAAGTGTGCACTTTCGCGGGCTGTCGCACGCGTACTGGGCTGTCAACTCGGTCATATCTAGATATCTGGTCTCTTGGTGTGAGAGTATGTATGAATGAGCATGCAAGAGAATGTACATGTGTGCGTTGTGCTGAATAGGGTACATTTTTTGAATAAGTATAGTCAAATATACGATTAAAAAAGAGTCCGCAGGATAGCCGTGGCTTATAGGTTATAACCGGTTAACCGACCGTTAGCTTAGCAGTTAACCGTCAGGGGTAAAACCGTGACCGTTTGAGCCCTACTCCATATACACCAAAGATATCCCCTCGGAATCTGCGCCGGCATCAGCACTGCAGTTTGCGGATGACATCGCCCTGACATGTGCAAGACGGACAGCGCAAGAGGTGTCTGATGCGCTCAGCTTGGCGGTTACCTCCCTCTCAAGTTGGCTGGACGCTCGTGGTCTTGTATTAAATGCAAAGAAGAGTAATGTATTGGTTTTTACCAGCAGCAGTGGGCAGCAGCCGGACGTGGGTGTACGCTGTCGAAATGATGTGCTTCCGCACACCACCAGCGCGAAATACCTCGGCGTCTTAATCGATGAACGAATGACCTGACAACCGCAAGTTGACCGGTGCATCTCACCCACTGCTAGGAAGATCGGTAGTCTGTGGCGGGTGCGACGCTGCCTCACTCTAGCTAGTTGAAGCAAGTACTTCCTATCTGTCATCATGCCGGATTTGATATATGGATCGTCAGCATATGGCTCCGGCTTGACCCACAACCAGCTAAATCGCTTGCAGGTGGCCCAAAACCGCGCAGCAAGGGCGGTGTTCGGACGACCACGATTTACCAGGGCCAGTGATCTCTTGGAGAGGCTCTCTGTTTATCGCATGGACGAGGTATATCGCCAGAAACTGCTCGTGCTGGTATGGCGGTGCGTTCATAACCGTGCCAGTCCTGCTCTGCAGGCAGTGTTTGTTCGCAACTGCGGAGCAACTCGCCTTCAGCGCAGTCTGGACCTACAACAACCAATAGCCAGAAGCCGAGCAGGCCAATGCCGACCGGCATCTCGCGGTTGCCTGTTATGGAACCATATACCTGACACGGTGCGAGCTATGGGCAACATCCCAGCATTCCGCCAAGCTGCCATTCCCTGCACGTAAGTCGTTGTAGACTGCTACACAGTTGGCCATACCATGGTATTCAGTACCCACGAACTTTGCAAAGCCGATAATGTGATAATGTACCGTGGTGCATGCACCGGTGGTACCACCACTTCGTAGACTGCCTCCCGTTCATTTCTGTGCTCCTGTCTTTATTCTCTCTCGTCAGCTGTGTACTTCAGCAGTTCAATTCTGTGCTCCAGTCCTATTTATTCTCGTGAGTTGTGTACTCGTTTTGCTGTTTGTCTGGTTTATTTGAATTCGCACAGTAAATGTGTACTTCAGTTATTCTCTCCTCCCTCTTCTGAGTTTGACTTTTCGCTGGCCTTCTCTCCTCCCATCCCCTTACATCGTATTGGGCCTCCGCACACACTACATTGTCACATAGCACAACTCAACCATTCGCTACCCTGTTATTGAGCACTCCTGCTCGTTTGGTCTCGCAAATCCAAATAAAATCAATCAATCTGGTTCCTACCTGTGGATGCAGCTGGGGACGCTGGTCCACAGGCCATGGTCGTCGATGAACTCCCATGTTGGATATCCGATGGAAGTAACTATGTGTACTAGCAAAGTTACACTGCCACCGATACCATGTACTAGTGATGGTGTTACCCTATGATGTGCTGTGATCCTGTGCCCTCCCGACCTCGTGCTACTGGTGCGTTCGGGTCCCGTCATTCCCGATTTAGGTGGATCAGTTCACATTTGGGGGGACAATGGGCCAGTTTTAATTTCTTACTTTTACGACGGGGCAGCGCCAGTAAAGGTTTTTCAGAACCGCTCACAGAGCGATTTTTATATGGATAATTTCAGTTTTTTTTCCGTTCCCTCCCCACCCCAACCCCGAAGGTAAACATGATGAACACGCGCGCGCGCGATGTACTGTATGTAGGCATGAGACTGCGATAACACACTGATACATACCAGCCCTCCCCACCTCGCTTACCCCGCACACAGATACACAAACACGCGGATGCACACGGTACACGCACACATACGCACATGCACACGACACAAACAGGAAATTCTTCATGTAAAATGCCATGCAAAGCAGTGGCCACCGTACTTTTAAAAGGAAGTCAGTTGTGGAACAAAATAATTCAACTACAACGTGTAGACAAGCTGACGGCCAAAGCACAACATAGCAAACATGACATTTGCCCAAGGATTGCAGTTTGCAGACCACGCCATGGAAGCAGCGAATACAGAATGTAATATCATACAAAGTGACAAGCAAAGAAGTGGCCACCATACACCAGAGACTTGCAGAAAGTCACATATCCAACAGATGGAAAAGTGAACAGCAATCTGGTACAGCCCACACAAGACAAAGCTGACCTGATACTTGTCCCAGGATCGCAAGTGGCAGATCCTTTTCAATGCATAACATGCAGGTGTACGTTACACGCATGGACAAAATCTGACCGTGTCGCCAGCATAAAATGTCATCACATATATACCCCACAAGTTACACACATGCACAGTAGAAGCACAATGAAAGCAATGGAAAAGTACGATGTGGTTGCTGAAGCATCTTCGCACTTCAAATTCAGACTTAAATGTGGTCGTCACGAGATGATATACCTGCAAGATACAAGTGATGCAGAAAGAAAGCAGAAGGTCGTGAGGTAGGCCATGAGACACCACAAACGGGTCACCTACATGTATGTTCAGGGCTAGTGCACTCGCACGCAGAATTATCATAATTGAGCATTTCCCAAACTGAGAAGTGCAAGGAAATCCACTTGCATGCACAGGAGCTCACGTACCTTAGTAGTTTCTTCAATGTCCGCCACGGCAAGCTGACGGCTTATGTTGAAACTGTGCAGAAAGTTTCCACCAAACACTAGCGAATCCACAGGAGTGTGAACTGCATGAATCCAGCCTGTCAACGAACAAACATACACACACACAGTGTTGCCACATCACTTTGGCCAAATATCAGTAGGATGAAAAAATAAAATGCATCATCTGGGGGCTTTTTGCCCCCAGACCCCCATCATAGTAACCCCAGTATACACATGCACACAAAGCGCACTGTTTAAAGGGGAAGTTAAGGCAAAAATTAAAATTTCACCAGTTGTAGTCTTCGGGGTGCTGAGTCGAATGGTCGTGGTCCGAGGAAGCTGAGACGCTCCCTTCCTACTTGAATCCCAATCGAACTCGCGCACTTCCACCGAAACTGGGTGACTGCGCCCTACTAGATGGGGATTTGTATGCAAAATGTCACTAAAAGCGCCATTTCGTTCTTATAAAAGCACGGATGACCGCGATTGGCCCATATGTTGTAGTCTTTTGGACGCTGAGTCGACTGGTTTTGGTCCGAAAAGGCTGCGATGCAGCGTTCCTCCTTTATTCCCAATCGAACATGGTTGAACAAGCGGTCACGTGCTCCTGGGTGCCCAAATCACCTGGTCACCACGCCAGCAGGCGACAACTTTCACACCAAGGTTCAACTCGAGTGACAGGACTGCACCCAAAAAAGGTCAAACAGGCTAGTAAGTTGTACCCTGCAGGCACGGTGACCAGGTGACTGGCGTACGCAGGAGCACGTGACCGCTTGTTCAACCATGTTCGATTGGGAATAAAGGAGGAACGCTGCATCGCAGCCTTTTCGGACCAAAACCAGTCGACTCAGCGTCCAAAAGACTACAACATATGGGCCAATCGCGGTCATCCGTGCTTTTATAAGAACGAAATGGCGCTTTTAGTGACATTTTGCATACAAATCCCCA